GAGAGGCTAGCTAATTATATGATTGTTATTCTTAGGACACATATAATGTTATCACCATGAAGAAAATACCACGCACACAATAGCATAGTGCAGACAGTTTTTCATGCACTAATGTTCCCAAAATTCATTTATGACTTCCATTAGGCATAACAAAAAAGGTGTTGGTGTCACCCTCGAGTCATCTTCAATTTGGATTAAAAAACTTTCTAATCTTTTAAAGGATGCTCCAGGGAAATATTTTGAGTAAGCTACTCATATGTTAAGGAATTTTCTACCATTGCACATCATTGGAAAAATTATATGGTTGCCTTTGTTTCAAACTTTGTTTTCATTTAATTATAAATATTACATCTATCATATATGGGAAGGTCTGTTTGGCTGAACAATCTTTTAAAGGGATAGTAACTCTTCGTATGAGATCTATAATTCACAATAAAAACATTGTAAACAGCTCATAGAAATATAATATATTCTGTTTTACCACAAAAACGGCAGTTACAGCTATTATTCTGATATCTGAGCTTGTCATCAGACCACATGACCTCCATAGATGGCTACACTCTAAAACCAAACTTTTTAGAATAAAACCAGGGACTAACTTTGAATGTAGAAATGGATTTGTTAACCATTGGTAAGTATGGGAAAGTTGTTGTTTTCTCCAGGAAAATTCATTTTTTGGCCAAAACGAACAGTTATTATCCCTTTAACTTTCAGAATAGTTACTAACATTTAATAGCTTGAAAATCCAACTACTAAATCATGGATATATCCCCTTTCAACTAAATTCATTAGCTTGGAATGGATAATCCCTTACATAGGAAATTGAGAATGCATTAAAAGGAAAAACAGCATCAAGTTACTGCTAGCAAGTACTTATGTAGTATGAATAATTCATTGAAGAATAGTTAATATCTTGAAAAAAATAAGGGAAAAGGAGCCATGAATACTCAGCACATCATCAGGAATATACCTAACATCATTATAAAATATCATCACCAGAGTTGTCAACACTCAGCTTACTTACAAGTATCAAACTCATTTTGATGTATTTTCTTTCTTTTTATTCTTTTCTATTGTAAACAGCACGATAAATAATTCATCAACTCATTCAGTATTGGCAATCTTGCAAAACCAAATAACATTATCTACGTGAAAAATAACATGCAGTTAATTCAAATGTTACACTGGAAATTTTCTCTTTCTTTTCTCTCACTACATGGAAAACCTTCACTTCAGGGTTTCTAATGTAAAACATACCCAAGCTCATGTTAAAATGAAAATGCTAAATCACTAAAAGGATAATATATCTTTGCAAAAGTACACTGGTTCGGTAAAAAAATGAAAACATTTGGTAACACAAAACATCCTAGCTTCACCACAAGGAATAGTATCATACATGAAATCTAACAAGTAGTACAGACATTTCAAATATAAATATTAAGTTTTAAACAGAAACAAATCCTATTTTGAACTCTTTTTCATGAAAACCAAAATGAATTCTATGAGAATCACTGGGCCAGTTGCTTTATTTCCTGTCATGCCTCTCAAATGTATCCAAGCACTCTTCCTGCTATCAACTATCAACACTTTATAAATCATATCATAAAGTCATTTCTCTCAAACATTATCTCACAAAACCTGAAAAAAAGAAATATGCTGAAGAAAAAAAGCACTTTAAATCATGTTAAAAATACATCAACAAGAAGCCCACAAGAGATTACGGACTGGAAAGCAGTCCATTAATTTTCCAAGGTGTTTCAAACCATATGTCACAGTCTGATGCCCTCATTGTCTAAAGGAAAGTGAAAATGAAAGGCAACCTAAGTAAACCACCAAGATGGAAGGTCTACAGATATTTTAAGTATCATTCATAATGTAGACCAAAAGTTATCTATTCTGAGTTTCAACATTCAATGTATTCAACAGTCAATTTATATTCACCTTTTCAAATCCAACAATTAAATAATGCTGAATTTTACCAAATGTTTGCCCCTTTTCTGAAAAATTCTCTGAAATAAAACTGCAAATGTATTAAGTACATGACTGTTCTGTTTGTTGCAAATAAGCAGAATCTATTGGCATGATAAGGCTGGATACAAGCTGGAAACACAGGATTTGCATCTGGCAGGTTGTTCTACTTTATCATGGCTTTTTGCATTTATCCATAACTACAAATTACAAATCTATTTAAAGGCATTAATCACCGTGTGATTTCATATTTCATCGCTTATCTTGCCTCGAGCATTTCAGACATTAACAGTGGTTTCTTGGAAACTAGAATGAGCGCTTTCATACAAGTCTCCATGAATCTGTTTAGCTCAGAATGGCACCAGTGGTCTTACTTGTAATCAAGCTGGTTAAAACTTCTGGATCTAAGGCAGTGCTTGCCAATTCCAAAAATGAACAGCTGACCACATATTTAACTGATGGACCAGGGTTTAGATTGATAACTGCTTTGGATTTGCCAATAGTGTTTTGTAAAAACAATATCTTCACCAGTCTGTATATCCCAGATCAAATGCAGTACAAAATGAGAATGTTATGGACATATCATACCTATATCTAAAACATAATCCTATTTCATTCAGAGAACATGTTGCATGTGACTTTTATTTAAATAGTACTTAGCTGAATCTTTTTGAAACAGTGCTCTAGTATAGTTAACTTCTGGTTCACACGAAGTGCTATACATCTGACAAATGAAAAAAAAATCATGTTGCCAAGTAAAAATATAGCTGTTGATAAATTAATGTGTGCAATTTTACGTTTTATTCTAATATTAATTTGATCTTGCTAGGAAAAACTCATGGATTTACTGACAGAATATTAACTACATTGCTGATATTTTTTTCAAATCATTCCAACATCTAAATCCCTTCTTTTCCACTTGTTTGCAATTGATAATTAATGCTCTAGATAAAACACAACTCCTACTTCTATGCAATAAGCCTTATCTTTAACTTGAATTCCCAAGAGACAAATCATTTCTTAACTATCATTCTAGGATCAGTAATACTATTTGCAAGTGCTGACACCTTTTGACTTGAATCCAATCTATAAGGAGCTACTTAAATAGGAATGCAATTGAAATTAACCTTCACACTGAAAAAATGTTTTTAAAAATCTTAATAGATAAACACAGGGAAACTTCAGGAAGAAATACTGGTCTTTTGCTAGTCCTTCAGACCAGCAGGTCAAAATATCTACCAGCCATCATGAAACTCTACTGATCCAATTTTTTACAGAGTTTCTATTAGTATCCATATTATATATATCTTTATTTCAATATCTATATTTAGACAAATTCAGCTTTTTAGCATGTATAATTCTTTTTTGGATTTCTGAAAATTAAAGTCATATTATATGACCTACACACACACAAACACTCTTATACTTCGATATTCAATGATGCTGTAAAGTTATATGCATATTCATATATACACAGATAACTAACTATGAATTGCTCTAGAATACCAGAAATAAAACACCAGGAAAATCTGTTTTTAATTAGTATATTGAAATCCACTGCACGGAATGACTTTTTACAGTTAAAACTATTAAACTTCGGAAAAGCAAATGCCAATGTTGCCTTTATTCATTTACTTAGTTTTCTTTGTACAGAAACAGCATATATTATACAGTCCTACTTGTTGAGCATATTTTTATGGTTCTCACATGTAAAAATTCCAAAGTTCCAAATTAATAAAGGTTGCAGATTCATGCCATCTGCAATTGTCATCATGAGAATCTGAAATAAATATGTTGAACAGTTCCATCTTCCTCAATAAATCATTCTTTTCCTTCTCTTCTGCTACATCTCCCATTTCTTCTGGAAGACTGACCTGCATCTTAACATGAGCCATGCATGCTGAAGAGGCATGAACAATGACTTAACTGTCCAGTCTATACTGATGATATGTAGTAAATAATGCACTGTCCACGAGCCCGATATCACGATAGCATGCCGAGCGCCAGCGAGGCGTGCTATCGTGTATATCGGGCGAGGGGGTAACAGTGCGTTATTTGTCATACATACAAAGGGAAATCGTGCGTGTTCCCCACCCAAACCCCCTAACTTTGAATAGAACACGCTGATATCACCGCGCATGGGGTGATATCAAAAAATGGACTTTCCCCGCATTTACTGCCTAATTGCGGTCACCGTCCAATCATCTTCGTTTGCGTTAGTGGTTTTCTGAGTAGTTGGCTGATTTCCTGCCCATCTTCCGCACGTGGCAGTCACTCTGTCTCATTCATTGTATCGGTCCCTGCAATCCTTTTGTTTTGATATCAGCCCCGTGGTATGTATGTATAAAAAGCATACCTTCCACCGATCTTCAAATTTTCCATTAGCCCTTATCTTTTTATAAGCCTTAACATTTTAGGTCTTGATTTTTCTTGTGAAGGTACCAGTCCAGTGCGTTTCTCCTGCCACACCAAACACCGAAACAATGCTTTACTATATAGACCACAAGTCTGATTCAAAACCTAACTGTGATTGGCTCTAAGAAACCAATGACAGCACACATAATATGGAAATGGGAAATTCCCCCCAAAAACGTGGATGCATATATTGAAAAGTAAAGAGAAATACCAATTTAACTTGACATGTGTTTTGGTCTTTCAAATCAGTTAGTAACTGTCTTATCATAGGTTGAGTGAGTAGTTTAAGATCATTGGTCTTTTTTTAGTTCTCTGAACCGACAGTTGTGGACCTCTACCAGTTCATCAGTTTTTCCATCAGTCATAGTGGGTGGGAATGACATTTTAAACAATTCCATGTCTAATTCTTGACCAAAAAGTGAACATCTAAATAATCTTTTAGAAGATTAATTCACTTTGTTCGTAAATACTCATCCTGACTGGATAAAAATCCGTCAGAGAAGAAGGTAAACTTCAAAAATAAACACTGTTTTTATTGAAAAGGCTTAAATATATATTCACTAAGATCTAAAGATAATTGAAATTAAATTATACACTTATCACAAACAATTTATTACCCTGACTATCTTTGCCAACATGTCTGCTCCTTTGGAGGTTATGCCACACCCTGTGAAGTTGACAGAGGCAATGTTTCCACTGTTCTTGATGGCCTTACACAGGACTAAACAATTGTAAATAAGAAAGTATTCATAATCAAACTGACAGACAGCATTTTCAACTTAAAATAACTTCATCAGTTAAGGCAGCTTTGCTGTAAATGATATAACACAGGTATATATATATATATATTTGAAAGTGTTTTCAACAATAATTCTAAAATTAAAAATAATCAGTAAACTTTTAACTTAAATGTATCAAATATTATCTGATTGGTTTCAAAATATTATGCACAGGATTTCATCCATCAAATGTCTTACTTTCCAAACCAGCATCTCCTATAGGGCAGTATTCAAGTGACAGGTGATTCAAAGTCCTGTTCTTTAGTATACCCTGGAGAAGATAAAAATCTGTTTAAATATAAAACAATATTAATTTTATGCTATTTTACATGTGTTGGAAATGTATGAAATACTGTCTGTGACATTTCAATATTAAATCCTATGATTATGACAAAATCATTAGCATTTAATCATGCAATGGCTTACTTTAAACTTAAATTTTTGAACAAATCGCTCTTATACAGTTGGAGATTATTGTACAGAAAACCACATGCTGAATTAATTATTATTCAATCCACTGAAGCAGTCACATTCATTTCAGCAAAGAGAATTGGGCAGTCCCTGCACTTTATATCTAGTCTCTTTGATATAAACAGTTTCCACTCAACTGCTGCATTACTAACAATACAAAATCAGGTTTCTTTACTAGTCAAGATGACTATGAAAAAAATTATACGAAAAGAAACACTTGTCAAATGGGTCTATCAAAGGACTCAGCAATATATACGATATGCACTTTATTAGCAACCTGAAAAAGGCCATACCTTAGCCAGCACAGTGAGGTCCCTCTCTCTCAGAGGTAATCCCTGCAGCTCGAGGCAGGTCAGTGATGGAGTGACAGTCAGACATTCCCGAAGTGACCTACACAGTCGGTATGTGATCTCCTTGGAGCGGATGGCAGGTGTCTTTCTTTTAAGTACCTGTGATCTGGGATCTGATAAAATAAAGGATTAGAAAGCATCCTACAAATATCCATCTTTCTATATATGTCTGTGTCTCTATCTGTATTTGATTAAGTTGGGTGTTTTATATGCATTCTTATTTCCCTGAAAAGCCTTCATCATTTTTGTTTTCTATGATTATGTCATTGCCTTTAAATGGCATCAGGTGGACAAAATGAAGAGAGACATACCTAATATTAAGCATACCAATATGGCATTTAACTTAAAAACTTTTAACTGAAATAAGAAGTTGTCTCATAGTACTCCTTTAACTTTTACAATTACATAAGCAAATAAAATATTATATAAAATGTGCCTAAAATGATTTTAACAAATCTGACACTGAAGTCAAACAACTCTATTAAACATAACTTACCAGTTTTATCTGCAACCTGTCTGTAATAACTTCTGAAAGCTATAAACTCTAAGGTTTTGTTGATCCTCAATGTGTTTAAGAGGGGAACCCAGTCATTGGCCCTGCAAAAGGGTACATTGTGTAAAATTTCTTTTAATAAATAAGAGCACCAAAAATGCATAATACATATTGGCTGTATGTAAACTTACTGACCAGGCCTTGAAGGTAATAAGATGGATTTTAAATTGTTGAGTGTCATAGAGTCTACCTGACTCTGTCTCCACTGACATCCAGAACCCCATCACTCAGGTGTGCCTTCACAGCTGGCAGTGGCACAGAATCCTGTAGTGCACATAGATAGTTATAGTGTGCCTCAAAGTCATAGGCTCCTCTCTGCCTAACCTTCACACTCTCTATCATGTTAGCACTCTGCATATCTGGAATAAAAATAAAAGTTCAATTGTGTTATGCCATAACTGAAAGTGAAAAAAATTGACCAGGCAATCATTCCTCTGAATAAATCTAGAATCTAACTACCTCAGGTTTTCAAGTCTTTTAACAGGCTTTGGGAGGTAGGTGATCACAACCCAAATGGTTTACAATTAAAACTTATGGTAGCTTAATGGAGATCATCCTACCTGTCAAGGTTCATTATTAGAACCTTGCGACTTCCTATCCAGATTATATCTTGAATCTTTTATTTACTTTATACCTGATTTTATCCTTATTCTCTTTTCAATCATCACACCTGATAATTCTAGAGCTGTGTTTAATGAAATAATATTTAGTTATTCAAAAATGAATTGACCCCATGGGTGCAGAATTTGTATTTAAGAGAGATTGAGTTGAAATTGTAGAGGATACATGGATAGATAGAGTGAGAGACTCTGAGAGAGAAATAAAGAGCCTCTGAGAACTTCAGACTCTTGCTGAACATTGTTATTTTCCCCTCTCCCATGCATCAGTAATATTTTTATTTAGAACCTGGGTAAGGAGTAACAAGAAAGAGATTTACATGTACATTCAATATTTTGTACCATTTCCAATTGACAGAGTTCTTAACTATTCATGATTCACATATATCACCTGTTACTTCAGAAGAAAATATCAACTTCATGTACTTTTATCTGAGGGGTTTATCTGGATTACAAAAGATTGGTACTACCTAGCTTTGCACTTGGACATAGTCCAAGCTTTGCAGGATATTAGATTCAAATTGTTACTTTGGAATATTTTCAAATGTGTCTTGTGTACTCCTTTAAGTGAAAGGTGAACATGACGGACTGAAAATAGCAAAACTTGGAATCTTAACAGTCACTTAAAATTAATGCCCACACACACCCCGCCTGTTCATGCAAATCATGGGTATATGTAGTTTAAAGTTTGCAAGTCAAACAGTGATTTGCTATTAAAATACATATTTTTTTTCTCATTCCTTTTGGATAGAAAATCCTGTAAAATCTCTTTCTTGTTACTCCTTACCCAGGTTCTGAATAAAATTAATTATCACTGATGCATAGGATATAAAAGACTTTTAGAGAGTATGAAACAAAAAAATTGTGTCGAAGTAATACTCAGTTTAAAGTTTAAAGTTCGAGCCAACGAGCCTACCACACTGATGGATTGATGACAGTGATGCAGTCTTGTTTAGGAAAGCTTGCAAAATATGACAGCGGAAGACACTTAGACTTTGATAGTTCCATCGTGACTAACGCTGCCAAAAACTATATGCAAATATCATGTTTATATGTTTGTCATCCTGTGCTCTCACCTTGAGATATGAAGCCATCAATCTTATATTATCACCTGAATAAATTGTAAATAAACAAAGGAAGCGTGCTTCGAAATGACCGGTTGACTCTTCCCACAATGCCGTACCGGAAGTGGTGTCGTGACGCACTTTTCCGGCGTGTTTAGCACATTCTGGAAAATTATTGTTAAAACCCCCAGCGTCCAGAACAACCATTGAACATTTCAGTGTCTTGCGTTAGACTGTTTCATTAACAAGAACGACAACGATTTAACTACCAAAGAGACTGATCGCAACTTTGGTAAGCATTATCACTTATTTCACCGTCCTATCTAAATTAGACGATAATTTTTTATTTTGCCAGTCACACTCTTATCAAGCGTGGTGCTGGTAGTTAGTGATTGTTTTGTGGCGCATAGTAACACAAAGAATATATTTTATATATAGTATTTTTTTGTATTTTCTTGAAAAATGAGTAAGATTCGATATTCATGTACATGTACCTTTCTGTGATAATGAAAATTATCAGGTGGAATATTATAATGATCCAACGAATCTAATACAAAATTGAATTGGAATTTTTATGGGTTCTGTCTTCCAGTCAGTACATACAGACTATCACAATGGTGAAGGAGACCAAGTATTATGATTTGCTAGGTGTCAAGCCCGATGCCTCAGATGCGGAGCTGAAGAAGGCCTACAGAAAATTAGCACTTAAATATCATCCTGATAAAAATCCAAATGAGGGAGAGAAGGTAGGTTCTGTTAAGATTATTGTATGATGGATTGTCATGTTATCTACATATTAATTTTTACTCTATTTCTCTTTTGTGTGTTTAAGTAGAGGCTTGTCACTCTGAAGTGTTTAAATTCTTCATTTAAGTTTAACAAATTTATTCATTTTGTCGTTGATATTGCTTTTACTTTCTTTTTCTGAAGGAAACTTAGAATGAATAAGTTTCAAATAATAATGAAAGTAAATGTGTTGTAAAACTTTCAAGATTAGTTTGGATTCTAACCATATAAAGGATTCAAATATTTGCTGTATCATTCTGGCAGATTTACCCACATGTATCATTCCCTCTGTACAGACACTCACTACTGTATGTATGAACATGTATATATTCTGTCCTTATCTTCTTTATCTCAGTTCACCATATATCCATACTCATAACTTTCAAACCATTTGTTGTTTTACTTAAAAGTTTTGTATGGTAAAAGACAGCTCAAGTTTTAAAAAATCAGCAGTAGCAGATTATTTCATTAGTACTAAGAGTTGAAATTTGTACTAGTATTTAGAATTTTACATTTCTGTTAAGCCGGTGGGTTTATTTGTGCTCAAAAGTGTCTTTACTAACATAGTCTTTTCAGATAGGCCCTACTCTCGCATTGAAGATAAATTTATTATTCCTGTCATTTCTGAACTATGTCTTGATCTGTCTTATTTGGACTCCCTTTTAAATGTTCTAATAATGATTAGTATGTATTTATAGTATTTGCCAGCCATATATTTCAGTGCAAATTTTCTTATAGTTCAAGCAAATTTCTCAAGCCTATGAGGTGTTGGCAGATCCAAAGAAACGAGAAATTTATGACAAAGGTGGTGAGGAGGGCATTAAGACAGGAGGAGCAGGTGAATTCCACAACCCTATGGACATATTTGACATGTTGTTTGGTGGGGGAGGAAGAAGACGAGGCCCTAACAAAGGAAAAGATGTTGTACATCAGCTGTCCGTCAGTCTAGAAGATCTTTATAATGGAGCCACAAGGAAGTTAGCATTACAGAAGAATGTTATTTGTAATAAATGTGAAGGTAGGGTTCTTGATTTAATTGAAGAAATTGACTTAGTAGTATTTACATTTTCATGTGATTTTTATTTCCTGATGATTTTATTAATTTTTTTGTTTATGTGGAGGTGGCATGTTAATGTAGAATAGTGCCAATTCTTTGGACTGATCTGGAAAGCAAAAAATACAAGTACTTGCACAGTTGAAATAAAAATATAAAAATATAAATTGGAGTACAGAAATATGGTGCACCAAAAAGTCCATACAAAGTAACAGTATTTATACATTTCTAAGGTCGAGGTGGCAAGAAAGGAGCTGTAGAACAATGTACAACATGTAAAGGAACAGGCATGCAAGTGCATGTGCAGAGATTAGGCATAGGAATGGTACAGCAGATACAGACTGTTTGCCAGAACTGCAGGGGACAGGGAGAGAAGATTAATGCTAAAGATCTGTGTAAACAGTGCTCGGGGAAGAAAGTGGTTAGGGAAAGGAAAATTCTGGAGGTTCATATAGACAAAGGTAGGCACTTGGGATTTATTATCTAGTTTCTTGTATACAAAAAATAGTAGGAAGAAGATTATTGTATAAACTCTTCCAGTTAACATTTTGTTAAGATGGTATACCATTTCCCAAGGGACAGAAAATAATTTGTCTGATTTATATACTAGTGGAATAAAAACTTCTTAAAGTTTCTATATATAATTATATAAAATTAAAGACCCTGGATTTTCCAGAACATAATAAAGAAGCTTGGCAGAATTGCATACTTTCATAACCACTGTTATACAATTACTATTTTAAATTGTGAAATTTGTGTACATCAAAAAAAAAAAAAACATTTTAGTCTGATCTTCATATTTTACTAGTTGACCAAAAAGCACAATTTGGTGGCCTGAATTTTGAGCTTACAATTGTCAGGTATGAAAGATGGGCAGCAAGTACGCTTTACTGGAGAGGGAGACCAGGAGCCCGGACTGGAACCTGGGGACATTATTATTATACTGGAGCAAAAAGACCATCCAAAATTTAAAAGGCAAAGCCATGACTTGATAATGAACATGGATTTAGAACTGGTGGAGGCTTTATGTGGTTTCAAGAAATCAATAGAGACTTTGGATAAGAGGATACTTGTCATTAGTTCTTTGCCAGGTATGGAGGAATGAGGGGGGTCATTGGTGATTATAAACACCTTGCCTCTGTTCTCTCTCTCTCTCTTTTTTTAATGTTCTATGTTTATGGATAAAAATATCGTTTTAGCAGAACCTTTTTGCAAATAACTAAGGGACTTGCACTTTTGTAACAAATTAAACTTATCACTTTGGAATTACTCATTTTCATACAGACTATCTTTGAAATTGCAAATTGCTTCAAAGAAATTTTACGAAACTGATTATGGAAATTAACACTACTTGGTACATGGAGAGCAACTTGACGTGAAAAGTTAAACTGCTAAAGATATATTTATTTTGCAGGTGAAGTAGTGAAACCTGGGGACTTGAAATGCATACCGAACGAAGGCATGCCCGCACATAGAAATCCATTTGAAAAGGGACTTTTGATAATAAAATTCGATGTTAAATTCCCAAAGCCAGGCATCATTCCTCATGAGAAACTTCAGAAGGTGGAACATCTTCTGCCTCCTCGAGAGGAGGTGATAATACCAGACCATGCTGAGGAGTGTGATTTGGTTGAGTTTGATCCACATCTGCATGGTAGTGCCCACCACAGTAGAGGAGAGGCTTATGATTCTGATGATGAAGACGCACATCATGGACATGGACCAGGAGTACAGTGTGCTAGTCATTGATGAGATGTTGAATTTCCAGCTATGAGTAATAATATTAATATGAATATGAAAGTGTGTGGTGGCATGACAAAGTAAGTTTTTAACCTGAATAAAAGCATGCACTGTACCTAACAGGGAAATTTAACACACCAGTATGTAAGTTTATTGTATAACCAAAGCAAGAAAAGATCACAGTGAGTGCAGATGTACACAGGTGAAAGTCGTATTGGATTAGTAGTTGTTCATTATATTCAGTAAAAGGTCATCTTGGTCTAGTTTTTCCAGTGACTTCAATATCTGTTCTTGTACACTTTATCAACAATAATTCTTCAAAGAATAATTTTATTGTGTGTGTCTTTCAACATTTTAATTAAGTTCATTAGTCAGGACTGTGAAATCTAACTGAAAATTCAAGCTTTTGGTAGTATGAATAATTAGTTGCTCTACCTTTTAAAGTTGCAAACTGTTTAGGGTTGTCCTAGTTGCAATACAAAACTTGCATCAGATTCTCATATACCACTGCATTGCTGTTAGGGTTATTAATTATGGAAAGAAAGTACAAGAGGTCTATTTTGAATTTCAGTCATGTTTTTACTCATTCAGTAAGTTGTATATTGACAAAGATTTCACATATATATATATATATATATATATATATATATATATATATATATATATATATATACACACACACACACACCTCCAGTGGAAATAGTTGTATGTTATTGTGGATTTTCCAGCTTATGACCATTCAGGTGTTTGAACATGTATCTGGACTTTAAGGTCAGTTCATTGTGAGTGGAATTGACATTGATTTGAAAATAAGATACATTTTTAAACATCTAGGGTAGAAATATGAATATATATATTTAAATCTAATAAATGTGCAGTTGTGAAGATGTCTAAATGATTTATGATCATTGTTAATAAGAACTGGCCTTACCATAAAATGGTATATTCCACTGAACAAACTGTAATTTATGTATATTTGGTAAGATATAAAAAGCATGAAAGATGCCATTTTCTCATTATTTGGGTACTTGTGCAGTATACCCCCCAAAATTGCAAGTCTCTCGGATGGAAATTTTTGCTAAATGATTTTTTAAATGTTTTATCAACCACTTCAAACCCATTCAAACATAATGATGGCAAAGGTCATTTCAGGATTGAACAAAGAGAGTTGATAAATTGCAAAAGTAATTTATATGAATAGCAGAGACATCAATCGGTCACCGCATAACTGAATATAAAAAAGTTGAAAATCAAATGCATGTGTATGTTTTGGGGGACATACAGTATAAGGATCAATGTTTGATGTCTTGTTTATGTATGAGATTAATAAAATATTATTCCAAATTGTGTGGCTTTTTTTATGCACCTGCATTACTATACAACATCTACCATTGAAAAATGTCCAAACTGATTTCCCAAAATTCAAATTATAAAAGGGTGATTTTTGTCCAAATAAAATGTGAAAAAATAATTGATTATAACAAAAATAGATTATTACAAAAAACATTTTTAGACAAAATAATAAAATAAATGTCAGAATGGATTCATAAACCATTGGTAAGTTTGGTAAAATCGTTTACCCTAAGAATTTCCTTTTTTACCAAAATGAACAGTTTTTATCCCTTAAACTGTTGGACAAGTAACGAACTGCTTAGTTGGCTGACCAAATTTGGTCAGCCAAATCGCCTGGTGACACATGAACCTGGTAATAAATGAATGTATATACAGACATTTTTAAAAATGAGGTGAATCAATGACTAAAATTATTATTTTGGCTTTTTAGAAATTAATTACTTCAAAAAATACTTGAAGCTTGTAATTGCTGTTTTTCCATCTGAGTAAAAATAATCAAACCAAAATGAATTACTTTGTCAACTGCTCAGTTCAGTAATAATTGGGTATATAGTGTGTGTTTTTCCAATATTATTCCCGTTTTAACAAAATGCTCTAGAAAATTGGATAATGCCACGTGGGTGATATAAATTGAATGATATAGGAGAAGAAATACCAAAATCTTGTAACAAAATCACGGGGGTGAAATGATGTTAATAATGAGGGAAGAAATTATGAGAGACTGAGCAGACTAAAAAAAGTTATATTTAAATATACTTTCTGAAATTCTGAGAAAATAGTCCAATAATAGGGTTTTAAAAAACTTAATTTACGTACAATACGACTGGATGACTAATTTAGACTGTGTTAGTTGCGCCACTAAAAGTCACTGGCGACAACCCTGCTTGTATTGGCACAAAATTTATGTTAATTTTGTTATAAAGTACAGTTCTTCAGTACAAACTATTATAAATATCATAACCTGATGCCCTATACTGCCATGTATAATCTTTCTAACCATTAATTGCAATTGCTTTCGTCGGCCGATTTTTGTAGTGCCCAATGAACTGTAAAATCTGTACACGTTTAGCACTGTGTTTGGCTATCTGGATAACTAAAACCCCACCTGTAAACCATCCATTAAAAGGGATGTCAGTGTCACAAAATAGTTTCCATGAAGCGCCATTTTCGTTTAAACGTAAAAACATTAACTACGATTTAATTGATTTTAATGTTAAAATACAGATATAATTAATATAATAAAACGAAATACTTTGACCAAATCTAGTGGTTCCATCGTTCTCAAGCTTTAGTTCTCAAAGAGGCGCTATTTCACATTGACTCTTGTATTCTTTTAAGATTGACCTTTAAAGTTACCTTAATCATTTCCATTTGCTTTATGAAAATATGCATAAGGCCAAAAGACAAAATTATACAGAAAAACGCAAATAAGTAACGCCGTAGAAGTAAAAAACGAATGTCTCATTTGTACTTAGATGTAATGAGTGATATGAGATCATCCTTCGATACAATTTTCTGGAAAACGGAAGCCATGGAATCAGCATGGTTACTGACAGCAAATAACCCAAGCTTGTGTCTCCAAGGCAACAACAGGTGAGGTTGGTTTGACAGTGACAACTATTATTCAATGCGGCACAAATAATATGTCACAAATCACGACATAGGCATAATCTATGTAGATTATTAGCTTGACGAAGAGATACTTGTCTCCACAGCGTTTGCCGTAGCTGTAGCATAACCCGATTAACCGAAAGGATCTCTTAAAAGATGACAGGAAATGAAATGAAAAAGCTCGACGACTATTTTCAACGACATACAAAATCGATGACAGTGAAAGCGGCAACAGGTGAAATTCTCTGTATTATCAAACCGTCGCCATATTCACTGCGGTGACAGCCACTGCGTTCAGTGACATTTCAAGTGAGTCGGCCCACGTTTTGAGCAATGCCTTGGTCCTTGAGCCTTTTTGTAGCATGATTTTGACACTGCGTTCACATATGAAAACCACAAAGGATAGAAATGAATAGATGGTATAAATTGTCTGCGAAATAACCATTACTCTACGATTAATGTGTCTCTACCGTTCAACACAAATCTATACTAATTAATTAGTTGTAGGTGTGTTCGAGATGAGAGGAATCTTACAGCGCTGTTGGCGGGCGATGTCGTCCTGGAGTTCTAGTTATGACGAAACATCTCTTCAAAAAAGGGAAAGTATTCTTGGGAAATTGTACCATTTGGTTTGGAGCAAAGGTAAGTTTGTGTACAGCCACTTGGTTCACAGTTTTATAATAACGGTGAAATGATTTCACGTAGCAGAATATTATCGTAATACGAATATCCAATGGTAACCTTCTATCGAAGAATTGATCTCTAATAGGATAAAAATCTTCATGGGTATGATATTGGTGTCATTTATTTTTGGAGACCACGCCCAAATTTAAATGTCAGCAACACTTTGAGGTTGACTGTATTAAGATCTGAAATGGTATTTTTTTCTTTATTCAATATTTAATAATATTGCAAACAATATTATTAATAAATTTGTAATGATGAAAATTAATGCTCATGGGAACTTCACGAGTTTACTCTGCGTTAATCTATATGAGTGTATACGGAAAATACTCAATATGTTAAGCCAATTAGCAATTTTTAAAACTGATTAAAAGCCTCGCTTTTGCACGAACGATTTTAGCCAAATGCAGCTGTATGAGTCCCTTTGAACAAAAATCAGAAATGCCCTTCCTGTTTTGATAAGATTCAGTCAGCCAAAAATTCAACCTGGATCGCATTATTTCGCATTCATACATTGGTATTATAAGGAGGAACGCAGCCCTGCATAAACCTCTGAACATGCGAAAATATAGCTGATACAGTGTATTGCTTTTCTACTGTATCCAATTTAGTAATACTTGTTATATGATGGTACATTGTGTATGCTTAAAGGTAGGGGTCTATACTATCCGCATTTTAAAATATCCACTAGTGATATTTTCTATATCTACAATATCCAACAAAGCTACTGACTATAAAGACATATAAATTTAAACCCCCAAATAAAAGTATCTGTTGTCGTTACTGCCATCTGAAATGTTTATGAAGAGAGGGGCGTTTAAACGATTGGCAAGTATATCAGATCTAAATTATTTAATTAGAAATGTTATAAAATATAAACTCCGGGTGTCGGGACGGCTGGTAAGTAGGAAAAATGCGTTTTTTCGCTAAAAAATCGATTTGGCCGGAAAGTCCCGGAAAAATACGATTTCAGTTACATATTACCAAGAATGTTCTTGTTTTGTTGAAACTCCTTGATATTACTAAGTACCTAAACGTCGCATGACTGTAAAGTTCATGATGAGTCATACCTTTATGTACACGTACAGACTTATCAAGAATGTAATTACCTACGGCAAATGCCCACGCCCTTTTCCTTATTTAGTTTTGATATAAAATGAACATTTTGACACCTTAAAATGTTTCGGAGTTTACAAAATGGATCAGTTTAATGCATGAATACAACAAAATGAATAGATACATCCTTCCTAAAAATACATTTAGAAAACCCTACAGAATCGAATCCTGATATACAAATGGAAATTGATATTTTTAAGCAATAATTTCTGCACGTTATTATCCAAACCGTCAATACTTTCCTGCTGTTTCCAGATGCATAAGCATTCACAATTACGCACATTTTCATTTAGAAGTCATTATATTGTGAAAAATGTCCCTTGTGATAACTGATAATGTCAACAGAAATGAAATGTAATGCTATCCCAGGAATGGATACCGTGTCGCAATGGTAACAAATGAAAGTGGGTTGCAGCATTAAACCTGTCAGTTTATCTATTTATCGAAATAAATCAATTCTTGTTAACACTGGCTAATACTCAACGTGAGAGGGTTATTTCACTGCATTACTGGAATGAAAATCCAATCCTGAACACTGTGTTGAGTCTTGGACATAATAGCGTTATTATGTCTAAGGTTGAATACACGTATTGTTGCTACTTATTTTCGAAGATTTCATCTATTTCTTTTGTTCAATTTTTTAGTATTGAAACCCTTTTATTTTCACAAGTTATAATATTGGGAATAATAATAACAATTATAACAACAAAAACATAATAATAACAATAATATGATTATTCTCCAATATAAAATCCGAACTTTAATTTTGACGACATGATACCAAAATAAGCATCAATTAAGGTGGCATCTGGAGACGATGAGACCGGTAATCGAGGTTAACTGTATGGAATACACCAGGACCTATCTGATTACACGCGTAAATTGTAAAGAATTAAGCAAGTATACATTTACCCGAGAGTCCTCTACAGTTTCGCCTATTCTTGTCGCAATATTACAGGGGTACTTGAACAATACCACAGTGTGATATGTACATATGCCTATAAATCGTGCGCATATGCTTTCATGGCCCTTACTTCATGAACTGTAGTACTTTATACCCCTAGAAAAGTCAAGGTTATTATCTGATATTTTGATTTAAATAAAATCCAAGTTCCTCAAAATACTAGACCAGTCTTTATCCTGTCCTTTCAGAAGGTATTCAACGCGATCACCTCCTTGAATGGGTTAGCAAGAAACTCCCAGATTTTCAGATCAAGGATCTGAATGTGAGTTGGCAAGATGGTCTTGCCTTGTGTGCTTTACTTGAGACGATCCTTCCCGGCTCGTGTCCCAAATGCTATCTGCTTGTTCCGGAAGAGGGTTTCCATAACTGCATGCTGGCATTACACGTGGCTAATAGGTACTTTGGCATACCTGAAGTAAGTTCGAATTTATTTCGATTAAGTAAAGGTAGTCATTCTATGACATCGAAGAGGTTGATTAAAACGTTAAAAGGCAAAGAAAAATTATTTTCAGAACTCTTAATCGGAAGCCTAATTGGCCGGCTGTTTGTCCTTTTATACCTATGAATATTTTAAAAACTAATAGATATTGCTGATGTTGATTTCTAAGCACTTTATACATGGTTATTTTTCAGAATATTGTCACAGCAGAAGAGATAGCAGGCGGTATAGGAAAGAATAAACTGGAGATGCTCTTACTGTCTCTTAAAGAATTTTCTGACGCCCGTGACTTGCTGGACGAGAGGAGTCGTCAGGAAGCAAATGACCGAATAGCGCAGACGATCGTGGCCAAAGGCAGCGGCCTTCTTGGTGGAATTGTCGGGAGACGCTCGAGGTGTACCATTTTTGTACCGTCTGAACATCTTAAAGAAGTGTTAGAGCTAGATGTTGAGATACTGGGTCCAAATAATGAATGCTGCAGCGAAAAGGTAAGATCTTTACCAATGCGGGAGACAGGGGTTCTTCCCAAACAGCGTTCGACGGATAATGAAGATTTGCCCTCAATTTTATTCCACCATCAGTGTGTTACAGAAGGACATGTATTGATTAGTTTCGTGCCTCAAACCGCAGGCACACACACCATTAGCATACAGTGGCAAAGTTCTCATATTAACGACAGTCCGTTTATTGTTAAAGTATCACCTGGGAGAGCACTGCATCATCGTCAAGGGTCCCTTAACACAATGGAACCAAATGAAATGGTTCACAGAAGTTTGCGTCACACATCATCAGATTTCGGTGCCAATAGCACGGATACCAGCGATCTTTCGCTGACTAAAACACAAGGAAACGAGTCGACGTCACGTGCTTTGACACCCGTCACAACTTTCACGCAGCAACCGACTGTCATGCGGCGACGGATTTTGAAGCGAGTCATCAGTACTAAGGATGGAAATGAGATCATTCTCCATGATGCGTCATGTTCCTCTGGCCCCTCCAGGGAAAGCAGTCCCGAGGTTCTAAGAATGATGAATAAGGATAAACATTTAAAACAACGCGGTTCGAAGGAAAAATTGCGTAGAACTGTTGCTTTGCCTCTTGGTGGTAAAAATATAGCGGACCAAAAACAAACTGAACGTACGTCAGACAATGGTACTGATAAATGTTACAAGTTTAGAGTGTCAGATGATATAAAACTCGACTCCCAATTGAGCGGCGAATTAAAATACATTCCTGGACGCCAAGGTATTTCCAAGCAATGTTTGGATTCAGATCAGCGTGATCAAACCAAAACAACACCATGCTTGTTACAGTCAGCAGAAGATGAAGGGAAAGAATTGTCAAGGGACGAATTATCAAATGGCACAAACCCTTCTTTAAAATGTTTACAATCAGACAGCTTAAATAAAACGTGTTATTACATGGCAAACAAGGCTATATTCCAGACTTTTGCATCTTCGAGTTCCACAGATGATCCAAATGCAATTATAAAAGTCCCGGTTCGTGCAACTCGCTCCTATCCACTACTTCGTAAGACGTATACAGCCATCGAACTTGAACCTGAAGACACCATGTCGCCGGACGACATTGAGGATGTTACGATACTGATGCAGAAAAGAAGAAAAAGATTCAGTCTGGAGGGTAGTGGTTTGTCCAACAGTCTAGAACTGTTCCAGACAAAGCGTGGGATTAACCATCCTGTCCCTCCGCTTAGCACTGTATTTAGCATGGACGACGAATGCGGTGTTGACGCATCAGTTGAAAAAATGGCGCAAGTTGATGAAAACGAAACATACATTGATCAAGATGGCAAATCTTCAGAAAATTCAGTTTCTGAATTTGACGAAGATTCTGAGATCTCTAAAGAAAATATTTCTACAGAACCCCAAACACTATCAGAGATAGATAAATCTACTCAAGTCACTTACGAGGAGATCAAAACCGAAACTGGATGGGCGTCCAAAGACGCTGATACGGGTACTGATTGTTACATGGTTAGACGCCGTATTCCACTATACGTGGACTCCTTGCCGTTAGGTATTCCGCAGAAGAGAACAGAAGAGGGTCTTCATAGAGATCAGCCGGATTTTTCAAGCGATCAGCGGATAAGTGAGCTGGATTGGGTACAGGACAAAGGGACAGTAAATGATGTCTTTAATGGAGTAGAAGATAGTGGGATCGCAATTGATTCTCCCTCTGAGTCGTATATAAGTATTTCTGGTTATTGGGATCACCAAAATTCTCCTCTTTCGCAACACGTGACAGAAGTACAGTCTGCTTTCCGTCAGTCTAAAAGAAAAGATAACAAAATAACAAATAGAAACCTGACTTACCTTTCAAGTTCCACTACCAGTTCGGAGAGAAAAATGGATAAAAACGACTCCCATAGTAGAGACAAGGAGCAACAGACAGGCAAAAAAGGTAGCCACAAAACTACAGGCAAGCGAAGAAAACACTCAGGGGTGAACAAATATTCTTCAAAGTGTGTCAGGAAAAGCTCCACTACTTCTGTTTCAAAGGGAACAGCCAAAACTGACGTGTCCTCGCGTAATAGGCGGTGGCGCAGGTCGGGCCAACCAAAATGGAACTCCCTAACAAGCAGAGGCTCGTTCGACACATCCATCGAAGACGATTCATTTGCGGAAGGGAGACGACTAGCACACGTCAACAGAGAAAATGTTTTAGAAACAGAAGAAATCGCTGTTCCCAAATCGACCCACCCCCAACTGCATCCAAAAGATTCCCCTGCTGTTGAGAAGCAGAAGTCACTTTTAGATCAGTTTTCACCTACGTTGCCACCGGAATCCATTCAAGAAACGCCAAACTCCCCAAATGATAAGAAATTAAGTCATCGAAGGGCACTATTTATGGATACATTTGGAAGCAGTAGCCTGCAAAGTCAAGACAGTAGATCGTTTGACTCAGGAGATGGATACGATGTGGCATCTTGGATGACAAGTGCGTGCAAATGCCGTGCTTTCGGAACTGGCCTAAGCTTTGGATACGTAGGGGCAAAGACCAACTTTCAAGTAAGATTTTAGCATATTAAGAAAAAGTCGGGTTTAAGTGAGAAAAGTCCAATTATAAGTTATTTTCGACTTTCGTATGTTTAAAATGCATTTGCTACAAAAGGAAAATATATTGATATATTATGTAAAAAAAAATTAGAAAAGAGTTTGCAGCGAAATAGACTGTTTAATTTATTTTCTCCACTTGAGTAAGCAATCGCAAGTGTTTTCGTTTCATCGCTTTACGTTTTCAGCGATAAATAAATTTATTTCTTCAAGGTGGATTCATCAGAATCTGATAGTGGTTACTTGATGGTCGGAGTCAAGGGTCCATTCCCACGGTCAGTGACAGAAGTGACCATAACAGATACGGGGGACAATCTACATGAGGTGGTCTTTGAGGCAACTCTTCCTGGGCACTACCTGATCACTGTGAAGTGGAATGATAAGAATATTCCAGGAAGTCCTTTTATGTGCCACATTACCTTCGCGTAGCAGGTAGTTGTGTGACATTTCACTGACCAGTTGTTTTGACCTTTTTGATATCCTGGAGCAGCCAGGGGACCAATAATGGAGATCATGGAGTTAAGGGTGCACTGGGTTATATTGCAACTTACAGTGCCATTATTTTTATAATATTGTGATTATGAGGAGGGTAGTTTCACCTGCCACAGGAAATCGTTTGATCTAAGGATAAACTTGACGCTCACAATCGGGCCACCTGTGAACCTGATAACAATTTTTCCGAAATTTCTATATGACAAGCAGAAGCAAAAACAGGCAAAGGCGAGAAACAATGTTTGTAGTGTAGTGTCGCAACAATAATAAGAATGGAAAATCAAGAACACCTTATTCTAACCTCACACAATTGACCGACATGTCTTTTGCAAAGCACTGTAAGTCACGACGTCAAGAAATTACTTGTTTTTACTGTGATTTTCGCATAGTGGTTACTTTTTCCATTATCGTTTCATATAATTTCATACAATTGTGTCAATTTTTGGATTTATATTGTGATTTTGTATTTTGTCCAAACCTTAATGCATTCATGTTAAAAATTAAATGTTATTTGCAAGTAATGTTATTTGAATCCTTGCAACATTTGACGCACACGAAACGCAGGCTAATGTAACCTTGCAAGTTGACATAATTCTATTCTTTCATTTAATAACAAAAAAATTATTACTAATACTACAAAACTAATAACTCATAGATCTATAGTCCATTTTAAAATAAATTCCAGCCGAAAAAAATCCACTTCAGACAAAAAAAAAAAGTTATCTGTGTTAAAAACGTTAAAAAATGTAATACTTGTACTAATACGCTTTGTTGATTTCAGCATGAAAGAAAGTACACTCATGGCATTAATGTTTTGTTTTATTTTAATTTTTGTGTAGATATTACAGTTATATATCCATAGCTTTACTCGAATGTTTAACTGGACTCTATCTTCATAAATGATGAGCCAAGTACAAAAACGTTGAGTGTACAGTAAACAATTCAAATGATGTAATACATATAGATATTGTCTTCAGCTAGACGACTAATAATTCTCACACAGTTATCTTACAATGTTACTATACACAGATTGTACTCATAAGCCTTTAACTATTTATCAACACCAGAGTCTTCATTTTTGGCGATGTCACTTTCTTATGCAGTCATTTATGGTTTTTTCTCCTTTTTCTCCAAAGAACTTAGCAGGGCTCCAGTCTCAATTCATTTAAATGTCTGTACAATTAAGTTTTTTTTCCAGTTCATCTTCACTCATACCCGCTGAAATGAAAATGATAGAAAAATAAAACATATAATAAATTTGTATACTTATTAAGTCATTTAGCATCTGTTAAAAAATAAAACGAGTTACAGCTTTATGGGAATCAGTAGGTGCCATCTAAATTGCCATTAAGAAAATACAAGCAAAATAATACGGCCTTCAGTACAGAAATTAAATAAAAATAATATATCAATAATGAGTGAACAATGTCGACTGAACATGCAAACACATCTAGAAACAATAATTTGCTATACATACAAGCATGTGTTGTTTCTATTTTACTCATCGAAAAATCTATGGATGGTTAGGAAGAAGAAATAAAAGACAGAGGTATCAAGGAAAAGTAAAAAGATGAACATGTGATTGAAAGTTGTAAACTGTTAGTCAGAAAAGTGATGGCAAGAAGAAACTAGTCAGAGATGGGTAGTAAGACTACGAACAAAAGACTGTCCAATTATTCAAGTAACATACAAAAATATTAATCAAAATAATTACTTGATGAAAGTAGTAGAAGAAGGCGAAGTTATAATAGAGAAACTTGATAAGTACTACATATATTCAGTCAATAGTTTTGTGAGCATCCAATAGGTTATATACAAGTGACCCTTGGATCTTTGTGTTAAGTATGAGTTACGTTACTGTGACTTACCCAACCCTTTCTGCTATATCCCAATTTGTTGCACTGCTTATAGGTCCTTCTATTCTGGCTCCATCTTTTGTCACAATAGCTATTTGGTACTGAAAGTTAAAAACAAGCATTTAACCCTTTACCAATTACTTTTTATACTGACTGCAACATCTGTAACATCAACATTATAAATAGATGAATGCTCAAATTTCCTTGTTTTTAACATAACTATTCACAGCAACCAAGTTTATTTGAAAACAATCTGAAGCATACACTAATGAAAGCAATATATGACTCAGTCCTCACCTTATTTAGTGACCTGGCATCCCTGTAGTGAAGAACTGTGAGACACTGATCTATAAGTTCTTTTGCTTGCTGCTCTGTGAGATTTGGTTGTTTCTCTAATGCATTCCTAAGAATTGGCTACAAAAGAGAGTGAAAATTATTTTACACTCTAAAAACTGCAAGTTTTTGTTAACAATTTTAACTAAGTGTAAATGTGTCTTTTTTTGTCTGTATGCAAACAAGAATGTGAAATGTGTTGAAACTTACCTGAGCAATGTAGGCTCCATAACCAGAACATACACTTGGAGCTTTGAAAGCTGTTCCTATCTTGTCTACGTAACCAAGAAACCTGTCAATATAAAATCCACATGCCATGTTTTTCTAATAGTCACAAATGATATACTTTATTAGATTTATAAATATGACATTGAAAATATTATCTACAATAACAACAGATATTCTAACTTCCAATCTTAGTGAAGCATAATCATGTTTGTCAAAGGTAAAGCATAACTTATCATGGCTGTAAAATATGAAAAATATTCAGTTAATTTTCATCAGTTTGATTTAAAGCTGCCTTAACATCCCATTGGCCAAAAACTCAAAGTTCACATCCAGAGAGATTACAGATGATTCAAAGGTTTAAGTTTGAGGGTAAAAAATAAAGGTAAATGGTCATGAAAACAATGCCAACAACACAAGCCAAATGATAAGTTAAATAACAATGTAGAATAAATAAGGTCATTTAATCATATGCATATAATAAACAACTGGTGTGCAGAATAAAATAAGTGTGTCATAATCTACAGTGTTCAGAATACTTACGGTTCTCCATCCTGTAGCCCACCAACAACTATAGTGTTCCACAATGGGTTAAAACGAGATCTTCTGTTGTACATTATTCTTGTCAACCAGGAGAACAGAGATTTGGGAGTGTACTGGAATCCGTCATTCATACACTCCTCATCAATTCTGAATTTAACATGAATAAGAAAAATAAGAAACACTTATCTTTTCAGTACAATATATTTGTACTGTGTAAATTAAAATCTGTTAGGTACTGTTGAAAATGCACTTACGTCATTTTCAATTTGCTGCAGGTAAAAACTTGTACCAAAAATATGCCTAACAAAATATTTCCTTTCACTTAAATATTCACGACGAATGCTAATATCAATGACAACACATGCTCAAGCTTGCACTAGAAAAGAAATCATAATAAACTAAATGCAACTTTAACTTACACTCTCTGTTCTATCACAGATTTAATATATTGGAAATCTGCATAATCCCCACCAGCCCCCATCACTGTGCTGTCATTAACTTTCATCAGTCTAGGACAGTGCATGAACCTTGCCAAAGATCCGTACGAACCAAGCATATCAGCAGCCAGGATGATACCACCATCAAATTTTACTCCAAGAACTGAAGTTCCTGTTACCATTGGACTCCTGAAAAGCAAAATAAAAGGCATGGATATAATTCCAAGAGAAATTTAATATCAAAGTTCAGTGTTTAAGCAGTGAAGGGATGAACAAAGTTTTATGCAGTAGTACTCCTATTTTTAAAGGTTTCTGATGAGACTGGCACATACAGCACATATCAGCCCAACCTTTTAACTAGGCACCACTTCTTTCTGAGATCGTCTACTAGCCTAAGTAGCCCTATTCCCCCCCCCCCCCCAATTAGGTTTTAACAAAATTTAAGAACCCTTAAATCACACAGTGAAAAAAGTGTAGTGTGACAGTTATGTTCATTTGTCTTAAAAACCTCTTTGTTAGTTTGAAGGTGAAATATTAATTCAACAACACCTGTCTTCCAGTGCAGTGCCCCAGCAACGACGGCCCACAAACAATGCTGATTCATGATGCTAAAACGCCAGAGTTAACAAAAATGCCTCAAACGCCTTAAAAGAGCAAGAATAAAATACTTACAAAGTCTTTTTGATTGGCCCCATCTTTGTCGATGTTCCTTGACCGGGAAAGTTGTACAAACCTCCAGGTGTAGGACCGTTTCTCCAAAATTCCAGTGACATATCGGTTTCCGTGGGCAGCGCCATTTTGTTTCCTATATTTACCTTTTACCCACGATTTCGTGAATATATTACAAAAACTAAATAACATCACATAATAATCAATAGTAAAAAAGTTTAACTTAATAGACGAAAATTTAAAAATTAAATCTTTATTATGTAAGAACTGGAAATTAAACAGGTTCTAGCCTATATAAACTAGGGTAAACAACGTATTAAGTTAACAACGCTGAAAGTAGCGAATAATTAACTTCATTTGATATTTTCACGATACTTTTTTTTTTGTAAGATTTGTGCAAAAGAGGAAATTGGTCTTTGTGAAATTAATTGCACGAAAAGCTTTATTATTCCTTTCCGCCTTCTTGTCAGAGTAGTCTTGATTTCTTATTTAACATAAGCACATGACTTCCGTGTTTTGGTTGGAGGCAAGCTGAAGTACCAAATACATTAAGCAAGGGCTTTCATGTGTCCCATTTCAGTATGTGTTAACTGACAAAAGAAAGGGTGAATTAAAACCAATAATGGGGACGCAAACAGAGACAACTGGAGAGACTAAACATGTTTTGGAAGACACAAAAAGTATGTTAAATCATCTTCATAAGAAAGATAAAAATGGTTTTTACGCTTAGTTGCAGATTCTTACAGTATGTCATGTGTTATATTACTTCATTGATATTATCTCAGTGATTTCCCATTCCTGTATAAAAGCCTTGTCGCTTTTGCATTAATGTTTGACATGCATGTGTGCAACACATTACTTACTAAAATATGTTATAAAATGTTACTTCCTAGTACCGTATAGCATATCATTGAATACCACGAAATTTCATGCGTTAGCACTCCTATTAACGATTCTGGTATGTACTGTCTGTACATATCAGAATCGTCAATAGGAGTGCTAACACATGAATTTTCGTGCTATTCATTGAAGTAATTTAACTTTAAAAACTTATTCTTGCTTGTGTGTGGGTCTTTTACTGATATGCACTTTTAATTTAATTGACTTCTGTGATCATTCAAACTTATGGTATGTTACATTTGCTATTATACTTTATTCCAGATTGTCTGCCAGCACCAAGCAAGGAAACTATAGAAAAAATTACACAAGGTTTTCTTCAACATTACTTGCCTGATGCACAAAAGGCAAAAGCATCATTGGATGAATTAACGTAAGTTTTTAAAAAATGATTATGTAAAATTGTACTTTATCATGCTTGTAAATGTACACACTATCAATATTACAGACATTTCACAAGTTTTTTTATATGTATATGTATACGTATATTTTGTTTTAAGAAATATTGAGATGAATATCATATATGAGATTTTCTTTAATTTGGAAATTTCTAATTATAAATTTATCCCTTTCAGACAAAACCAAAGAATTTTGTTAGAAACAGTGCAACATGAAAATACCAAATTTTCAGAATGTGAAGCAATGAAAAAACTAACTGACATGGTAAAATTTTTATTTAATTTTATTTATACAGTGTGATAGATTTATATATGCAAAAACCTGTTTTTGACACATATCGCAAAAAAAAAAAAAAAAAAAAAAAAAAAAAAAGTAAAACAAGTAAACTGTAAAAACAGACATTCTGGGTACAAGTATTCAAGGAAGACAACTTACACATGAATAATCTTCTTTTTTCCAGATGATTAAAGCAAAGCAATATCATACAAAACTCCTCATAATAAAAAAAGAAATGGCATCATTACATGAAAGATCTGCTAAACTAAAGGTATGAAAAAAAAATGCCAAGGATTTGCTGTTTATTCCATACACATGTTGGTATACAGTGTCACTTTTCTCTTTTGAATTTTCAGTCTATTATCTGAGCATGTGTGTTGTATGTATAGAGTAAATGTAAAGAGATAATTTTCAGTGTTTTTTTTTTCAGTAGTTTTTTTTTTCAAATTAGGAAATCTACTGTTTGTTTTTCATTTCTAGAGAAGAGCATTAAAATTGCAGCAGCAGAAACAGAAGGAAGCGCTTCAAAGGGAACAAGAAAAAGAGAAGGAAATGGAGAGAGAGAGACATTTAATGGCCAAACCCGTGTTGAGACAATCTTCCAACCCAGAGGAAAAACGTAGTTATGTGACTTGAATTTTGTTAGAAAACTTGTGCTGCTTTCATACAGATTTACAGTTCATTATATTTTGAATTTTAAATGCAAAATCAGCACCCTGAGTGTCAGTGTTAACTGAAAATTAAGCTCTATTATTAGCATGCCTCTAGTAGTTTTCAATAAACTATGAAACTCATTGTGGTCACCAGATGACCAAACTCTCCTAAGGTTACGGACAGAGTTAAACAAAAATTCTAGAATTACTGCCTTTCATACATGTTTTGGATAATAGACAAATCTTCAGTGTTTACTGACCAAGTTCCTTTGCATTTACACAAATCAGCCAAACTCAATTTGGAGGTGCAAATGAGGTCACAGGCATGCTCTTAAAAATATTTAGTGCACAGATTGCCAACTATGTTTGATTATTTAAGGGTCCCACATGAAAAAGTTTGTATCAAAGTTTCACTCTCCTGGAACCATGAATAATAAAAAAATAATTCATTGTCTAGCCTCAAAAAAGGAACATACATTACAGTCACAAATGCAAAATGTCAAGCTGTGAAACGTTTTACTCACTCTGAAAATTCAGTAATCACTGGTTTTGCTCTTTATCTCCAAAAAGTATAAAATTGAAAAAAAATTGATAATCTTCTGCATAGAGGCGTTAATTGTTTTGGAACAACTTTAGTTTGCTTGTCAATGAATATTTAAAAAAACGAGGAAAATACACCCTACCGACAGTAAAATAAGAATTAAATAAATGATTTTCCATTCATGGTCCAAATATTGTATCAGAAGTGTCAAACTATCATGGAATCACAATATAAATTTTCAGTCAGCAACAGAAAGCCCTATTTCCTATTGCACCAACTTGGGTAACAAGTACAAGTACTTGTACTTGTTACCCCAGTTAACACTGAACAGGTACTTGGGAAAGATGAAACTTTCTGACAATTTTTCTGGGGAACATACATTACATAGTACTAGTCGTGACGCAAAGCCCCTTAAGTTACAGTTTAAATATTTATAAAAAATATCCTTATGTCATGTATAATTTACCATGAGTGAATCACTACAAAAAATATGGAACGCAATCTAAAAATTAAAATTAAATGTCCCAGAGCATATGCTACTGGAACATATGTTACCATTTAGGACTCCTTACATAATGTAAAGACATGGTAAAAATTGAAAATTAAATTAAAATTAAGACAGTCGTGTTTTTTGTTTTATACACACATTTTAAAAAATTGAATACATCTTTGAATTCATTCAATTTTATATTTTGGACACTTCAGCATATGAAATGCACCTTGTGGGTTTGGGTAAAATGTCATTTTACCAATGGTGTCATAATTGCTTAACAAGGCAAAATAATGCCTTTGTTCAATATTGCATTATTCCCAGTAATAAGGGGCTCATAATATGACAAAACACTAAAAACAAGCTGATGGTACAGGATCAAACCCATAAACCTCATTTTTGGTATGTTGATGATCATAAACCCTGTCAGTAATCTTAAAAGAACACTGGGATCTCTGTCATGGTGACATTTAGTGCCATGTTTAAAACTCAAAGGAGTTTGAATGTAAAATCCTTTAAACACCTATTTACATTTTACATAGAGTAACAACTTGAAAGGGAATGAATCATTGAAATTTATACTATGGTGCTATCAAAGATAAAATTAATTCTAGATGTGTAAATATGTATCTTGCAGTGAAAAATTTTGTAAAAATTTCCAAACAAGGTGCGCTATGACTATTTTCAGGTAAAATGCCTGTGTTTAGATTACAGTTGATATTTAAGGTATTTTTGTTTGACAGATAAAAGAAAATTGTGGGTTAATGATAGGAGTGAGATACATGTTATGGGATTTTTTTTGTCAATTTTAAAAGTTTTTAAATTGTTAATTTTGTTGTCAATATGAGAATTTAGGTGTTGGTCATAACATGCATTTAGTAAGCATGAGTAATGATGAAATATAACTTGTAAAAGGGCAGCATAAAATTTTGGCAGCTCTTATTTTCATTAGTTTACTGAATTGTGATGATTAGGAAATTTTTCAACAGTGCTGAAAAAAGTATGTATGCATTTTATCTGAAGAGCTGAATATTTATAAACTTAGTCCCAGCAAGGCTCTGACTTTCAGTTATTTAAGTTGCTGCATTTCTAATACATCTGTATGACATTTCTGATAATCTTGTTATGTTAACTGTTTTTATTATAGGTTATTTTTTTCTTGACAAAATACAATGAGCAATGATCATAAGGGACCAGAAAGCTTCACACAAAATACAGACAAAATGCGACAACGGTGTAAGTAACTTCAACAGTTTGATAGTTTGATTATATGTTTTATATATAATTATATTCTTTCGTCTATTGTTTTAGTACATGTAATACAAATTACTTTTAATTGTTATTTGTTCAATAATGCACTTTTCATATGGCCCAAGGGTGATTTAAATTTCAGTATATATTTAAGCAATTATTATGATTGTTATTATTATTATTGCTGTTGTTCTGTAGAGATTACCACATATTTCATATATTTAGGCTACACTGATGGTTGTGCAACTATTCACTTATTAAAAAAGAAATGTAAATAAATTATTACTCTCTTAAACAAAATGTGTTTTGGTGAATTTATTAAAGCCTGCATGGTTATGAAGATAATTTGTCTTCGGCTCTTGAGTATATTTAAAACCTAAAGAAAATCATACAATCTATTTTCTATTGTTCAGTTAGTGGTACTGGCAGGAAACTTACATGTACACTGTTACACTAGTCGTTGAATGTGTTTTGATTATGAATAATCGCCCTGCGATTGCCTTACTTTGAAAACATTTTTTATTTACATAATTAACTTTATTACTAAGTCTAGATCTATACTTTAATTTTCTTTCTTTTTTTTTTTTTGTCCTGTTGAGTATTGTTTAATTGTGACGTCAGCCCCATATAATTACAACCACGTGATCTTTCCTTGTGACGTCATTGATATCATAGATACAATGATAATGTAGACATGCGTGTATTCACGATGTTGGTTAAAAAATCGCACGAAATATGCCATCCTGGCTAAGAAGAGCCTGGAATAGAATCAATTGTTGTTCTTCGGGATCAACCGAAGTAATTGAAAGTAGCAGACCAAACTCCGTCAGAGAAAACGATGAAATTCGTAAGACGTAAGTACGGTCTTCGTTAGCGCCATCTGAATACTGGAAATCTGGGGAAGGGTATTTAGGCTCTGATGTTGCCGTTCGTTATACCTATAGTTCTCGAAAGGAAATTATCCTACATGTGTAATAGTTTTAAGTACACTTGTTTGGTTTATTTTAAAAAATCCTCAACCATTGATCCAGATCCGAATTATGCGACTCTAATCATATCCTACCTAGAATTAGATATAGGCACGATTTCTCTCACAATTTATAACAAGTTGATCGTGGCAATATTGCATCAAAGAAGAAAAGATGTGTTCTTTGTTTTTTAAGCAAGGGCAAACATTAAGGATTAATAATAGATGTAACCGTGGTTGGTTACCAATTTTGAACGGTGACTTGAATAAACGCAGCAACCAGCATGAAGTTTCTAGTACTCTTTATTCCTCATGCATGGACTACAGTCTGGCACGCAGGCAGGAACAGTCTTGACGATCTCCCAGGGTCTCTCTCTCTCTCTCTCTCTCTCTCTCTGAGACGTCAAGTTTTCATAGGGAATCGTACTGATTCCTGTACGCCATAAATCTATTAGTAAGCGTACATATATCTGTCTGACTTAAAAGGAAGATCAATAAAACTAAAAACTGGGATTACATTATTTTTTATAGTTGCCCTAAACATTGATATATTCTCCGGGTAGGAAGGTTACATAACGCTCGGATCTGGGACTGGCTTTAACAAAATTATATCAGGTGTGGTGACTGGATGAATTGTATGAGGGTAGGGAATACCCCCCCCCCCCCTTAATCACCAGTCACCAAGATTAAAAAGCTCAATCACTAAGATATATTCAAGCCAATCACCAATCACCAAGAATTCCTGAATCACGTTTCACGCAAAATATTGGGCTCAAATAACGAATCACGCTCGAAAAATAAGGCCAATCACGCGGAACGCAAAAGGTATTCCCTACCCTCTTGTATAACACTACCGGGTTATATGGACATATATATCGAAAAAATTACAACACTTTTCACTTAACCACCTAGGTATGCCATATCCAAAATCAAAACCTTTAAACCTGCCAATGAACTTATTTCTGAGTTATTCTCGTACTTAAAATGGAAATTGAGATCAACAGGTGCTAATTCGTATGTTAAGAATCACCTTTATTTTCAAGCGTTTACATTTTTTCCAAAATGTTATGTATTTTCACAGGTTTCCATCAGTAGATTCTCATACTATTGGAGTCCTCCATGGACAAATACCATCCGCTGTAGCAAGAAAAGAATTACAACAGAGACAAGACCCTGACGAAGAAGCTGACCCGCCGAATAAAACTTATGAAACACCTGGACATGAACCAACTCCCCAAATCATAGATACCTCAACTGCGGATGTTATAGAGAGTGCAGGCCAAGAAAAGCTGCACTTTAAATTTGACCAAAAATCAATCGCTGGATCAAATGGCAATCAAGTGGAAGGAGGTCACGTGGATAATTTTCCAACTAAAGAATGTTCCACTGAGGCAAAATTGCTTTCCATCGGCGCCTCTGAGGACATTTCTTCTGGTGAAGAGGACAGCTGCAGATCCGAGATGTCTCTCTTGTCAACAGCTTCTGAGATATGTGAAACGAGTTCTAGCAGTGACAGCAGCTCAGAATCAGAAGAGAGCGAGTCCCTTACAACAGTTTCTATGCTGTCATTACCAATCCCTGACGCAAGCGACAATAAGGCCCTTTTTGGACAAACGGACTCTTTCCACGCAGACGAAATGGGTGAGATAACAACCGCCGTTTTGGCAAGCACTTCAAAGGTAACACTGTCTGCATTCAGTGGATTGGAAGACACTTTCATGACGAACGGCAAGCTTGAGGAACAGATACCAGCCCTTCACCAAAGCACCACGGATGATTCGTTAGTTTCTTTGTCGTCCTCCGCGTCCACCACCACTGTAGACGGGTCCAACAGCGCCGCAAGCTACAGCAGTTCATTCGATAGCATTTCTGAGAGATCACTCCAAACACCTGGAATTTCCTTCTCTGCTGTCACCCTAGAAACGCCTCAGACATGTGAAAAAGAGCCAGTCGCTGGACCTAGTGAAACCTCGGTTGCAGAGGAAATAGGAAGTCATACATCTCTGCATAGGGAGTCACTCTCAACAACCACCCTTTGTGGGTCTGAATATGCACCGCGGCCAAACAGTAATTCCAGTGACAGCAGCATCCCAGAGGATTTCGAGCCATTTAGCTGTCTGTCTGAGGTGTCTCTCTCGTCAACTCCCTACGGTCCCAAGAGTCCCTCTGATATAAAACCAGTTATTGGATATAGCACAAGTGAACACTCTATCATGGAAGAGATTGTTGGAGCAATTGAGGAACTCGCAGAGGCCGTGTCCACTATGGCATCTAAGGACCTGGGATCAGACAGCGAAGAAAGCATCCCAGAAGACCTGTCTGCCTTCAGTTGTCTGAGCGCGATGTCAAACCCCAAAGACGCAGCAGGTCCTAGGCCGGACATTGAGTATAGCACAAGTGAACACTCCATAATGGAGGAGATATTTGGAGAGTATGAGAAACCCATAACATATAAGGAGTCACTGTCGCCTGATCCAGTCACAAATGGGCGGAGATCCAAACAGTCCACCACCTCTGGAAAAGTCCTCGCTAATTTCAGCTGTTTGTCCGAGGTCTCTCTCTGCTCAAATGACGCTGACCCATCCGATATGAGACCGGGTATCACATATAGCATAAGCGAATATTCCATTATGGAAGACATTGTTGGAGTAAGTGAAAAGAACAGAGACTCAGTGTCGTCTGATTCAATCAAAGCTGAACGGGGCTCCAACAGCGATGTAAATGACATCTCCGACGTTACGTACAGCATAAGTGAAACCTCTATATTAGAAGAAATTGTAAGAGTGGTTGAAAACTCCGAAGATGCAGTATCCAATGCAGCATTTAATATGGATCAACAATTACAGGGCAAATTAAGCCCCGATGAGACAAATTCTTTGTCGAGTGTTTCTGTAATGATTCCAACGCCATCTCCATCTAATCTCCAACAGAAACAAGGATCTGCAACATCTGAAAATTCAAGGTATATGTTTCTCCCCTTTTTCTTTTTATACTTTTTTATTACTTAAAAAAGGAAACTGAATAATGGTGTGATAAGTTAATATTTTTACATTATGGTACATGTATATCGATGAAAACAGCGTTTTTTTTTATTTTTGATAATAACATAAATACTGATATATTCTGATTTTTGATATTGCACATTATTATGAAAGGTTATACCTATATATTTTAAAAGCAAGTTAAAGGGGTAACAACTGTTCATTTTGGGGAAAAAACGGATTTTCCTAGGTTAAAGGACGATCTTCCAATCCTTATAAATGGTTAACATTCAAACATTCAGAGATATTGCATTTTTTATTCTAAAATCTCTGGGTTTGGGTTTCTTAATAGATATTAGGGGGTAGATGGGCCATCTATGAAGGTCCACATGATCTGATGGCAACCACAGATTCCAGAATGATTGCAATAACTGCAGTTTTGGTGGTATATATTGGAATTTATAATATTTCTATGAGTTGTTTACAGTGCTTTTATTGTGAAATATTTATCTCATACTAACAGTTGTTATCCCTTCAAGAATTCATATTTTGTCTTATAAAGGTCGGGAGCTGCAGCTCCAACTCCATCTGTCGTGGGCAACGGTCACGATAGTCAAGATTCAGGACTTGGGAGTAGACCTACCACGGCCTGCCGTACTCGGAAAACATCAAGTGACTTCGTTATGCCTCAACCTTACAAAACTGGTACAAAGCCTTACAGACATCGTAGCCGTGAACAAGCAGTCTCTGTACATGTATATGAACACAATACAGCCAGGTCAGACGAAGGAGAGAAGTCCCCCAAAGTTCCGTCTGCAGGCAAGAGGACCAGACCAACTGCGGCACACCATCGTCGCCGCAGGAAGACTACTGCAGAACACAAGCTAGTAGGGAAAACCCAAAATACATCTCAACTTGACCAAAACGTTTGGGATAAATATTCAGAATTTAATGAGAACAGTTACGAGTATGAGTCAGATTTTGAGGACTAATTAAAAGTTTTGCAGTGGCAATTTTCAATACAATACGATATAACGCCCTAGGTAATGAACTGAAAAAAATGCCAATTAGCAACAACAACGGGGTCAATCTGTTCAAGAGCATTGAGTGACATAATGTCTGTGCAAGGCACAAGATGTTACCCATAACAGCTTGTTGTTTTCTGCAAATTTATCGACTAGTTCATCCTCTTTTTTAATACAAATTAACACAATGTATATCTATAGCAAATTCTTGTAATGAAAGTAAAAAAAAAAAAAAAAAAAAAAAAAAAAAAAAAGATATGAAGAGAAGGTAGGCCTACAACTTGAACCGACTTTAACAAAGGAGACAATTGCAGTGGTTCAAGTTGTCATTATAGATTTTATCTAGAAATTAAATATGTAAATATTGTAAATATTTAAATATATGTAAATAATTTTGTTATATGTAAATATTGTAAAAAGTACAAATATAATTCTTTCAAATGTCAATGTAAATGCTACTGGAAAAAAATAACATCTTCTTCCAGTAGCATGTTATACTTGCAGTCTTGTAGTATAGTGTAATATAGTATATCTAGGTCAGAAATCTTGAACTTCTTTTTCAGTGAATTTGTTGATTTGTAGCTAAGCATGTTCAAAGGTTTATAAAGAATAATTAAAACGCATGTTTGTGAAAGTATTTATTGATAGTATAGTGATAGTCGAAAGGGCTCGTATAACTGTCAAAGTTCTTCTCAATATACAGATGCTCTTGTTGTCGGGCAAAGCAGCCAGTTTTCTTCTCTGTCGCAATCGTCACAATGTTGTCCATTTTAACCAGCACAACCAATAGACTTCCGGTTTTAGAGCCCGCAAGCAAGATGGGGATGTTGGACAGCTTGGATTTTCTCGACGATGTACGGCGCATGAATAAGCGCCAGGTGAGTTTCATTAAAAGAAATGCGACTTATTTGTTGATAAACTTTCATTTTAGCCACCATGTTTAGTCATTCAATATTGATTGTACCAAAATTTGATATCCATCTGCCTATGCCGGTTACTTGGCTCAGTGTTGTGTTAGTTCGTTGTTACACGTGTACTTATTTTGTGGATGTGGAGTGTTTTGTTTTTACCAAGTCCTACATGTCTCAATGTCCTAATGCATTATCGCTTTTGGACAGTTTTCCGTTTTCGTATACATTTTCCTTTTTGCACCATGGTTACATTCTTCTAGGAATAGGATTCAGTGATCTGCACGTCTGCTCACCAGTACTAGTAGCAGTAACAGCTGCAGCTGGTGGGCAGACTTTTGAATTTAGAATTAAATGGCAAAACAGCATGAACAGCAGTACCATGAAATTTCGTAGGCTACCATACATATTTACTTTTTCTGTCATGTACTAATGTTATATAAGCACGGATTTTCATGTTAGCGCTCCTATGTACTAGTACTGTGTTTGTGTTTTCTGACATGTACTATATGTGCTAATATATGAAAGATATGTGAACATATTTAAAATGACAGTGAGCTAGTGTGTCCACAGCAATACAAGGGCCCCAAATCTTTTGCTTACATGTTCCACACACCTCCTCAAGTTGCATGCTCATTAAAAGCTGAACAGTCTTGCCACTGTCAGTGCTATGAATAAGGTAAATCTCATGAACTGATAGCCAGTTATGCCACTGTAAATTATGCACCCATAAAATGCCATTTATGGATTTCTGAATGTGCGAAGTAGGTCACATCTTGGTGAAGGATTTTGCTCATGCAGAAACAAACTCTGAAGGAGAGTGGGGGATCCCTCATCACTGTTTTCACTACCATCATTTATATGGCCTAGGTTTGTATTTTACTAATCACCCAGCATCCTACTGTGGTATACTGAATTTACTTCATGATGGCGACTATAGCAAATTTATTTATAATTGTTCTCACTTTTTTGTTTTTGATTTCCAGCTTTATTACCAAGTGCTAAACTTTGCCATGATAGTGTCTTCAGCTTTGATGATCTGGAAAGGTTTGATGGTTGTCACAGGGAGTGAGAGCCCTATAGTGGTAGTATTGAGGTAATAGACCAGGGATTAAGGGTGGGAATTTCTGTTTTACTATATACTTTAGATCTTTGTATTTTGTGGAACGAAAAATCAAGAGGAGAAGGTTACCAGATTTTATAGTAAGTACAGTATTAACGTTAAAATGGAGATTTTAGTTTAGGTCTTAGAAGAGAAAATGTTTTTATTCTTCATTAGAATTCTCTCTTCCCATCCTCTGTGTGTGTGTGTGTGTGTGTGTGTGTGTGTGTGTGTGTGTGTGTTTTTAAAGGGGACTTCCTGAAAGGGCTAAAAGTACTCACTCAAATCATTATCTATTTAGCATGATGTATTGTGAAAGAAAATATTTGAAGTTTCTTGAATTCTATGAGTTTAATTTGAATAATTTATGTAGAAATATATGTTTATTGTTTATATGTACACAGTACTTGTAACTATGACTAAAATCACTGAGAAGTGATACTCAGCAATTTTTTAAATTTTGAATGGAAGGTCTCTTAGATTGGGAAACACATCTATTTCTCTGTTGATTGTTTAAAGAATATCATAGAAACATTGTGAAATTTATTTTTTTCAGTGGCAGCATGGAACCAGCATTCTACAGAGGAGATCTTCTCTTTCTCACCAACAATAGAGATGAGCCCATCCGTGTTGGAGAAATTGTTGTATTCAAAGTAGAAGGCCGAGAAATCCCCATAGTACATAGAGTATTAAAAGTGCATGAAAAGTGAGTATGTCACAAAAGTAAAATTAAATAAAAAGCAAAAATTAAACAAAAATTGCACTTCATATATCAAATTCCATGAATAAAGTGGGAATTTACTGCACAATTTTATTTGACTCTCTCACCATCCAGGAGTAACACTTTTCATCTTCATTTGACATATTGCTGTACAGTAGTTGTGCTTTCCCCAAAATATTTGTCAACCATTGTTCAGATTTTGGTAAAATAATTGGGGGAAAAGGTACATAGATAAAAGAAATTAATGTTAACAATTAATCTCTGGTGGAATTTGTTCAAGATAAAAATTTGTTTTGTAAAAATTATTTTTATTTGGATTTTATGTAAAGATTATTTTTATGAAAAGAAGGAATAAATATGTGCACAATCAAGATAGGCATACACCTGAAAGTAGCCTTTCTGGATATAACTTACCATTGGATTCTTACTCGTGTCATCCACGTCCCTTGTATCTGTCCTTTAAACCAATATAAAAGAAGGATTACATGTGGAATTGAACCTAACAGCTAAATGTTTGTTACTATAAGAAAACCAAAGAAATGCATGTCCCTTAATTTCTTGCTAACAAGTGTATCAGGCTATCATCCATCAATATCTTGTTGTCTTTACAGAGAGGATGGAACAGTTAAATTTTTAACAAAAGGTGACAATAATTCAGTAGATGACAGAGGACTGTATGCCCCTGGACAGTTATGGCTTCACAAGAAAGATGTTGTTGGAAGAGCTAGAGGGTAGGTATACTTGCAGCTGGTTGAGAGGTTTCAGATTGCTATAGATGTGCATGATTGTGACAAAGTTAAAGTATTTCAAAACGTGCCATATTCTATTTATTTCTGTATGAACAAAATGTTAAACTAAATAAAATTTGAAGAATTAGTGAGGTCAGTTTAAGGAATGGCTGGATACATGAAAAACCATTTTCTTTTTACAAAAAATAAATAAACGTAAAAACTCTTGTAATATCATTTAAAATAATTTAGTCAGCTTATATTTATATGTAAAAAAACATCAGAAATCATATCTGTCCTTTTGTTCAGTCAAAAACCTGTTTTTGCAGTGTAGCTGACAAAAATAGAAAACTTTGGGCCTTAAGCTGTTGTTATTTGCAGATGAATGTTGAAAAAGATAATATCCCCTTTCTTCCACAAACCCAAATCTACAAGTAAATGCCAATTTTAAAAGCTTGCTGCATCTCTTAATGATTTCTTGAATAACTCTGAAATTACTCATCAGAATTGTGTAATAGGTGTTTATGCAAATTTACCTTAAAGTTACATGAGTGTTTAATATATATTAAACACTCATGTAACTTTAAGGTAAATTATGTGTTGTTGTCTCAGAGAAATCAAAATTGTCCTCAAAGGTATGCAAGTTCAATTCAAGTGTCAGTGAAATGCTTATGAGGACACGTTTCATTTGCGGTGAACCAAACCAGGTATTAAGTTGACTTGGGGTCAAACCCAGTAGTGAATAGGCACAGACTGCTCCAGACCTTCTTTTCTTACCATATTTCTGAAATGAAACACCTTAAGAAATATATTTGTATGTGTGCGTCTGTAATTTTTCTCCCTGAGGGGTATATAAAAAAGCAGTGGGGACAGGTATTGAAAAACAGGTTCAAGTTGAAAGTTTCTTATTGCTCAGTTATTTTTACCTGGTGAACAAGGAAGGAACTTTCTTTCACAATGCAGGTACATGACAAATAGCTCTCACTTTTTTATGTCATTGTGTATGCAATTTGAAAAAAATTTGAACAGCTACAAGATTTTTTTTTTTGATAAATTAGATTTTTGCTATATTTTTTTTAGGAAAAGCAGAAAATTCAGATTTTTTTCATACATGCATAAATGGGCACAGATAATAAAAGATTTGTAAATTGATACAAACTTTTCTTTTTGAATAGATCATGATGTTCTTATATTTGCCCATTGTTTATATTGTCAGGTCATGCTAGTTGTTTTTAATTGGTGGGAATTGAAGCACAATTTTCTAACAATTTTTTGCTTCACTAACTTGTTTTTTTTTTTGTCAGGCCATATAAGGTTCTAAAAAAAGTCCTGTCATTGTCCTTTTATTTCATCTTCACAGGATGTTGAATAGGTATTTTAACTTTCAGTTCTGTGTGATCTGAAAGGCTCACAGTGGCTCAGTAGCAAATGCTGTTAAATATTTGGTAGTAATAATAATCGCCTTAGTATCAAGAGGTTTTCAGTAGGTGGATAGATGGGGTTTAACAGAATTTTAACAACCTTTTTTATTTAAGCTCTGGTCCCATTATAATTGTCATGATCAAATGTTTGATCAATAGCAGAGCATCAGTGCACAGTTGCACTCCACTCACTCAGGTGGACCAATGCTGGGTTGGCAACCATCTTATTTCTGCAGTCATATTGACCCAACCTTTGAATAGAGATTCTCAGAATCACTTTTTATTTTTCTTCTTGCAAATGTATTTTCATAATGTTTAAAGACCATACCAGTCTGTTCTTTTCACTTCACCATGTGGAATTTCTACATGGTCAGTCCCATTTCTTTACAAGCATAATGAGATCAGCAATTTCCATGTCAGACAGCCAATAAATGTCAACTTCTATAAATATATGTTAGTAAACTGCTCACAATCAAACAAAGTAAGGCTTCATTTTATCAATTTCTTTGAGCTTCAGTAAATAATTGCATGTTAATTTGTCATTTTTTTATACTAAATTGCAAGTTTGTGTGATTGAGAGGTTTTCACAGGAAAATTATAAAGGTGCATATATTGCTGTAATGCACATTTCAAGTTTTTATTTTTACGGAATCAGCCTTTTTCTGTATTTTTTTTTATTACCACACATTGATATCATTTTTAAGCATGACATGGATTTTTTTCAACAAGTTAATACAAGGCACATCACATGGTGGAATACTATTACATACATTCACGTGGTATTAGATATATATGCAGCCTGTCTTAAGTTGAACTTAATGGTATCTTAAATTTCACTGGTATTTCCTTTCTTGTAGATATCTCCCTTTTATTGGCATAGTAACTATTCTAATGAATGACTACCCTAAGCTGAAGGTGGGTAACTGTTGATCATTTTTCAGCTGACATGTTCATTCATTTTCTGTTCTTGATGTTCTTAATATTATGTGTTTTCTGCTTTGTTGTTTTTAGATTTTTACCTTATGTTGGGTATGCAACAATTCTTATGAATGACCATCCACAAGTTAAGGTATGTTTATGTGCTTACGACTTTGGAAAATAAAAATAGTGCATGTGCACTAAAGATTATGTAAACCTGTTGATCACATTAATGAATTAACATTTATACTTGTTTTTGATTATTTACAAAGAGAAGTTGAATTAATTATTTGTAATACAGGATTTTTTGTTAGTTATTTGTGCCAATTGTATTATTGGCTGATTTATTTAGATTTTTACTTGTGTATTTATTTATTTATAATAAAAAAGGTGTTTACTACATATGTGGCATGTGAGATTGCACATGACAAAGTTTCATGGATTACTCTGTTTTTGTTTGTAAGATATGTAAAAGTTCAATGTGCTACCTTTTGGACTCCCTTTATCTACTTTGAAGTTTTCCCTCTTTCTTTATCATAATTTAATTGCAACATTGGGTGTCTGATTCCCCATGACTTCTACTTTTCTTTTGTGAAACAGGCTTTTGAAATGTTTTGCTACTTGGGATAGGGCATCCTCCCTTTTTCTTGATTCATTGAAAAATACATAGGGGTGTTGATTTAGGTCTTGATCCCCACCCGTGTTAAGTTCTTATAGGCCAAATGACAGTGAACCATGTAATGTTGCAAGTGCACTTCTGCCTGAGTGATAATTTATTTTGGCAAAACTGATCTTGTTACAGCCAGTTAATACCATGTGCTATTTTAATCTGAAAGCTGTTGATGAAAAGAGATTTTTGCACATAGTGTACATTTCAGAGAAAAAAGGTGTAAAAGCACTATTTGTACCTTTTGAACTTCTGTGATTTGTAGCTTGTTTAGTTAATTAAGGTATTTACATACAGACACAAAGTGCATTGATTTTGTAGTGTTAAATTAATTGATTACATCTGAAAACAAATAATGATTTCTTTATTTTTTACATTATTTTTCAGTATGCAATATTGGCATGTCTTGGACTGTTTGTGCTGATACACAGAGAATGACATCCATCTTTAAACAACTTGGAATTGGAGGTCAGGAGCAGAGAGATTATTCATTTCATACAAATTTTTGTACAAAATTAAAAGGATAGAAATTTTAAAGGGCACGCCGCAAGCAGTATCACTGGATACTATAAAGGAGTTGATAGATTGTTGTGAATGGAAACTGTCAGAGGATGAAGGAAAGAATGTGAAGTACTCTGAGGTTGAGGAAACGGATTAAGCTGTGGGGACCTTGCCTCGACCTTAGTTGATCCAATGTTTGTACACAAACAGAAAACTATCCAAGAGACCAAAAGGTCCTACGTGCCACTATAGTGCTGCATGGATTTCGCGCCATTTCATACAATATTACACTTTGATAAATTGCAATTAATCAAATGTATCAACTTTTCACATTGTACCCAAGCATTCCTTATCGGATTTAGAAAAGGTAATCGTTTTAAAAATTGAATAAGGGCAAGATAAATAGCCTCTTTATTTTGCTGTAGTACAAAGGCTTGAAATTTAACTTCGAGCAGCTGAAAGATTGAGATGTGAACTTCTAGATTATGTTTATTTATGTCCACTTAATAAAACTTTTTAGTAAGGTAAAGCGTTGTTTTTGTAGTATAATTCAATTATATCGAATTGCAAGGTCTTGCAAGGCTTTACAAGGTGACTTTGTTTGCTAACGTAGTAGATTTGTTATACAGGTGGTGCTCGATTCCGTGTCGTGATGAAAACGGATTGGTAAGCAGCCAAGAGCAGCGCGTTTTTGCACGTGCGCCCACACGCAAGCACACAGACACGGCATTGATAAAAATTATAACTGAGCAAGGTCTGAAATGAAATAAACGAAAGGAAAAGGCTGTGTGCTCCGAATTTTAAATTATGGAGGTGGTGACCTTTAATTTGCAAACTTAATTAGAAAGTGAAATTAAGCTTCAGTTTCAGACCCCAGATAGTGATTTTCCCTAACATTTACTAGAACCTCACCTGAGTTAACCCATGGTTTTATTTTTCAAATCTTGGGAGAAAAAAATGGGAAGATGGAATCGCATGCTTGGTGTAATGATTGCATTGATACAGAACAGCATAATTTTGACCATGGTAGTATAACAATTGTGTGGTACTTGATATCGTATCATAACCTAAGGTATTACAGTAATCTTTCAATAGGCTATCGTAAAACGAGTAGTTATTGCAAGGACATTCTTGGCTAAGGACTTCATGGCCGATTATATGATACGCAATGGTGATATTTTTCATCATCAAGATACTGAGGGCAATAAACCTATGTATTACAGCGCATAAATAAAATGATTGAAATTATGGAGAAATGTCCCCGTGAATAAAATAACACGATGTTACTAATACACTACATGTTCATTTAAGTATACAGATCGTGATGATTTTATCACAAATGGACTCTATGAATGATTTAATCAACAGGACTAATACCCATTGTAGATTATCGTTATAATGTTGAATCTAGGAAGTAAATTATCTTTGACTCAAACTTAAAAAATTAAGCGGTTTACCTATATCCTAGTTTGAATAAGGAAAGTCGAGCGGGTGACAGTTCTTTAAAATCCTTTTCAACATACGTGCTATTTCTCACTTTTTCGTCTTCATCTGTCCGGACAATTGTCAAATAATTCGTAGAAAAGTGGCGATAAATTAACCATGCCTTAATGACAGAAAACCGATATGACTAAACGATCGAAAATGATTTGAAAGAATTGTTATCAACCTCGCAGGAGTTCTAATCTCGAAAAACCTGAATTGTGATTGCTTTCACATCTTTGCTAACCATACCGTTCTCCTTCTTCACGAGGAGATAAAAGTACTATCCAACTTGAATGTCCTATTTTAAAAGGCGAACATAATTTGAGCCTGTTGCAAATATTGGCTATGTGTTATCTCTTCGTTATCTGGATTCTCCTTTTCTTGTTGGACGTCTTCAATTTGTTATTCAGCTTATGCGCCATGCCAATATTTACCAAGCTGTCGAGATACTCTGTACCCTGGTGAAGAGCTGTTTATAACCCATGATTAAACATTTAAAAGTCTCGTAAAATTTTAATGGCTATACAAGTATAAAATTTTTTGTTACATTTTGGGTGACTTGTTAAATGGAGGTTACGGAAGGAAAGGTTTAATTCCTGGATGATGATGAGGTCACATTGTTGTTCTTTATCACCCTCTCGTCCCTCAAGTTGTGTATTCTTATCACGTCAGTCTATTGGATAGGTAACTGGTCCCGTATTATTGGAGGGCGTCAAAAGCGTACTGATACCACCAACACCGGCACGCGGGACGGGCCACTGCCACGGAACACGTACAAAGAAAAGTTTCTTTGGGTGGCCATGGCGAGGGATAAGTTCGAATTTCATGACCCCGGCACAATTGGTTCCTCTGAGAGTTTTCTGTTCAACGGATCGAGGAAATCGAAAGGATGCCACGTCAGTGTCGTTTCTGGGATTATTCTGGTGTTTCTGGCCATTGCCATCACGGTAGGGGTTGGGTTGATAGTGCATTTCGCTGGCGATAGAGTAGTGTGTAACTGTGGCACAGGAACTGACGGAAATGGAGGGGATAATGACAGACAAATAGGAGTAACATCGAAAACGTCACCGCCCCCTATTACAGAAACAACGTTAGATCCAGATACGAAGCAATGTATCGCAAACTGTAAGCAAAATTTACTTTTTAAAAACCATTTATCTTTGATGAATAAAAGTAAGATATTGATAATGTAAGAAGTCGATGGGAGGTTTAGGTAGTAGAGGGAAAAATTATGATTTTGTGTCTCGATTTCTCGCTTTCGCATATCTGCGCAGTTGTAGGAAAGTTCGATGTAGATAATATTATCCATGTTTGTTTAAGCATACCTTATTGGTACTCTCTGACCATAGGGGCCACTAGTTGTCTGTAAAAGAATTATTGTATCGGTCCGCACTTTAATTCTGTAGAATATTTTGGAGGCCCCTGATAGTAGCCGGTCCCCAATTGGGCCGTGTCGTAAGATTCCAGGATGTGCCCCGTGTAATTAAATTATTGCTGCTAAAAATTCGATTTGTAAAACTAAGATGTGGCTGTACTGGTGTAGTCTTCCGACTCCCGAAAACATTGAATCTACGTCTTTTATTTGAATTAGTGTTAGACGGTGTATCGGCTGCCTTGCGAATCCAGCCTGGTGTCCTGGATGATAGCCGGTTTATATACCGAGAATTTGTTCTTAGGCCAAGACAACGTCAGTATTTGCAGTTTAGCTATCTATGTATAGCAGCCACAAAAAAACAGATAAAAAAGAGGTGCAGCTATTCAGGTGTGTTGATGTTTAGGTGACACGAAACGAGAACCTCGTGATCATTCGCTAGAAATTTTGTTTCCCGTTGCATTTATCTTTTGGCGTATGTTTTCCTGACCAAAAATTTGTCAGGTGAGGGGAGATATTTTTACACGCAAACTTGCAGATTGAGAAATGTGTCGTGGCAAAAAGGCCAAAATACCTTTTTATCCATAAGGTATTTTCGTAAAGGTAGGTTTTAAAATAATCGTCAAAGGACTGATCCTAGCCTCATGTTCGCATGTAGAAAACGCAAGCACGCACACATACATGTGTACAATAAGCCCCTTTGTGCCTGACCTATATACACAGAATATTTAATGTTTCCAAAATGTATGAATTGTATGCAGGTTGATAGTTTTGTTTTAAAAGTGCACACAAACGATTGCAGAAATTACTGATAATTATTAATAATTATCATAAATGGATGATACGATGGCATCCGAATGCTGCAAATGTTAGAGGACTTCTTTGTGCATTTAGAAATAGAAATAAATGAAAAAAAACTTTGGTGATAAATGGAGAGAAAAAGACAGGAATGACTGATTGCATCAGTGCTTAGGACAGTTAATTGTATAACTTACTATAACAAGTATGACTTACCTGGGGATTCTATTCAACCAGGAAGGAAAAAATTAAAAAAAAAAAAAAAAAAAAAAAAAAAAAAAAAAAAAAAAACGTCAATTAAAGTCCGTGTTATTAGCGAAGTCACAATTGTTGAAATTTGGGTCATTCATTAAAAAATAACGACATCCCCTTCTGGGTAAAACGTTAAGGCATGAAGTGTGTTTTACTGTCCTCATTATTGTACGGTTGTGAGGCATATATATGCGGCAAAGAGAAGGCAGCACGTGTCTAACATATACTGAGTAGATGTTCTTAATTTTTATTGTAGGGGAGCATTCACATTGAGAAGAGCCGAGATCTTGTTAGGCTGCGATCTAAATATGGCGGACCTATATGAAAGGAAGGCCGCTTAATCCATTAATGGTCTCTCCGCCTCTCACACGCCTCCCCGCGCGTCGTCCCTGCAGGGGCACACTAATTAAATCTCGGCTCAATTCAACCGGTCGAGGGACGACGCGTGGGGAGCCGTGTGAGAGACGGAGAGACCATTACAGGATTAAGCGGTTTTCCTTTGATGTAGGTCCGCCAGATTTAGGTCGTTGTCTTATTAGACCTCGGCTCTTCTCGATGTGAATGCTCCCTAGGAGTGCGTTTTTTCACCCCTAACGATTTAGCATTTTAAGAATTCGCTGTAAAGTCGTTATAAGCAAGAGTCCATCGTGTTCATAATTGTTTTATTTCTAAGGTCTTAAATGACAGATATGATAGACGACCCCTTCAATGTCATATAATGGTTATGTCGTTGCACAAAAAAAGTTTGTCATTGGTGGATCCAGGGTTATTTGAAGGGGGTGTCAGCGGATGCGAAGTTGACCCCCCCCCCTTGGCGTGGGGCTGGAGGTCCGCTGAAGAGCCCCGAAAATTTTTGGTATTTTAGAGGGCGAACCATTTAGTACGATTTAGAACTATGATTCAGCGAGTCAAAATTCTAATTTCAAGAGGGGACCATTGTTTTGATTTTTTTCAGAAATCGAAGGGGGGGGGGGGTCAGGAACCCCTAAATCCGCCACTGGTTGTACTAGTAGATACTTTCATGTGTTAATGGCTGTAATACCGACACCCAAAGACTTAAATCAGTCAATCAGCAGTGGGAAGAGAATAAGTTGTATAATTATATAATCCCAGAACTGATAGTGCATGAAATTTACAATGGTACAGTGCAAGAACACGATCTATTTGCCACAGCGAGGTTGAGACTGTCTGCGCATAATTTAGAAATCGAGAAAGGAAGGTGCTCTAAGATTCGCAGAGAGGGCCGTTTGTGTATATGCAGGGGCATGCGAATAGAAGAGCACATATATGTAGTTTGTTACTGTGCAAAAACATCTGAAATAAGAAAAACTTTCCACAGAAATTTTACAATTGTTTTAATAAATGCATATGTGCAAGAGCTTTCAAAGTGTATAAGATCATGTCTAGACGCAGTATCGTAAAAGAGGGGCTTACTATAGTTTATTATGTTTATTTTCTGGTTAAATTCATTAATATACACAAGTCGAACTTTAGGTAGTTGATGCCTAATTTAATTTTTTCATTAATCAAAGAGAAAATCAAATCAAAATGCACAACCCAGTTCAGTATGTCAGTGTGGGATTTTTAGTATCGATTATAGTAGTATACATGTAGTATTTATTTATTAACGCCACATATGATATGAGTACATCACCCGGCCTCATGGGCCTACAAGTCACCGTTCTTTGTACATATATCAGAAACAGTATAGTATCGGTTGAAATTTCAAACCGTCTTTCACCATGATGAGTCTCTGCAAATTTTGACGTATTGATATTTTGGAAGTACAAGTCGAGCAAATGAGAATTGATTGCAAAACCAGCAACGTTGTTCTAAGACAACGGTTTGTTAACGTAAGAAAAGTTCCTAATTTGATACGGCAAATAAATGGGCGTTTCATTTGTGTCGCTAACTATACGTATTGTGTGTCTTATCATTTTGTGGATTGTGGAGAATAAACAGCGTCTGATCACTGACTGCTAATTCACAATTCCGCCCCTCAGCATTTGATAAGAGCTCTTATCTGATATTTACTACAAAATAAATGTGTAAAGTACAAATTAAATTTGCACGGAAAGATTACGTGAAGTGTTGACTTACAATGCTATGAAATCACTACCTAGTAGGCAGGTGTTTCTAATATACACTCCCATTGCAAAAAAAAAAGTATTAACGCATATTTGTACATTGCAACAAGGGAACCCATAGATTTAATTTTTCTATTACATAACAACTACATGTACGCAATCGATCATTGTGTAAATAGGGGCTTTGAGTTGTAGAAGACTGGTCTGCCTGGCGTCTTAGTGAGAGGGAGACCAGGAACCATCTACGTCGAGTCAGATGGTATACGGAACTCTGGGATGGACACCAACCAACAACTGGGTATTGGTTTTGTTCTCTGAGGAAGGCAGGTTAAGCGTTCTGAGTAGTGATGTACGCGTAAGGGTTTGGAGAACAGCTGGTAAGAAGTAACTTACCAATTTTCTGCCTTCGGTCGACAGGACGCAGCCCATATAAGTCATGGTAGGGGTGTACTTGCTACTATGGTGTAAGCGAGCTGGCAGTGGTCAACGAGAAACTTAACGCAGAGCAATGCCTACCCTCTACCAGGGTTGCAGGCAAATTTGACAGAGAATCACATGACTATTTATCTAAAGACAATATCTGTGAGTATCTCGTGAAAAATCAATCTGTCGCCCTGGTAGAGGGAAAGCAATCTCTAGGAGTCAGACTATCTCAGACTTGGATCCATCGACATTGGTATTTCAAAGAACAGATGACGTCATCCGGGTTTATGACAGTTACACGAGGTACATTGTGTTGAAATTCCTCATGGCAAAACATTCCCTTTTAGGTCAATGTGGCATTTCTCGCTAATGTATGCTTCCTTGAACATGATATCTGCTTTTCCTTATAAAGTCCCGATAATACATCAATGCCCTTCAGGTCACTGTGGCATTTCTCGCTAATCCATGCTTTCTTGAACATGATATTTGCTTTTCCTTACAAAGTCCCGATAATTCATCAATACCTTTTAGGTCACTGTGGCATTCATCGCTAATCCATGCTTTCTTGAACATGATATTTGCTTTTACTTATAAAGTTCCGATAATTCATCTTTATAATTGATCACCAGATGGAACCCAAACGAAAAAAAAAGCAAATATACTTTAATTTGAAGTTAATAAAACACTAACGGGCTGATTAAATAGTGCATGTTGACTTGTTGAGCTACGTTTGAACTTACTGTTGACTAAGTTTGAACTTATTGAAATTGCAGATGCAATATTCTGTTGGAATATTTCATCATCTTTAGCAAAACTGAAATGCCCCCATTGTTCTTGGACACTAAACACTTCAAAGAGGCGCTGTAAACACGCCCCTCTAATTTCACCTATAGGTTATCCAAAGCAATTAATATCAAATTAAACAGTATCGTCATTCTCGTACAAAAAATTGTTAAAAGTTTAAACTATATTTATGGCCGTTAAGAGGAACGCCTGACGTGTTAATATTTTTAACCATTGAATTGGTGCTGCAATCTCGAAACATTTATGACTATATTTAGTAGAATTCTGTCTCTTTTACGTTTTATTCCTTTTATCAGATTTAAAACAAATATTAATGGTTTGAGACATTTGTGTATTGACACCAATAATTTTATCAAACTTAGCTTTTCTAAAATTTTGCTAAATTCCATTAAGCCAGAAGAACGAGAAAAAATGCTCTTGCATCTCAGTGTTGCCTGCATTTCAGGATTTACGACATTATATTTATTAGCCTACTCAATATCAAGTGGATGACTGTAAAAATATGGAAAGCTAAACATGGTATTTTTAATGTAATTGAGATAAGATTCTTAGCCCTTCACCATAGAAGGTTAACTATGCATTTGTATCAATTAGAATAGTCATCAGATGAGTATAAAATTCGTTAAACATACATTTATGTAACGAATATGACCTACTTAAATGTTAAAAGCCATTAGACCAACAGGATAGAACATGAAAGTAGCTTTTTTTACACTCTTTATTGTCACATACCTAAAAACCTTTCAAAAAGGATACACATACAAATATACAAATTTTTACTCAATTTCCTCAATTATTTTTCTTATCACTGCTTACACTATTTATCTTGCGTAATGCTTCAGGTCCTTGTATCGGGGATTTATTAGTTCATTTCTTTATTTCATTTTATTTCATTTTATTTATTTATTTATTTATTTATTTATTTATTTATTTTTTGACGAATAGTTCGGAAATATTTCTTGATTTGATTTAACTGTCTGTGAGTTGTCATAAGCATTTCACGGTGCCATTGAGTTCCATAGAGGACGAATACAAAAATATATACGGTTTTTGTAATAGTTAAGAGTTTAACTTAATTCTAGTACTGCCTGCACCATCTACGATTTTTTTTATAAATCAGTAAACCCGTGCAACACCTAATAATGGGGATAATAGGGTGTATCAATATAACTAACGTGAAATGATATTTGTGGTGACTTTCCTGTATACCGAGTATATAGAGACGAGCTACTGCTTTGGTGTTGGTTGGAACTTAGGGTGATCTCGCCATGCGCGAGGAGGTTCAGACTTGACAGGCGCGTGACAAAGTAAAACACGGTTGACGGTCGTGCTCAGTTTGTTTTGTTAGATAACCACTCCCCTATGTTATGGATAAGTCATTTGTTTGTGCCTTCTGTTAATATGTGACAGGTTCTGACGACAGACATGAAGAGGCTATTCTTGGTTGTTTATCGAATGACTATGTTACTACTCGAACAAGACAATTCATTTTATGGGCTTGGCTGCTGCCAACAGATAATAATTATATTAATGGATCAGGATGACTTCGAAAATGGAAGAAATTGGAAATGATAACAATAAGAACAATGTTAATAAATAGATAATAATAATAATAATAATAATAATAATAATAATAATTTGCCAGTAATTTACGTGTAATTATTTGTGTCAAGATCCTTGAGCTAATGCTTCAAAAGGAAAGAATTAAATATTTTTTTCTGCACATCGTAGACAGAAATCATGCACGTTTCCTCACTGAAGAAAATTGATTATCCTTTTTAGCATGTAGGACCTAACTTCCGATCTCATTGAATAACCCTGAAAAGTCGGCTATAAAACTGTTTGACATGTCATGAATTTGAAACGTCCGTGTAAAAACTATTATCAGGTTATGTGAACCATATCGCGTCTTATTCTGAGATTTTTAAACTTGCTGCTTTGAAATATCTTAAACCATTAAAAGATAAAAGAGAAAAAAATCTGCCTTGTGTCACTTCGAAATCTGAAATGTTCAGGTTTGGGTTCCTTTTACAATGCACATTTAAAAGCATGGATCTTGTTTACGTGTATATAAAAATAGTTAATCATTAAGATGAATGGACTTTTTGATATAAAAATAAACAGAACCAGTAGACCTTTACAATATACTGTATGTAGGCATATAAAGTAGTTTTCCTCTTCAAGGCCTACTATACTGTACCTTATAGGCTAAGTTTTTCAGAGTAAACATGCCGCTTTTTATTGATTAATGCGTGTTGATATTAGATGTAGCCTATGTCTGTTTATTAGACAAATATATATATATATATATATATATATATATATATATATATATATATATATATATATATATATATATATATATATATAAGCTTCTGCTTAACTATGCAGGGGCACAAAAAACGCTTTGTGTCATACATGTACGTGTATGTTTTATGGTATAAGGGTCTGTCTTGGAAAACCTATCTGAATGGAGGCTTGAAACGTTTGCCTCAAAGACCACGTGCGTGGGTTCAACTACTGAAAGGGTAAATAATGCTTGTCCTATCCTTTATATACTGGTCACGTACATCTAAGAGACCATTCCCAGACCCTATCTCTCTAACTTTGGATCGAAGTATCTCCGAGGGGATTCTCGCTCAATTACAATTAACTTGGGCGGTTCGGATGTCTGCCACGCCTGCTGAGGTTGATAGGGGGTAATTAACTATCGTTTAGCAGCTTTAGTGGGCGTCCCAGGCGTCGAAACCGCTTGGGCTGAAAGCAATTTAGCGAGGGACCCCGTGGAGATGGACCGATCCTGCTAGATCGGTCTAGGGATGGGAACCCAGTCTAAGCTTCGTGGGCAATGAATGGTAGGCCTACATCACATTTGGAGGTTTAGGCAACTCTTTACCTGTACAAAATATAACTGGAAAATATGTTCCCTTTTAAGCGGTTAAGATGAATTTTGGAAAAGACCCATGCATTGGAAGGTGTGACTCTCTCCTAGCAAAGAATGTCTGTTTCTCCCTTGAAAAAGAAAATACGAAAAGAAGGCAGTTTAGAAAGGTGTACAAAAATGAATTTAAGCGGGTTTAAGGTTACTAGTACAGCCCTTTACACCCCAAAGTGTTACTCCCCTGCATCATTACTACCCCACATCAGTATTCCCCTGTACTGTTACTTTTCTGCATTGTTGGGGAGTAATGGTCTTGGAATGAAAAGACCCCAATTTTAAGGGGAATTTAAAGCTGAAATCATTGTTTTGGCCTTCGACAAAACACATAGGAATCAAAAGGCGAAATTAAGAATTAATGATATTTTTTTAAGCCTAAGAATTATAGTAAGGGATTTTGAAATACATGTTTCAATCACAGTTTAATGTTCTTTTTTTCATTAAAATGTCTGTCACTTCATATGTTTTGATATTAAGGTGAAGCTGGTATCTTTCCAACATGCAGTCCTGGAACAACAATGGCCAACCCTGGTGCAACAACACCGAAGACTCCAGAAAAAGTAACAGATGTGCGGTTACCTACTGGTCTTATTCCTGTGCACTACAAGTTAAAACTGCAGCCAGATATGTATGGGGACAATCCAGAAAATTTCCTTTTCAGTGGAGCAGTAGAAATTTTCATCCATTGCCAAGTTAGCACAAACAATATCACCCTTCATATTAATAAGCTGACCATCAAGAATTCATCCCTTGCTTTAGTGGAACAAAACGGTAACAGAGTTGTGGATTACAGTCACTACAAGGTGGATGAAGCAAGGCAGTTCTTTATTTTACACCTTCGCTCAAGCCTTTCAGCAGGGATGAATTATACACTGAACATGGAGTTTGAGGGTCCTCTTAAACCAGATTTAAAAGGCCTATATCTCAGCCAATACAAACGTGGAAATAACTCTGTGTATGGCATATATATAAATTATAATAATTATTTTAAAGGAATGAATTTGAATGACTGAATAGTGCTTTAACTAGTTATTAATGACTAGATTGCTGAATAAATTTATTTAAGATAACAAGATTTACTTAGTAACTAGTAGCTTACTTAAAAACCAAAGATATTGACACATACAAGTCCCTTCACTATGACCCAAAGAACAAGGCTTAACAAAACAATTTTGCTCCCCTTTTGCATGATATATTTATTTGGGATAATTACAATCTCGAAAAAAAAAAAACAAATTATGACCATATGAATACTTTGTGGATGTTCATGTAGATAAAATGAAATATTTTATTGTTGGTATTATAATTTATTTTTCCTTCCTTTGTAGCTATATAGCTACAACCCAAATGCAGGCTACAGATGCAAGGAAAGCTTTCCCCTGCTTTGATGAACCTGCATTTAAAGCTGTCTTTGAAGTGACTTTGGTCAGGAAAGGCCATATGAAATCTTTGTCTAATATGCCTCAAACAAAAACTGAGCTGAAGTAAGTTTTCCAACTATTTGCATTATATTTTTGTTTATTTCTTAACAAATGGACTTAATCAAATGCTCAATTAATATATCAGTTTTTTGCAATTTATTTATTACCCCTGTGATAATTTTTAATCGGAGATAAAATATACACCAAAGCAGCCACTGAAATTAATTTTGTGAAGCCCACACCCTTAGATTTTTTAAAAACATTTAACATGTGAAAAGTAGTATTCTTATAAAGAAGAATTTTTGGAATCTGTTTGATCAATATTTTTAACAGTAATCGGTCTTTATCAGTGATTACCTGACTTTGGACATGGTTCATGTCTATCAGTATGTTAAACATTACCCCATTAAATGTATAATTCATGAATTTTTATCTATTCCAGTGCTGATGGCTGGTATGAAGACCATTATGAGCCCACAGTTAAAATGTCCACATACCTACTTGCATTTGTCGTCTGTGATTTTGTATCTGTAGAAAAAAATACAACCAAAGGAACAGTGGTAAGGTTGTTGGATAGAAGTACAAATATACCTTCTCTGAAACAACACATTACAATGACAGTTGTGAATATTTTATTTCATTTAGAGAATTGGTACAATGTACATTCAGATGGCATTTATACATAGAGTACAGACTTTATCTGCAATTTTTTAAATGTCCCCCTTCAAGTTAAGTAATACACTTAAAGTGTCCAGAAATTTTATGTATTGTAAGGAGAATTTGGATGACATTTTGATAATTACTTTATCATCTAACTCACATATTTTGTGAAAATAACTTGCACTGTCATCAAGTTTAATTTGGCAAAAATATCTTTAATTCAATAAAATTTACTTTACATTTGCACCGGAGTATGCTGGATAAATTTACTTATTCATTTTAATTGGTCAAAGTTTGTTTTTCAACTAAGCACCTCCTTGGCATTTTACAGAAATACAGATTAACAAAATAAGAGTGACTGATAAACCTTATCTACAAATATCAAGTTCTAAGCATAAGGACACTAGATCCAGTTCAAGCACAGGAAACATTAATGCAGCAAACAAAACAAGAGAATGAATTTACTTATTCATTTTAATTGGTCAAAGTTTAATTGTTTTTCCACTAAGCACCTCCTTGGCAATTTATAGAAATACAGATTAACAAAATAAGAGTGACTGATAAACCTTATCTACAAATATCAAGTTCTAAGCATAAGGACTCTAGATCAAATTCCAGTTAAAGCACAGGTGAAACAATGCAGCAAACAAAACAAGAGAATGAATTTATGGCCCTAATTCATGTACCATGATTATAACTTGCACACCTGTGTTTCACACATGGACAGCACTGCAGGATCTAGTTTAAGCAAGGAGTTACAACAGTTGTAACTCCTTGGTATAAGTGATCTGTATGATATTTTGTAATAACCCCTTTAAGCTTTTGCTTGGATTTATAAGACTGATGAGATATTTTAATGATTATGTAAATTAATTTTGAGAGCTGGCTTGGAAACAGAACTACCAGATAAGACAGGTAACAGGTATACACTGTGAGGCATCATTGTCACTTTTATTTTATGCCTCACAAAGTAAATGAAGTAGTTTATTTGTCACACTGTTCCTACCTGTGCAAAGTAAATAGCACCTGTCAGTTGATAAAATCAGCAAGTTACCCACACTTCCAATTTTGGGGGATGTTAATTGATGGAATACACCTGCAGCTTTCACAAGTAGCTAGTGTCAAGTGACCATGCAAAGTGATCAGAGTACATTTTACTGTAGTGCAATGGTTGAGGTGTTAGCATGACAGGTTAACATTAGCTGATGACTCAATAACTTTTTGACTTTCTTGTGATACCAATAGTTAATATACACAATGTGCATGAGTGATGAAATTAAACAGTGTGTTAAATGCTCAACACTTAATGGGGTTGGTAATCGTACTCAGTATACATTTTGACATTTGGTTTAAACCATAAATTATCAAAATATTGAAAGGAGGTGTACAGAAGATCCCAATACAATGACTAACTACCTTCTTTTGGATGCAAAAATGAATGACTAATTTGATACATATACATTGTAGCTGTCTGAATTTTTGAAATATGTTTATACACCATAAGTATACCATAAGTACCCTGTTTGTGCAATGCTGTTGGAAAAAACTGAATAGCAAACTAGCTACAATATATTTTTGGGTATAGTAAAAGTATAAGTATACAGCTACTGTAATTGGCCAATTTACTAAGTTTCTTTTATTGTTTTTTACAGGTGAAAGTTTGGTCAAGACCAGAGGCAATTAATCAAACACAGTATGCCCTTGAGGCAGGAGTTGCCATTCTGGAGTATTTTGAAGCTTATTATGATGTACCTTATCCTTTGCCAAAGCAAGGTAAGTTAATTTAGGTGTATTTGTATTAACACTTTTTACAAAGATTGTTGATTACATAAATATTAAAAAATTCTATATTATTAGTTTGAAAAATATTGTATCAATAGAGACCCAATACAAATAAGTCCTCATTAAAATGAATCCCTGATGGTGGATCGGCTCACATTATAAAATTGTATATCAAAACATTACACACCGGTGATCTCTGACTATTCTCAGTTGAGTGATATGGTGTTTTAAAAGAGGTGTGCAGGAATTTTGTTATTCAGGATGGATGGGTGTGTGAGGGGATATTTTTAATTTAGTATATAATTTTCATCAAAGTAATTATGCCATTTCTCACTACAGGTTCTAAAGTCAGAACATAAACTGGTTATGATTTTGAAAACAGGCATTTAAAATTGTTTGCAATGGATGGATTCTGTTACTAAAAACTTGGGCATTACTGACATCTGCAATAAACAATTTAAAATCAGTTGTTGTTTTTTTTTCACACATATATATATATATACGATAAAATAGACTTGGCAGACAAAGTTTGATAAATCTGATAATGCAATATACCATCATTTATTAAGTACCATTTATATGGCCAAACTTGTTTCGTCCTATCTAGACATGATAGCCATCCCAGACTTTGCTGCTGGAGCCATGGAAAATTGGGGTCTGATTACTTACAGGGAGACAGCTCTGCTTTATGACCCTGCTGTGTCCTCATTAGGCAACAAGCAGTCTGTGGCCATCATTGTGTCTCATGAGCTAGCACATCAGGTACTGTAATTTGATCCTTGTTGTTCAACATTTTTTATTCTCTGAAAAAGAATTTTGACAGCATAGAATTTGACTGAAAAGAAAATCTTGGATAATGCTTGGCCGACATGCATTTTTGTGAAATGGTACTCTGAAAGTAAAAAAATAAATGCTTGAAATCTTTGGGGGGAAAAAATCACAGAAGTTACTATGTAAGAAAATGCAACTTAAACCCTGCCTTTTGTGCTTATTTGTGTTAATTGACACTCGAAGAATATGGAGGAAATGTCAAGAGATCTATTGTGTTACATAAAAAGTTTTATAGTTCTGCATCTATTGAAACCGTTTGGTAAAAAGATATCAAATGTTTGTACATGAGATGTAGACTCTAAGTACACTCCATTAAACATGAATGGAAAGTAAAAAAATACCAAAAATACTTAGGAGAAAAACAGTGTCAGTATGAGGAAAAACTGTTCATTTTATGAATAAGTATTTGCTTATGTTTTCTAACAATATTCTGATATACGAACAGAAAACTAAGCAAATTTTATTATTATTTTCCTTCTAGTGGTTTGGTAACCTTGTGTCTCCACTGTGGTGGGATGACCTTTGGCTTAATGAAGGATTTGCAAGCTATGTGGAATACCTGGGGGTGGATAACTTTGCAAAAGAATTTAAACTGGTATATAAAATATAATTTTGTAGTAAGAGGCCAGAATTATCCCATATCCATTTTTAATTAGATTTTTCACTGAATATTAATAAATTATGTATTATTTTCTTCTTTGATATTTAGTTAGTTACTTCAGGGAAACGGAAGTCACCTGCTTGTAAGCTGTCTAGTATCTTACAAAAATTACGTAAGGAAAGGATAAGATAGTATCAAGATACCAAGATTTCATTGGTAGATTGTAATTTATTATTGATGTAACATTTTTTCATTCCAGGGGTTGAGATTCCCATCAATAGACATTCAAGGAGTATTCAGACCTGATGGTTTGGCAAGTTCCCATCCCATCTATGTCCCAGTGGGCCATCCAGATGAGATCATTGAGATATTTGACTCTATCTCTTACAACAAGGTTGGTTATTACAAAACAGTCATTATAGATTCACAATTTTTACATTATTTACCTCCTCTTTAGATCTGTTAAATGCTGCACTCCACCTGCTTCATTTGCTAATATTATCTCTGTCCCTCGGTTGATGAACAACTGTCACACATACATCATAGAAAACCCCGCCTCTTTCTCCTTTTATGAATATCTGATGTAGAAAACAACAGTGTCCACCAGAAAGAAGCTAGTTACATGTGGAAAAAAAATTTAAATAATTGTGACAATTGAAGGCAAAAGCTGTTTTCCTGTTTCCCCGTTGAAGGCAAATATTGTTCCCCTTTCAAAGTAAGTGATTTTAGAATCACAAAAAATTCTAATAGATAGATTGAAAGTACTTGAAAAAATATAAAATTTTAAATTGTTATTATATCTTTTATTTACGTATGTATGTATGTTGTTTGAATGCCATTTTAATGCTATTTTATAATTTAAAATTGGTTTCCAATTATTTGTAGCAGTCTAAAATTACTACCAGACATTGATTCAAAAATTGACTTCTGGATCTTATGATGGCAGTAGTACTGTACAGACTGCATAAGACTATCAATCAACTTTATAGAATAGATATATGCAAGAAAGCCTCCAATGTTTTATAAATCTATATGAATGCACTGTTTTAATCTGTATGAATGCATATTTTTTATCTAGGGAGCATCCATTATCCGCATGATGAGCTACTTTCTTACTGAGGATACATTTAGGAAAGGACTTACGGTGAGCTCTACCAAACTTGTAACAATGTATGAAGTTGTATATATATATAAAAGGAAATTCTAGAAACTTGAACTGAAAAAACTTACACAAACATTTACATTTGTTTTTGCTTTTGAAAAACCTCTATACTCTACATGTGGTATCTAGATTGAAATCTGTAATGTGAACTTTACACAAAAAGCTATACAAACTAGACTTTTTGCATGATTTTGCATGGTGACAGCTTTCATTTCAAAAGATGCTTTACAATTTTCATTTAGAGTTATCTTCGCAAGCATGCGTATGATGTAGCCACCCATGATGATCTTTGGACTTCACTGTCTCAGGTAAAGAAGCAGTAGAGAAATATGGAGTAAAATTTTTGAAATACCCCCAAAACAAGAATAAGTTTTTATCAGTTCAGAATGGAAGAAATTGTTTATGTATGTGTACATATACTGAAGATTAACATTATTGTTTCCTCTCTATTTTTTTTATTAAGATTTTCAAGTGGGACAAACTATTTGAAATCTTCAGTTAAAGTGCAACTCATTTCCTGTATAGGAGGCTAGAAGTCACCAAAAACTGAAGGCTTGTATGAATAGCACATTCTTGCCACTTTTCCCGGAGTCGATCTTTTAATTTGCTGAATAACTTCTTTTTTTGACATTTTGAACACAGGAGGCTACAGGCATTGATGTCAAACAGGTGATGGACACATGGACACTACAGATGGGCTACCCTGTGGTCAAGATAGACCTGGACAACACCACCCCGACTGGTGCTGTACGTGTGACCCAGAAACACTTCCTGATTGACCCCTCTGTGGAGCCCAGTCCTAAGTACCCAAGTCCATATAAGTGAGCTATAGTCCAACTATTATGTCCAAACAATTAATGTTAATTTTACATGTATGAGGTATATTAATTATTACATATGATAGTTTTTAATTCTTTAAAATCTTATGCTTGACTTTGTGTTTAGTATGATAGTGTGGATCTGCAGTCACATGACAGGAGAAGAAGTCCTTTTCTGTCAAAGTAAATTATTTTCAGCTGTCTACAAAGGGGCAGTCAAATACCTTCATGGTCTATAACATTAAAGACAGACAGATGGGGTAAACACAGAGTGTTTTCTTTACAAAAATCTCCTGTTATCATGTGACATCTTCTTGGCTAAATAGTTTCATTAAATCAATTCTATGTGGCAAAGAAGAGTGTTTACAGTGCACAGTTTATATTTCAAGTTATACTCAGATGACTGATTTTATGAAAATTTCAGTTATAAATGGGAGATTCCTCTGACATTGACTACCTCCAAGCAACCAAGGTGGGAGGGGAATAGAATCAAGTGGATGTCACAAACAGATAGTAGGAATTATGTTTTATTTTCTATTTTTAAAGATCTATATAATCACCAAAAAGTTCTCAAACATTGTTATTTTAAATAATTGTAAAATAACCATATAAGCTAAAGTTAATATTTTTACCAATTATTGATTTTAATGCACCCACCATTCTTTACTTTTTAATATACACTGAAGATTTTTCCACTATACACTTCATAGTTTTTTAATTACCGAAAAACAGTTTTATGTTTCCCAACTGTTTTGGTCTAATGTGTGTGTTTATTAACTTTTATAATTTTTTTCCTTATTTTTATATAATATATAAAGATATTATGAAATGTTTAGAAAGTTGATGAATGTTTATAAATACAATCATTTTTTAAAGATTGCTAACTGTAACTATTATAGGGATATAAGTAAAATTGTTTCTTAGAATAGGACTTAAACATGATAAAATGAATTCTTTCATTGTTTAGATTGAATATATCTAATTGCCTCATTTGGTTTAAGTGATGTTGATAGTTATTCTTTTGGTTTAAAATATTGTTTTCTAAATGGAATAATTTAGGTATTTAGGTTTTGGCTCATATATATATTTTTTAAATCTATAATTTTCGTTAATTTTTGTATTGAATCCATGACAAAAATGGAAGCAATTTCCCATTTTCCTGATTCATTCTTATGGTGATATTCCATATTTTTTGTGTAGTAACTCTTGACAAAAGCACTGACCTTGACAACATTGGCAACAGTGATTGGGTGGTGGCCAACATCCAACAGTATGGCTACTACAGGGTCAACTATAATAAGAAGAACTGGGAGAATATTATAAGGCAATTAAGCACTGACCACAATGTAAGTGATTCTTTTTTAAATTAACCTGTAAGTACTTTAATCAAGATTAAACAGATATGAATTCATAATCTGTAGAAAGAGAAATTCACAGTCACCACAGCATGTTTTTTTTTTTCTTTTTCAGATGATACATGTTATAAACAGGGCTCAACTTATTGATGATGCTTTCAACATCGCCAGGTTTGTAAACAGAAAGGTTGTTAATAGAGCTGAACTCTTGCAGTGCTTTGTTCAACTATATTTTTGAAATATTTTGTCAGTTCTTGAATGATCTGGTTATTTATAAATACATGCAGTACCATATAATGAAGCTTTCAGCATTGTTGATTGCAGATTATCATATTTATCCAGGTTGTAACTTGACTGATTGTTTTAAATCATTTTGCAACAGCTTAAACTGAATCATATTTGTTTTCATTCAGATCTGGTTCAGACCCAGATGTAGATGTCATACTGGCAATGAGGACCACCAAGCATTTAGACAAGGACTTTGAATACATGCCCTGGAGAGCTGCGCTCAACAATATTGGTTATATACACACCATGTTGAGCAGAACATCACACTTTGGAAATTTCAAGGTGTTTATACTTTTGATTTAAGAAAATAAGGCTTCATATTCCAACTTCCTTTGTTTAAAGGGTAGACACAATGTCATTGGCAACATAGAAAAAATTTTATAGATCCAAACACTGTCCACTTTCTGTTTATGGCGAAAGTGCCATAAAATGTTACTGTAACAACAGTCTGGATGTAACAATGATGGAGTGAGGTGATAATTTCATATTTCACCAGATGTGATAATTTTTTTATATGAATGCTTTCAGGCTTATATGCTTGGTCTGATTCTTCCATTGTACAATAGACATGGATGGGCAACTATTGATGACCCTGTGGAGAGGTAGGTTTTCTTGGAATCTTAAAGATTGTTTTTTGTCATATACCAATAGCCATATTGTGTTTTCTTTGGATACTGTTGGTGTTTGTGTGTTTGAAGCTAAATATTGAACTGTGGAAAACTGGAGCATATGCAGATCACTCTGTGCATCATAGAAAAATGATGATAAGGCTCAGATATATGCATATTTTAACTTGTTTTAGTTTCAGTGAAGTATTTAGTAACTTTATCAGAGCATGGCACCATTGATAACAATTTTCAAAATATTTCCAGCTTCAGCAGAACCAGTGCGATAGGCCATGCCTGTGCCTATGGACATCAGCATTGTCTGGATGAAGCCACTAAGCTTTTCAGGCAGTGGATGAACACACCCAACCCAGATGCAAATAATCCGTAAGTAACTTAATATCTCACCCTCAGTTTCCATTTCCAGTAATTGCAAAAGGGAGATTTTTGCTTGAAGCTTGTTATTGAATTAAGGTATTGTACATTTACCATAAAAATTTAACTATATGAAAAATAACTCTATATTGTTTTATCACAAGGCATCAAGTTTTTTATGTTTGAAACAATTTTGTTGTAAAATTTATTGAAGTTACAATAAAAAAATCTAATTTTATCAATTGATTTGATGTTATCCTAATATGTACGTATATATCTCATTATTATGGCAATAAAGAATGAATTTACATTTACAAAAAAAAAAAAAAGTTAGTGCAGTTAGTGTAGTCATGGATGTACATGGTTGTGCAAAGCTGTTTTGGTGCCCTCTTCTGGCAAAAACATGACTCTATTTTGAAGAAAGTGTATATGTTTTCTTTGAATGGTAATAAATTCAAATTTTAGGATCAAGGTTGACCTGAAAAGTTTGGTGTACTGCTATGCCATCAAAAATGGAGGGCAGGCTGAATGGGACTGGGCCTATGAGAGATATAAGAAAGCCAATGTCGCTGCAGAGAAATCTAAGCTGATAGTAGCCTTGACCTGCTCTAATGAACCTTGGATATTGAATAGGTGAGAGTTGAACATATAAAGATGGAAATTACATGGAATCTTATGCAACTAGGCATAGTCAAAATAGTATCTGTGAAACAATTAGGTAATGAACCTCTAAGGTGATACATATTTTTTGTCAAAGAATAGAATGAGGTGATAGAGATGAGTTGCACAAACAAGATATATTACAGAATTTTAAGTTGCATACTTTAATTTTTAAAAAATATAAACAATATAAAAAAACATGATTTTAAAACTTAACCATAAATTCTTTGTAACATGTCAAATGTAATGCAGTCCTATACTAATGGGAAATAGATATATAATGGTAAATCGTATCTGCTGTCAAATTTTAACCAAATCTACTTTTTCTTTGATGAAGGATATGATTTAATTTCCCACTCATTGCCAGTCAAGAAATTCTTAAACAGTTCAGTTGAACTTTTATTTATTAATTTATTTGGTTGTTGTGCTAAATTTTTATCTCCCATTTAAACAGATATCTGGAGTATTCAATGGACAGGAAAGAGGTGCGTCAGCAAGATGCAGTTTCAGTGATGGCCAACATTGCAGGGAATTCTATTGGAAAATCAATGGCCTGGAATTTCTTCAGGGCAAACTGGGACAAGATATTTGCTGAGTAAGTAAAGATTGAACTCATCTGAAAAGCAAGTAGATACCACATGGTGATTTTCAACTTTTGAAAATTGCATTGAAACGTTAAAAAAACTGAGATTGCTACATGTAGTTTTGGTGTATTTTATGTGTTATGTTGCATACATTTGCATTTATTTTGTAAGCTTATTATGACTAGACCATTTCGTAATGAAAAATTCATACACTGTATTTGTTTTAAATGTTTGTGTGCAGATTTTATGTTGGATACATTTGCATTTATTTTTAAGACTATATATACTAGTAACTTAATGAAAATGGCATATTTCTTTTTGGCTTCACAGGTATTTTTTTTATAAAATTTAACACAAAATTAAGTTCCTTAACATCAGTGATGTTTACTACTAATTGGATCATATTCTCAATCCCTTTCATAACTTCACATTACAGCATAACATATCAACTTTTGAATCTTTTCTTTATTTGTCTAGTAACATTCATCATTCATTCAACAGTTAGCTAGCATCGCTTATTTCATTATTCAATTTTTGACAATTATCCCCCAGAAAACAGTGTTCATCATGTTATGGGCAGACAAGTCTTGGTCAATCAAACTATTATGAAAGAGCTCTTTCAGAACAGCAGACTAACAGATCCGTGGATTGAATATGGGTGACCCACTTGAATGCTTGTTGGGTGATCCTCGTGGGGAATCTATTCGGCGTATAATCAGGAACTAAGCAGCAAGCTTTTTAGTGGGTTGAAGTATTTGATCTAGGGATCTGTTAGTCACTGTTCTGAATGTGCTTCAAGTGAAAATGATTCCCCTAAAGCTGCATTTCATCTTTATATTATACATATCAATGTGCTTGCAAATGGTTCTTAATTCTAACATGCTTGGGTGATGCTACCAATGTGCCAGGTTAATACTTACATCTACTAACATGGCAGTATTTGTTTTTAGGTTTGGTGGTTTGTTTTCCTTTGATACCCTAATTTCAAGCATGACTGGTGGCTTCAATACTGAATTTGAACTAGAACAGGTAAGACAATGCTTTGGGATCTGCTCTAATCCTGACTGACTGGGGATAGTTTGGAAATGATCTTCTTGAAAGATGTTTGTTTTATAGATATGGTAGTGGGCCATTTGACTTCAGTACATTAATATCAAGTGTGACTAGCTGGTTCAACACTGAATTTGAATTAGAGCAGGTAAGATTTGAAAAAAATGAAAATTCAAAGCAAGATTATTATATATTATATATTATGTAGATCATGATTCACGAAACAATTAACAAGCATATACTGCTGTCAATATGTTTTTAACATTATGTCCTTGAAAAGTAATAATGGTAATGTTATGGTATGGTCCTGATTGAATTTTGATTATGAAAGATTGCTCTGTTTTTATGCATGATGGCATGTGTAGACAGTGGCTGCATTCAGAACAGTGGACTAACTTGTCGCGGGTCAAATATGGCGACCCACTAAATATGAAAAGCTTGCCATCTAATCCACTAATAGACACTGGTAAAAACATGGTAAAGTATCAAGTAAGTCCACTGTTCTGAATGCGGCCAGTGACCCTATTGCTTACCAATAAATGAAAAACATGGCGGAGTGGGTATAGCATCTTTTCTTTAATCCAAGGGTCTTGGGTTGAAGTCTGAGCACATCGATCCCTATTTATTTATTCTATAATTTCTTTGAAAAAAAAATTTGGGGGTTGTCTGGTACTTTATGAATACTCATCACTCAATGTACTAAATTAGAATTAAGCCAGTTTTATTCAAATTTTAGCTTCAAGCTCTGATGTCTAGTAAAGGGAATCTGGGATCTGGTCAGCGTGCCTTTGAACAAGCTGTGGAGAAGACATGGGCAAATATCAAGTGGATGCAGGCCAATGAACAGAAACTGGGAGATTGGCTGAAAAGTGGAGGAATGTAAGTGTTGTGAACAAGGTTGAGGAGATTATTGCGATTCCCTGAGTCCTAGAATCTTATGTGATTTATATGATTTATAGAAGAATTATACGATCACTGTTTTGAGATATGTACTGTAATATGATAGGTGAATTGATTTATTTGAACCTACTACACTAACACAGAACACTAAAGAGAGAGAGATTTAATGGGGCCCATTTTATAGTGGTGTCAACAAAAGGAATTAGTCGGCTGCCTTTTAGAAACCTGGGGATGATGATAAATATGTGTGTGCATATCATGCATGACAAAAATTAACTGACCACATTCTTAAGTAATTAAGAAAAGCAGTTTCATATGTTTTGTTTTTCTTTCCTGCAGAACTCCGGACCCTGGAACTTCAAATGATGTCCGTCTGCCTTCTACCTTACATCCAGTGTACTATAAACTAGATCTAAAACCTGATATTTATGGAAATGACCCAGAACACTTCAACTTTTCTGGATCAGTAGAAATCACCATTTTCTGCAATGAAAGCACACTACAAATAAAACTTCACAGCAATAAGCTGACCATCCCTGAAAATGATGTGAAATTAATGGATGAAAACGGAGTCCGATTAGATATATCAAACACCGAAATGGACACTGAAAATCAGTTTTTCATTCTAAATCTGCCACATGTTCTTGAAAAAGGAAAAAATTACACATTAAAGATGAAGTTTGAAGGACCATTAAAGGATGACCTGACTGGACTTTACAGAAGTCAGTATTTCAGTACTGCAAAGAATAAGACAGTGTAAGTTGTTTAATTCACACACTGATTTTCTGTTCATTTCTTGATATTGGTTAAAAATTTTTCCATAACTGTAACAGATATTGATAGAGTGAAATTAAATGCAAGAATTTGTGTTGAGTAAGTTTCTTGATTACTTTATCATGGATGTTATCTTTGTCAGTTAAAAGTAGAATTATTGTTTGAAGTTGCATAGATTCCAATAATTCAGAATAACTTATCTGATAGCAATAAAATTGCATAAACAGTCTGACTGTTATGGTTTGAGGAGACATTATATTCTGTGTTCTCTTCAGCCACATTGCCACCACCCAGATGCAGCCTACAGATGCCAGAAAAGCTTTCCCCTGCTTTGATGAACCTGCATTTAGAGCTGTCTTTGAAGTGACTCTGTGGAGAAAAGACCCCATGAAATCCTTGTCCAACATGCCTATCAGAAATACTACGACTCAGTAAGAACTGACAGTGCTCTACATTTTCATTTATGCTGATGAAAATATTAAGATTGACGAGAATAAAATTAAAAAAATAGTTTCATCCCAGAAAGGAATCAGAAAGACTAGAAGAATCTGAAAGGTTTCAATGATAAACACTTTTTGTTTTGATATGAAATTAATAGGTAAAATAGCTTAAAGTATGTAACTAATGCCTAATAAAAATGTAAATTTGTATATCGATATAACTTGATTTCATTTGAGTTGTCACTTATTCACATAATTTTATTTTTACTTAATTCTGATTGATCTATTTTTGATCTATTTTTACTACTGATCTTTATCTGGAAGCAATTCTTTTTTTAATTTCAGATCAGGTGGATGGATTGCAGATCATTACCTCCCCACCCTTAAAATGTCCACATACCTCCTGGCTTTCATTATATGTGATTTTGACTATGTCGAAAATACCACATCCAGAAACACAATAGTGAGTAGTAAAATTAAAAAACCCAATCCTCATACATTCTGACTATTAGTTTTTGTATAAGATTGACTGCATTCAGTTTTTGTGATGTAACAGGTGAGCCTGTATTATAGATAAGTCTGTATTAAGATAAAAAAAAACATTACTTATAGAGATAATAATTAAGTAGGTAAGTCTGAATTAAAATTATAGAGCTAGCAAAACATGTACATGTGGACAGGATGTGGATAGTTGTGGGAAGAAAAGGATAGTCAAGTAACCAAGCATGCAGTTGTCTAAGGGCAATAAACGCACCCTTAGTTTCAGGGAGCTGACAGGTATAAGCGATATTAAGAGATAAGTTTCCAGTAGACAGTGAAACTTGGGGTGTATTTTTAAGTCACTTTTTGAGTTTTTATTTATAAGAAATAGGAAATTTATTCATAGCAATATCTGTTTCATGCTTACAGGTCAGAGTCTGGGCCAGACCTGAAGCTAAGGACCAGGCATACTATGCACTGGATGCTGGAGTACGCATACTGGAGTACTTTGAAGGCTATTACAACATTACATTCCCTCTACCAAAGCAAGGTAAGGACAGAACCCTTTTATGAAGCAAATATGACTGCAATATTTGTATTTCAAAATCCTCTAAGATATTTAATATTTGAGACATATAAAAAAGGAAATATCTTTTCTGTGAAAAAGAATAATATACCTGACTTGTGAATAATATTTTTATTCTGATTCAATTGGGAAAAGAGAATAATAAATTTCTTTCTTCGTTAAACATTTCTCTGACTTTATTTCTGGAGTCTTGTCAAACTGGGGTCTGATTGATATCGTGAAGACAGCTGATATTAAATGTAAAAAAACTACTCTTTTTAGACATGATAGCTATCCCAGACTTTGCTGCTGGAGCCATGGAAAACTGGGGTCTGATCACTTACAGGGAGACGGCTGTTTTGTATGATCCTAAAGTGTCGTCTGCTGGCAACAAGCAGTGGGTCGCAGTGGTAGTGTCACATGAACTGGCCCATCAGGTAGGTAGATGAAAATGTCACACTGTAGTTAGTCCTGCATTTGTTGTTGTTGTTGTTTTGTACTAGCACATCCACTGTCTAAAGAGTCACCTGCTGGGAATGAGCAATGGGTAGCTAAGGTAGTCTTCCATGAATGAACAGATCAGTTGGGTATGGTATTCAAAGGATATGGTTGCAGAATATCTGTCCAAATGTCTGCCCTCATTGAAAATATGGTCATTGAATTAAGAATGTTTATACACATTTTTAATGAACAATCATTTGTTTAGACATTTCAAATTTATTTTAGTTTAATCAAAAGTTATTACTGCTACTTGCATTTATTTTTAGGTGCAAAATTTACTTCTCTTTATGAGATGATGCAAGTAAACAATTTTGTTTTCCAGTGGTTTGGCAACCTGGTAACTCCACTGTGGTGGGATGACCTGTGGCTTAATGAAGGGTTTGCCAGCTATGTAGAGTACCTGGGAGTGGACTTCATAGAACCAACTTTCAAGATGGTAATTTGAAAGAATTTATTGTCAATAAATTTGGAAGAAATAATTATCTTAAATACATTCATTTGTGATACTAGATTGTCATAAGTTATTCCAATCCCCCTCAGTAATTATTAGATTTTGTGGCTGTTTGGCTTTAGATAAGGTTCATGATGGATAATAACTAAAAAAGGACAAATTAGTCCAAACCCGATTTCATTTGGTACTTGGGTAAATTAAGTCCTTGATTGATATGGTGGTAAAATTTTAGAAAAAGTAACCTATTAATTTTTTCATTGTATCAGATGGAGCAATTTCTTACCGAGGCCTTGCACGATGTGTTTGGTTATGATGGCCTGGCCAACTCTCACCCCATCTATGTTCCTGTGGGACATCCTGATGAGATCAATGAGATATTTGACACAATATCATACAGCAAGGTCAGTTTTAACATGGATCTGATAGGATGAGAGAGTGGGAGTGGATTGAAGAGAAATTAATATGCAACTACTGGTATATGTGGCATTATGCAAAGCAACAAAAATCATGTCGTTTTTCTTTCTTCTAGCTCAATCTATTGGTCATTTTGTTTGTCTCTTCAGCCTGCTTGTTTGTCCATGTATCTTTATTTCATTTTGGTAAATTCCAGGGTGCCTCTATTATAAGGATGATGAGTCACTTCTTGACAGAAGATCTATTCAGGAGAGGACTCACAGTAAGAGACATAAAGGATGTCATGGTGCTTTAAATATCATGGAAAAAACTAAACTATTTAGAATTATTTGATATCTTTTCCTGATATGTCTGTATGGGGTATATGTCATGTTTCTGGTCCTGGGTTTGTGTTTAATCACTTCTTCCTGGACATTGCATCTTAGTACATATATATATAATGGTGAATACTTAAAAGATATTGCAGCATTATGATTTTTGCAATTTTTTTAAATTTAACCGTAAATATATTACAGTCACATGAGGTATTAAGATAAATTTGATTTACTTTTTTCTGTCAGCACTACCTTAATAGACATGCCTATGATGTTGCCACACATGATGACCTGTGGAATGCCCTCACTGAGGTAATGTGAATCACTGGGGAATTTTTGTGATTCTTTCACAAAATTATCAAAAAGACAATTTACTTTTACAATTTTTTAGTAAAATAGTTCAAATATCCTGTGAAAAATTGTTTGATGATTGAAATTCATTGATGTTTACAAATAATTTTATTAAGACTTTTGTTTTTAACTATTACTATGACACTCACTATACAGGGCCGTAGCCTGAGCAAAATGCCAGGGGGGGCAGTAAGCAGACACGAGGGGGCAAAGCCCCCGAGGGGGTGGGTGTGGAAAATTTTTAAAAAACTGTATGTATAATACTGCATTCTAGTGCATTTTAACTGTTATTTATTGCTCAATCAGAAGTCAAAAATTGTGGGTTCATTTTGCCATTTTGCCATATTTGCGCCTCAAATCCCAGGGGGGGCAGCTGCCCCCCCTGCCCCCCCGGAGGCTACGGCCCTGCTATAAAAGAATTCTTATTGCCATTTCAGCAAACCCAAAAAGAAGGAGAACTCATGGATGTAAAGACAATAATGGACACTTGGACACTCCAGATGGGTTACCCAGTGGTCAAGATAAACAGGGACTACAGTGGACACTCAGCTACTGTGACACAGTCTCATTTTCTCATAGATCCAACTGTAGAACCAAACCCTAAATATCCTTCACCTTTCAAGTAAGTTGAATTCATCATCCTTCATTTGACTGTATTACAGATTGTTAACTTATGTTTTCTTAAAACGTTTTTCTTTGTTTATGGATTATAGCCAAAACTGCCTGATGAACCTGACTGTATTATAGTATTTAAAAAGCCAAACCTTTTTAAACACAAACATATAACCAGCAAAGAACATTTCTTGCCTTACTGGTATTGTCTAGAAAATAAAGATGTCTTGTTATTTTCTAACTAGCTACAAGTGGGAGGTGCCCCTAACCTTTACAACTTCTGTAAACCCACAGTGGGGTGGAACTGATATCAGGTGGATGCATAAAAATGATGCAAACTGTGAGTTATAGTAAAACAATTTACATCTTGTCCATGGATATACTTGGTTTTAGATGTGTTATTTTCAAGAAAATTTGTATAAGGAATAGAGAGGGTGTTATAATGTGTGTATACTAGAATTTTAATATCAGTATTACAAAAAAGATGAAAATAATGATAACAATTAGATAAATTAATAAATGTTGAATAGATCCCATGTTAAAATAATTAGAACTAATTTTCTGCGTAAAAATGACCAAGTAAAGGTAATCATTCCATGTGGAAAGATTAGATTTTGAATATATAGATAAAGAATATCAATACTAACTAACTTTTGTTTGCCATACAGATTGTTGAATTACTTCTTGTTTCATCTTGTTTCATTAGTTATGCTCAATACAACTGACTTGAATAATGTTGGAGATGATGGTTGGGTGATTGGCAATCTTCAGCAGTATGGCTACTACAGGGTCAACTATGACAGGAAGAATTGGGACAACATTCTCAGTCAACTCCAAGATGATCACACGGTAACTTAACAATATTGCATTTGATTAGATACATTAGATTGCATTTGCCAAGATGATGGTGAATTATTTTAGAAATCCCAATATTAAAGTCACAGGGATATTGGATATTGGATTATTGTGGGTATATAAAGTGGTTCATGTCAATGATTTTGTAAAAATGTGTGAAGGTGTGATGGTTTTCTCCTTCCAGAAAATAAATGTGAAGAACAGAGCTCAGATCATTGATGATGTCTTCAACATAGGAAGGTAGTTGCATTTAGTTTTTTTGTCATTTGGTGTGTGGTGAAATCAATAAATATTTTCACTCCCTGTGAGACTTTTAAAATCTTTTCTTTATTTGTCTAGTAACATTCATCATTCATTCAACAGTTAGCTAGCATTTCATTTTGTTGGAATTCTTATGTTTCGATTAAAATTTTATTTTTGAATTTTTTTAGGAAGTAAATATTTCTGAATGGATAGTGAATAAAGTGATTAACTGTTCCCCTATACTCACAAATTGTTTCAATTCTAGTTCTGGCATGGACAGTGATGTGGATATAGTGCTGGCCATGGAGACCACCAAGTACCTAGTCAAGGAGGTGGACTATATACCATGGGAGACTGCCCTGATAAGCATGGGACAGACTGACCGCATGCTGAGCAAAACAGGACTTTATGGCAATTACCAGGTAGAATACAGAGTGCAGAACTTGATTTTTTCTATTCTTTCCAAGTTCGACAGAATTACCAGATTTTGATTGTTGCTTCAATTTTTTCAAGGGACCACTCTAGTGGGTTTGTGGAAGTTATTTACCAGAGTAGAAATAAAGCAGCAGTGGGTAGAGTACAAGAGCGTTTTCAATGCCCTGGCCGGGGATCTTCAGATAGCTTTTGTGAATTATCAGTTTTTATCAATTATGTGTAAGTTTACATAAATATACAGGAATCACCAGGAGTGGGAGATGAAGCTAGCATTCGGTCATGTGCTTTTCAGATTTTTTGTTACAAGTAATGTTGTATTTGTACATTTACAGCTCAGTGTTGTAATATTTAGAATCCTGCATTCCATTTTATTTTGATGACTGATATGATCAAATTACATGTAGTAGTAAAATGTGATTAAAGTTTTTACATTAATCAAAATTCTTGGCTTTATACTCATTTACAACTTTGTTTAAGTTATTTTTTTTAACCTTTCACCTTCTTTTGCAGAAATACATGTTAGGCCAGATATTACCTCTGTACAACAAAGTTGGTTGGGAGGATACTGGAGATCATATTGAACAGTATGTAATATTGCATTTATCTGTCAAAATCATAACAACCAACAAATCCTCCAGCACACACACAAGTACCATATCCTCTCAGGCTTGTAGCCAACAATTTTCAAAAAAGAGGCTCTTTTTGTGAAAAAGTGCTTCTCCACCCTTAGTTGACCCAAATCGACAAATAGAACCAAAGCCAAATTTTGATTCAGAAAGGACCATTCCCTATCAGAAGGACAGCTCTTTGTAACTCCCTAAACTCCCTGCCTACAGGTCACTCCTCTCATTCCACCTCTTCAGCTAAAACATTTTTACTGAACATATTTAGGTACAACCGTATAAATGCCCTGTCAAAAGCCTGTGACTATGGACACCAGCCATGTAGAGACAAGGCTAGTGAGATGTTCACTGCTTGGATGCGTTCTGCTAATCCAGATATGAACAACCCGTATGTATCTTATTTAAATACTTTGTAAAATATTTTTCAGTGAAATTACTCATTGTGCACTTTTTTTTTTAAATTAAGATTAAGATTATCTGGCTAAGATTATCTGTAAGCACAAAGTTATTATTTACTTTGCATTTTTGTTCATGGTGCTGATTTTGAATTATAGAATCATGTATGTGTTCATTAAATTTAATGTTTTATTAAATATGGAAAAAGTAGTGTAATATAACTTTTTCAATGTTGAATTTTCTTAATTTTGCAGAATTGCCCCTAACCTCAAGTCTCTGGTGTACTGCAATGCTATAAAAAATGGAGGCAGTGCTGAATGGAATTTTGCCTATGAGAGATACAAGAAGGCCAATGTAGCCTCCGAACAATCAAAGCTGCTATATGGACTGTCTTGTAGCACTGAAACCTGGATTTTGAGCAGGTGAAAGGAAATCTGAACATTGTTTAGCTGAAAAGAAATAATGAATTTATGGCAGATTGTGTTATCCAATAAGATGGGGCAAAACATATCAAGTGAAATTCATGCATACCTCATCCCTATTTTGCATCAGGTTTTTATATTCTGATTTTGGTGGATAACTTTTTTTTTGGTTCGAAAACCATTTGTTTCATTTGTTTTAGGTCAGCAGTCAACAAAATAATCATTTAGTATTCTAGGCATGTGAGGCTTTTAATCCAAGTAGATTCAAGTTTCCTTGATAGAATATCCCCCAAATTATACTTTGTTTAATATGAAATTATATATAATTGATCAAAAAAAAGTTTGATGAATTGAAAAAAAAGTTCTTTTTAATGCACAGATATCTAGATTATGCCTTGACTCCAACTGAGGTACGAAAACAAGATGCCACATCAGTAATACGCTATGTTGCAAGGAATCCAATAGGTAGATGTCTTGCCTGGGACTTCATAAGAGAGAAATGGACATATATTATTGGAGAGTAAGGAAATGTGTTGTTTTGTATGATGTTTAATATGTTTTAGCATACTTTTACTACTGTCTATCAAAGCTACACCATCTTGGGTTCTGCCACAAAGGAACACTTACTAGATTGTAACTGTTTTTTAGGATGATCTGTTAAAATGTATTTTCATTTAAAACAGTTCCTGTTATAAACTTATAAAATAATGATTTGCTGTTATTACATTAGATTACTTGCTGTGACAAGTGTTTTTCTATTGGTTTCAGTTATGGCAGTGGCTGGTCCTTCTCTGGCCTGATAGACAGCATCACTGGTAGCTTTAATACACAATTTGAACTGGATCAGGTATAGAGTCAATTCTAGGAATGGAACTTTCCTGAAAAGCAATTTCAGTTTGTAAAACAAATTTTAGTCATCGTTTTTTCCTAAATGTGGTGTACATAAATTGAAACTAAGCTGCTTGAGCATTTCTGTTTTGGTTTCCTACTTACAAATGTAACTCACAGTATTGTTCCTCTAGTAATATTTAATTTTACCGATAAGTTAAGTTTTAGGAATGAAAAGAATTTAATATATTTCAGATTTATACTAACACCATTTTCATTCCCTTTTCAGCTGAATGCATTTATCTCCAGCCATGACAATCTGGGATCAGGTCAGCGTGCCTTTGAACAAGCTGTGGAGAAGACACAAGCAAATATCAAGTGGATGCAGGCCAATGAAAAGAAACTGGGAGAATGGCTGGCAGCAAATGTAGAGTAAGTGTCTTATCTGTCCAGAAAATGAAAGCAGCCTTAAAACAGATCAAATATCAGTCAACCAATCTTTTGTCTTTCACTGATGATTTTCTTGTACTGCTTGAGATGGAGAATATATAATAAAACAAACAAACAGACAAACAAAAAAAGGGTACTTTTCACCAACTGGTTTCATTTGTATCATTAGGTATCTTTTAATTGGTTGTCATAGAGGAGAACAATGGTTATATACTCAACAATAGGATTGTTGACACACACATGTATGCACGCACCCAAGCACGCACGCACTCACACACACACACACACACACACACACACACACACAGAGCTTCACAATATTATATTAACATGTTTTGTTACTTTTCATTTTTCTCTAGCCCCACAGATACAATAACCAAGCCCTCTGATGTCCGCCTACCCACCACCATGTTACCTAACTACTACAAGTTGTGGCTACGACCTGACATCTATGGCAGTGACCCTGAGACCTTCACCTTTGATGGTGTGGTGGAGATAACCATGCTTTGTAATGAAACCACCAAAGTCATCAAACTTCACACTAATAAACTAACCATCAATAGTGTGGAGTTGATGGAAACGGCTAACAATGCTAGTGTGGGTGGAATTACAAGAAGTGAAGACAAATCAAGACAGTTTTTGGTGATTAATGCACCAGAAAATTTTGTGGTTGGGAAAAACTACACTCTAAAGATAAACTTCACTGGGCCTTTGAAAGATGACTTAGCAGGACTGTACAGGAGTCAATATTTCAGCTCCACCAGAAATGAGACTATGTAAGTATGCAATATCCCAAATTATATTTCTTAAATGAGTAAATTTATTGTTTATCATTTATAAATTAAATGCCAAAATTATAATGAAAAAGATAGATTGTACATAACTGAGTCCAAAATTGTAGAATTTGCAAAAATTTTGTTATGTGCACTTTCGTTTCTTAAATACCAGTAAATATAAATTTTGTCACTTCAAAGTTCACGACTTCACTTCAAAGTTTACGTGATTTAACCCAGTCACAGATGGTAATTTAAGCCTGCATTAATTCCCTTAATAAAAAATAATTTATCTTATAGCAATAAAAATTTATGTGGTTTTAAGGAGATTGTGTAACCATTTTTAGATATTATTTTCTGTGTTCTCTTCAGCCACATTGCCACCACCCAGATGCAGCCCACAGATGCCAGAAAAGCTTTCCCCTGCTTTGATGAACCTGCATTTAAAGCTGTCTTTGAAGTGACATTGTGGAGAAAAGAACCCATGATTTCCCTGTCCAATATGCCTATCAGAAGTACTACAACACAGTAAGGATTTGGTTTGTAAAAGATTTACCAATTGTTTTAAATGTGGAGACATTCCTCTTTTGATTTCTTCTAACAGAAGGAAGTGCACAAATCAGAAGAGATGAAGTAACAAGTTCTTGTAAAAAATTTGTAAGTTTGAAAGGAGTTTTTTAAGAAGCAGTTTTTTTAACACATGATATTACATTCCATTAATGAAAAAGACAAACACCAATATGCCTGAAGTAAAGCAGTGACTTGGTATACGTAGTTAGTGTATATAAACCGAGATGCTACAACATGTTGAGTATATTTTACAGAGATGACTGGAAGCTGGACCACTACTTCCCCACTGTGAAGATGCCTACCTACCTGCTGGCCTTCATTATCTGTGATTTTGTTTATGTTGAGAGAAACACAACAAGGAACACAGCTGTAATTCAATATATATTTTATGCAGTCATACTTTTACTTTGGTACACTTAATTGTTTCATTAGAGTTTGAATAGTAATAAGCAGTTTGTCACCAGAGATCACACAGCTATTGCTTACTTATTTAAAATTTTCTAAGAGGTTTTTGGAAAGATTAGAGCAGTTTTTTAAACATTTTAAAGTAATTTGTTTCACTGGCAATTTATTAAGGATTTCCTGTGAAAAACAGGCCCACTGAGACATGCATTTGAATTTTTTGTTTTTGCCTTTAATGTTTATATTCAAAAAGGATACCTTGGTAATGATTTCAAAACAAAATGAAACAAATTTAAAGAGAACTTTTAACTTGTCTTTCCTGTTGCCTGTAGGTCAGAGTTTGGGCACGACCAGAAGCCAAGGACCAGACAACTTATGCTCTAGATGCTGGGGTTGAAATACTTGAGTACTTTGAAGAATACTATAACATAAATTTCCCTCTTCCAAAACAAGGTAAAGTTTCATAAAATTACACCTGTAATAATTGTTTATCAGTATATGACTACTTTATTCCTCATAAAAAGTCCCCCCCCCCCAAAAAAAAAAAAAACAATCCAAGACTTGGCAACTGCATGGAGTTGTGGAAAACTGAAATCTGATTACTAACATGGCAACTGCTCTGCTATATGATCCCAAGGTGTCATCTGCTGGTAATAAACATTGAACACTTCAATTTTTTTATTTAGACATGATAGCTATCCCAGACTTTGCTGCTGGAGCCATGGAAAACTGGGGTCTGATTACTTACAGGGAGACAGCTCTTCTCTATGATCCTAAAGTGTCGTCTGCTAGTAATAAACAGAGAGTGGCAGTGGTTGTGTCACATGAACTGGCCCATCAGGTGGGTAGATTAAAGATGAAATTTTAAACTGAAAATGTACACAATACCACAAATAGATGTAGATAAACGTGGAAAAGTATGCTTGCCTATGCATTGAAAAAAAGAAAAATGACAGTTGATCACAATTTTCCATTATAATATTTATTCATTTCTAAAATTTCCTTCAGTATTGAGATAACATGTATATACAATTTGTCCAGTGATGTGTGTTATGCTTCCAGTGGTTTGGTAACCTTGTGTCTCCACTGTGGTGGGATGACCTTTGGCTTAATGAAGGATTTGCCAGCTATGTGGAATACTTGGGGGTGGACTTCTTTGAATTAACATGGAAAATGGTAATGATATATGGCTGGAATATATGAGAAGCAAAATTGTTTACATAATAATTTATATATTTAAATTTGAAAATAAAGAGTACAGCGAAGGTGACCATAAGAAAGAAACTCTGTCTGTACTGATTCAGAAACAAACTTTTTTGAATAGTTTGTAATGACATGCACAAATGGGGAAAATGGTGATCCAGAAACCATGTAAAAACAGTAATACAATAGGCCATATTAAGGCAATGTTGTCTCCAAGTATGCTTACTTTTCCTGCAGTTATTTCAACAATTCAGACTATTAATCTTGGTCGAATTGTTTGGCATATTACCGTAATATGCATCTGCCTGTGAAAAGACATTGAAAAAAAATGATGGTTGCATATAACATGAAGACTTTTTTTTTAAATAAATGGAACATATAACATAGGGAGTTTTTTTTTAAATAGATGGAACAGTTTTTAGTTGAAGATCTTGAGGATGTGTTCAAATTGGACGGCCTGGCCAACTCTCACCCCATCTATGTTCCTGTGGGACATCCTGATGAGATCAATGAGATATTTGACAGGATCTCTTATGCTAAGGTATTGTTCCTTTGAAGGATATATTGAAAATTAATTGTTAATTGAGAGGTGTACAATGAAGGATATCCATGCAAAGCTGACAAATGTTACATTCATTCTTAAAAATTCCTGTAAGCATTTAGAAACATGAACAGCTTATTATCACATTTTATATTTCAGGGAGCATCAATTATACGCATGATGAACAACTTTTTGACTGAGGAAGTGTTTAAAAAAGGCCTTACCGTATGTGTTTGAATGTTTTTCTTAATAAAATGTTTCTCAAGTTAAGAATATATATAAATATATAATTGAGTAGCCTTGTGAGCATCATTATTAAAAATGACATAGATTTTGTTTGCACACATGTATTTTTCAATATCTAAAATTGAATTTTGTTTACCCAGCAAGACATGATAAATAATGCAAGTACTATTTTTCATTTCAACAGCGTTACCTTAACAGGCATGCCTATGATGTTGCCACACATGATGATTTATGGGCTGCCCTCAGTGAGGTAAATTGATATTTAGCAGGCTGGCACCAACTGAAGCTTCAGTCATGTGCATTTATGTCCTGTTTCTGTAAATTACTTCCTTCATTTATTTTGTAAGGCATAGGAAGCATATTTATTTGTATTTATGGCTCAGTGCAAGACATGTTTTGATCTTCCCTATAATGTTGACATCTTTTGACAAAAAATAAGTAAAATGCAGTATTTGTGCTTCATAGAATTCAAAAAACCACAATTATAAGAGTGTAATTATTGATAGAGCAAATTATATTTTAATTTGAAAAAATTTAATTTATGCTTCTATTTTCTCAGCAAACCCGAGAAGATGGACACTCGGTGGATGTGAAGACAATAATGGACACTTGGACACTCCAGATGGGTTACCCAGTGGTCAAGATAAACAGAACCTACAGTGAACAACCATCAACTGTATCACAGTCTCATTTTCTCATAGATCCAACTGTAGAACCAAATCCTAAATATCCTTCACCTTTTAAGTAAGTTGGAATTTATTCAGAAGATCTTTATTTCAAGTTGAAAAATACATTTAAAGATAGTCATTTAAATTTCAGGTCTTTTTTCATAGTTTTGGTGGCTTTGTTAAAGGTCATTTCAAGATCCATGTTAAAACTATTTTCTCAATATTGATAATTTTTTCAGTTACAAATGGGAGATACCTTTAACTCTCACCACAAGTAATTCTCCAATGTGGAATGGCACCATAAGATGGATGAATAAAAATGACAGTAAGACTGCATTTCTAACAAAAACTTATTTTTACCAGTTACACATTTTGCAGAATAATAAGGATTTAAAGTCTATAGCTTACCGGTAGATATTAAAAATCCTCCTCCTTTTTTCTTAGAATTTACCTCCATTTTCATTGGAGTACACTATCAATTGTCATTTATACAGCAGGGAATTTCTGGTACATTTTTGATTGCAATCCTTCCACTGTGTTTCATTTTCATATTCATTGGCATTAACAAAGGTGCTTAGAACCATGTTCATGCTTGTGCTTTTATGTTTTAACAGTTAGTCTTAATACAACTGACTTGAATAATGTTGGAGATGATGGTTGGGTGATTGGCAATCTTCAGCAGTATGGCTACTACAGGGTCAACTATGACAGGAAGAATTGGGAAAACATTCTCAATCAACTGAACACTAATCACAGGGTAAGTGATATTCATGACATGGAAGAAATTAGACTGTATTCAGATTTAGTACTGTTATTTACTGTTTCTTTCCTGTTATGATAATGTTACGAGTGAACAGACAACTGTTATCAACAAAAACTTTGTAATGTCTAGACACCATCTGGTCAATATTTTTTTTTCAGATGATCCATGTGAAAAACAGAGCTCAAATTATAGATGATGCCTTCAACATAGCAAAGTAAGAATAATGAGTAGATATTTAAGATGATTTGATGTTTTTAAGGAAGAAAAACATATCTCAGCAAAATAAACTGTTTTTTTTTTTGTCTTATGTAAAGTATGAAGTAATATTTTGTGTTTTCTTCTAAAATATGAGGTACTCTTTATATTTAATTGTGTTATTCAGCTGTTAGTGAGTTGTATTTTTGAATGTCCTGTATGTACTGCTCAAAATGTGAATATAAAAGTCTAAATATGTGTTCTTTTAGTTCTGGCATTGATCCAGCTGTGGACATAGATCTTGCTATGCAGACAACCAAGTATTTGTCCAAAGAGACGGAGTACATCCCGTGGGAGGCAGCACTCTTGAATGTTGGTTACTTGGACATTATGATGAGCAAAACCCAACACTATGGAAACTACCAGGTATATCTTTCAAGTTCACTTCTGCAAGGTGCAGGATTACAATGAATTGTTGCTTTTGAGATGCCAACAGGTGCTATCATTGTTGCCTTAAAAGAGCAATTATTTGGAAAACCAGCCAATATAAAATGGTAGGAACAGTCAATAGAATATATGAAATTGGTGTGAGGTTTACCCTGAGAAACCATAAACTCCGATGCACCAAATGGAAATGTTTATCTTTTCACTCAATGGTTTCTCAGGTTTGAAGAGGTTTGGTTGTATTCCTCATTTTTAGTGCCATGAAATTATCCAGATATATCATCTAGTATTTCAAAGTCATTGATATACAAATGGATGTAGCTTAACATGTATATATCTTATTTCTATAGTAAGTTTTAACAGTGAAAGTACAATTTCTATTGAGACATTGACTTAATTTATCTATTAATCTTAATATCAATCTTGTGATTTCCAGAAGTACATGTTGCGCCAGATTTTACCACTGTACAACAGGGTGGGATGGGAGGATACTGAAGGGCACCTTGAACAGTAAGAATTTATAATAAACTACATGTGTCTGTCTTGTTTGTCATCTTTAAAATAAGATGTTGCCACACTGTTAAGAATATCTTATGAATGTCGGGTTTCATATTTTGTTTTTGTTCTTTCTTTTGAATTTTCCTTTACTTGACACATCTCTTCAGATACAATAAGATCAATGCTTTGGGTAGAGCCTGTGCCTATGGATACCAACCTTGCCTGGATAAAGCCACAGAGATGTTCAACAGTTGGATGAATTCAGCAAACCCTGATGAGGATAACCCGTAAGTGTTTTAACTAGTTTTTGTGAAACTATTAAATTCAGTCTAAATCTACCACAAAGCATTATGTTAAATGCTTTTTGTTAATTGATCAATTTAAACTGATTGCAATCAACTTTTGAAACAAAGGGGGATTGAGCTTTGTATCTGATTATGTGTGATTATATATCATCATTTATAAATTGAAGATAAGGGGACAGGATAACAGTTTGGTCAAATAACAGGCAATTTGTTTTTTCTTTTTCTCTTAGAATTCCACCAAATTTGAAGTCTTTGGTCTATTGCAATGCCATTAAGAAAGGTACTTCCCAGCTGTGGGACTGGACATATGAAAGATACAAGAAGGCCAATGTGGCATCAGAACAAGTCAAGCTGCTGTATGGACTGTCTTGTAGTTCTCAGACTTGGATTCTTAGCAGGTGAATGTCTCTGTTGTTTTTTGAAATTTTGCTAAATATCTATACTATGTTGCAGTAGAAGTGTGTATGGATTTCTGTAGATGTGAGTAATGATAAATATTTGTGGAAGCAGGAGGCTCAAGAAACCCTCATATATGCATTTGGAAATGATAGACATAAAGAGTGAAAATATGGGTATTTTTCCTACTAGAGTTTGCTTTGCTTGTTTGGTGATCAGGACCCTTTTCATTCAGGGATTTTTTTCAAAAGCTTATAAACATTAATAAAAACTTGATGGGGATAGATTAGATGATACCTTTTTCATATTCATCAGATATCTGGAGTATGCCATAACTTCAAGTGAGATTCGTAAACAAGATGGCACCTCAGTGATTGTGTATGTTGCAAGGAACCATATTGGAAGAGGTCTTGCCTGGGACTTTATTAGGTCTAAATGGAACTTTTTAATGAATGAGTAAGTAAATCTGTGATATAGGTGTAATTTTGGAACTACTTGTTGCATTGGTTATTTACAAGCATGTTTGATTCAAATATTTGTGTTTTGTTCATGGGACCATTTAAATAAGACTTTTCCATTTAATTTGAATATTGATAATAATATGTTTTGTCACAGTTAATTGAAAACATTTAATTGTACTATGTTCATAATGCTGCATTGTTTGTGTGGCCTTTACTTTTGTCTTAAGTGGTGAAATTCAGTAACTTACGATGTTCAAAATTCATAAAATCCAAGTGTTGTTATAAAAAAGCAATAACCTCTTCATTACAGTTATGGTGGTGGAAGTTTCTCTTTCTCCAGTATCATCAGAGGAGTTACCACTCACTTCAACACACAGTTTGAACTAGAAAAAGTAAGTCGAGGTGTAAATTTTTCTCAACCTTTCTCTGTGAGCACTGGAAGTACTCATGGTGAAACCAGGAAATAGTTGGAATAACATTTTTATACTCCAACATAAATGATGCAGTGAAGGAAATAGGAGGGATATTGAACTTGTAAAACTAAAATAGTCAAACTTGGAAACGAGATATTAAAGAGATATTAAATTTACATGAATAACCAGGTCTTTTCATTATCAAGGTGGTTGTTGTGAAATGCTCTGAAGAAAACACAGCAAAAAACATACTGATAATAAGAGTGAGAGAGAAAAAATGATAAAAAGTTATAATTATGTTATAACATTTATAAGAATTGTAATCTTATTCCAATTTTAGTTAAATGAATTCATATCTAGCCGTGACAATCTGGGATCAGGTCAGCGTGCCTTTGAACAAGCTGTGGAGAAGACACAGGCAAATATCAAGTGGATGGAGGCCAATGAACAGAAACTGGGAGATTGGCTGGCAGCAAATGTAGAGTAAGTGGCATCAGAAATCATCATTCCTTCTATAATGTAACTGTATGATTATGAATATAATTTCATTGAATTTTGTTTTATTTTAGTTAAAAGGATTTCAGTTGTAAAATACAAAGCAAATTCAATTTTGAAATATTAAAATGTTTAAGATGAAAAGGTTTTAAGATGATTAAATTGTTAAAACAGACATATTTGTATTAATGTATTATTATTATTCCTAAGTGCTGTTTTAAATGGTTAAATGTGCATGAAATGAAATATATTGAGCTAATGTAGTATTCTCTATCAGAGTTTTTGTTCAATTTCTTTTCTTTTGGTACGTGTAAGCAAGAAATTTAAATGCAGTAAGATTTTCCACTTTTCTTATACAATCAGTGATCTGGAATTTGGTACTTTGCAACAAAGTCAAAAAATGTAATGTGCTGTTGAACTTGATTGTCTTCTTTTTTAACAGCTCTACAGATTTGGTCACTAAACCAACTGATGTCCGCCTGCCTGCTGACCTCATGCCTTCCTATTATAAGCTGGAGTTGCGACCTGATATATATCAAGACGATCCAAAAGGTTTTAATTTCAGTGGCAAAGTAGACATAACCATGCATTGTAATAATGCCACAAATGTTATCAAACTGCACATCAAAAGTTTGACCATAGATGGAGTGGAATTGGTTGATATGAATGGTTTGCCAGTGCCATATACAAATACTGAAGAGGACAAATCAAGAGAGTTCTTCATTGTAAATCTACCACAGATGTTGGTTCAGGGAATGAATTACACATTAACATTAAATTTCTCAGGACCTCTGAGGGATGATCTAGTAGGGCTTTACTGGAGTCAATATTTCAGCAGTATGAAGAATAAGACTGTGTAAGTTTCGTTCATTTAAAGATACCATGGCTTTAATTTGGTGACACTTCAAACATTTCAACATAGTTTAGATATTTACAAATTCTATTCTGGCTATGGGCATTGGAGTGGCATGATAGATATTCTTAAATGGCAGATTTGTTTGTATAGCCACTGCCCAGATGTAGCCCACAGATGTCCCTGTTTTGATGAAACTGTAATTAAAGCTGTATTTTAAGTGTATTTAGAGAGGTCATATCATATAAAATCCTTACTGCACATGCCTCAGTTAATATAGAGGGCATTCTCAACGAATTAAGCCAGGCTTTACAAAGCCGGTGACCTAAAAATGGCGGACGTACATGAAAGAAAAACCGCCTAATCTTTTAATAGTCTCTCCGCCTCTCACACGCCTCCCCACACGTCGTCCCTGCGGGGTACAGTAATTAAATCTCGGTTCCGAACATTAATATTTCCGTGAATATCTCTGGTGATATTATCTCCATAGATAGTCGATTCATTGCTGCTCTACGGGCCAAATTATTCCTTTTTCGTCTCTGTTTTCAAAGATAATAGAACAGAAGAGCTTTTTTCCTTCGATCGCCTTCAGCCGCCATGCTTTCTTCACCACGAGTTTAACTGATGAGCATGCCCACTTAATATTTCTCAGGTAGCTTCCGCATGCACTAGTGGGCTTGAATTGGTCTTAAAGTGCAATTTAAGTTCACAAATAGTCTTACTTGATCTTAAACCATGAGTAAGACTATTTCTGGTCTAACAGCCAATTAAATTGTCTCCCCTTACACATTCTCCTACTGTGAGCAGAGGTGTCCTCTATTGTGAGGGGAGGTATCCCCTATTGTGAGGGGAGGAAACTGCTTGACCACTTAAGTAGATGTTAGATCATTTTTGATCTTAAAAGCAGTTTCAGTCAATTTTAAGACTACTGCTGTAATTTTTAAGATCGTGTAAGATCACTTGTGAACTTAAATTGCACTTTAAGACCAATTCCAGCCCACTAGTGATGGCGAATGGAGACACGATTTAATTACTGTACCCCGCAGGGACGACGTGTGGGGAGGCGGAGAGACTATTAAAAGATTAGGCGGTTTTTCTTTCATGTACGTCCGCCATTTTTAGGCTTTGTAAAGCCTGGCTTAATTCGTTGAGAATGCGCTCATAGACTATTAATGTAGATTAGTGTGCATTTTTGCAATCAAAAGTGGTATTTTATCCTTATCAATAGCCACATAGCCACCAGTCAACTAGCTCCAACTGATGCAAGAAAAGTTTTTCCCTGTTTTGATGAGCCTGCCATCAAAGCTGAATTTGAAGTGATTTTACTTAGGAAAAGCCACATGAAATCACTTTCAAATATGCCTCAGCGCTTTAATCAATCAAGGTGAGTGAACAGCAGTATTCTTTGTTGCATCTAACACCTAATGACCTGGCACTTCACTTGGTAACCTCTAAATGGACACCAACGTTCTTTACAATATTGAATATTTGGTGATGTCAGTTTAACTGTTTTGATGTAAGAAAGACCACCTCTGAATACTTAGAGACTTTGCTTAAACTTAACTTTTATTACACTGGTTACACCTGGCCACCTTTGTCACATGCTGTTTTTTCCAGTTCTATTTTGTGTTCTTTCTTTCTATTTTACAGTAAATATATATGTATATGTGTGCTATCATATTTATATCTCCTCTATCCCATGTAGTATAAGAAGCAATTAAAGAAATCAAATAACAAACAATATATATATATATATGGCCAGTTAGGTCCACTTGAGAATTAATACAATTTTATTTGAACAAATTAACTATGCTATAAAAAAAGTAACCTATAATAATTGATAATAGTTCTGAACTTAAATATTACAACAATAACGTATTCTCTGATTATTTGTATTTTATCTTACAGAGGAGATGACTGGTATGCAGATCACTATGCTCCAACAGTCAAAATGTCCACATATCTCCTTGCATTTGTTGTCTGTGATTTTGACTATGTTGAAAACACAACGGCTAATGGAACAAAAGTAAGATAATCGAATAGATTATTGAATTTAGCACAATTTAGATATTCTAATTGTTCATTAATTTATGGGGAAGCTGAGGAGGATGTTGGGTAGAGATTTTTTCAACATGATTATTCAAGTCATTGTTTGGAAAAGGGCATTTAGAAATGTTAAAATTATCCATGATTTCATTAAAAAAAATAAAAATGAAAATATTTGTCTCTCAGGTCAGAGTTTNTTTGTAAAGCCTGGCTTAATTCGTTGAGAATGCGCTCATAGACTATTAATGTAGATTAGTGTGCATTTTTGCAATCAAAAGTGGTATTTTATCCTTATCAATAGCCACATAGCCACCAGTCAACTAGCTCCAACTGATGCAAGAAAAGTTTTTCCCTGTTTTGATGAGCCTGCCATCAAAGCTGAATTTGAAGTGATTTTACTTAGGAAAAGCCACATGAAATCACTTTCAAATATGCCTCAGCGCTTTAATCAATCAAGGTGAGTGAACAGCAGTATTCTTTGTTGCATCTAACACCTAATGACCTGGCACTTCACTTGGTAACCTCTAAATGGACACCAACGTTCTTTACAATATTGAATATTTGGTGATGTCAGTTTAACTGTTTTGATGTAAGAAAGACCACCTCTGAATACTTAGAGACTTTGCTTAAACTTAACTTTTATTACACTGGTTACACCTGGCCACCTTTGTCACATGCTGTTTTTTCCAGTTCTATTTTGTGTTCTTTCTTTCTATTTTACAGTAAATATATATGTATATGTGTGCTATCATATTTATATCTCCTCTATCCCATGTAGTATAAGAAGCAATTAAAGAAATCAAATAACAAACAATATATATATATATATGGCCAGTTAGGTCCACTTGAGAATTAATACAATTTTATTTGAACAAATTAACTATGCTATAAAAAAAGTAACCTATAATAATTGATAATAGTTCTGAACTTAAATATTACAACAATAACGTATTCTCTGATTATTTGTATTTTATCTTACAGAGGAGATGACTGGTATGCAGATCACTATGCTCCAACAGTCAAAATGTCCACATATCTCCTTGCATTTGTTGTCTGTGATTTTGACTATGTTGAAAACACAACGGCTAATGGAACAAAAGTAAGATAATCGAATAGATTATTGAATTTAGCACAATTTAGATATTCTAATTGTTCATTAATTTATGGGGAAGCTGAGGAGGATGTTGGGTAGAGATTTTTTCAACATGATTATTCAAGTCATTGTTTGGAAAAGGGCATTTAGAAATGTTAAAATTATCCATGATTTCATTAAAAAAAATAAAAATGAAAATATTTGTCTCTCAGGTCAGAGTTTGGGCAAGACCAGAGGCAATGAACCAGACACTATATGCTCTACAGGCAGGAGTCAGAATACTGGGATATTTTGAAAGATACTATGCCATTGATTATCCTCTTCCTAAGCAAGGTATAAACAATCTGAAGTTTTTTCTTCAATCTTCAAATTTATTTTTAAATAACTGAATTAATGCTCTAATCAATAAGCAGATGGACAAACAATTCAGCATTTTAGATGATAAATTGATTTGAAGTTGTATTATTTTTAAATAGAAAACATGTTGCGTATCTCTAGTAAAAATGTTAATAAAAAACTTAATTGTTTTTCACATAGACATGATAGCTATCCCAGACTTTGCTGCTGGAGCCATGGAAAACTGGGGTCTGATTACTTACAGGGAGACGGCTCTGCTTTATGACCCTAAAGTGTCGTCTGCTAGTAATAAACAGAGAGTGGCAGTTGTTGTGTCACATGAACTGGCCCATCAGGTTTTTATTAATTGTCTTTTTAATTATTTTTAAGATACACATGTATATTTTATTTCACCAACAAAACTGTCATATGTCCCATCCATTCTGCTAGAGAAATGCTTAACATTTCATACCAGAGAGCAATTGTCACAGACTTGAATTCATTTTCAGTCATTATTTCATGTAATCTGCAAAATCTGCAAAAATTAACATTGAAACGGGAAGATAACTGGTAAATGTTTTTCTTTATATTTCATTGAATGTTAATGATATAAAACTAAAGGAAATTACCTTTTCCTTCCAGTGGTTTGGCAACCTGGTAACTCCACTGTGGTGGGATGACATTTGGCTTAACGAAGGATTTGCCAGCTATGTGGAATACCTGGGAGTGGACTACATAGAGCCAACATGGAAAATGGTAAAATTTTGCTGTTACTAAGATATGAGCAAATTCCTGAGAAAACTGTAACAGTTCTATTTAAACAATGTGTTTTAATATCTGCAATCTGTGTATTTTCCTCAACTGAAGATCATTTTTCATGGGTCATATATAGTGTCACTTTCTCATAATATTGTGAGGTTTTACTTATAACACAATTTTGCATACCATTTACAGATGGAACAGTTTTTAGTTGAAGATCTTGAGTATGTGTTCAAATTGGATGGCCTTGCTAGCTCACACCCCATCTATGTTCCTGTGGGACATCCTGATGAGATCAATGAGATATTTGACAGGATCTCTTATTCTAAGGTATGGCTCTTTTTGTCACCCATATTGTATATGTTAATTCACCACATTAGGTATGTGCAGACAGGTTAAAAACTTAATCCTGCCCTTTCTTAGAGATCTGGCTCATGTAGTGTATTAAAGATCAGAATGATTTTAGTTAAAAACCCCACCAGATTGCAGTTCTTCTCAGCTTCATCTTTGAATCCAAAATTATTCATCTTTGATTGAAACTGGCCATATTGCCTTTATGAGACAATATGCCCAGATATACTTAAATACTTAAATATAAGAAATTTTTTACATTTCAGGGAGCCTCAATAATCAGAATGATGAGCAGCTTTTTAACAGAGGACACTTTCAAGAAAGGATTAACTGTAAGTTTGAGTAACAGAAAGAAATGAATAAATACAACAAGTAGAATACTATAGTAAGATACATTTCAAGTGTACTTCATTTCCTTTTTGGCTGTATCTAATTAGAAAATTCTTTGTTTAATTTAGTTTAGGTTTTGTTGGAATGTTAAGAGAAAATCTTATGGTCATACCTATGTAATTCCAAATATATTATAAGCTGAGAAGCATAGAAAATCTCATTTGGTTCACTTAATATTTGCAGCTTTATCTCAATAAGCATGCCTATGATGTCGCCACCCATGATGATCTGTGGAATGCCCTGAGCACAGTATGTTTTTTACTGTTGAAATATTTGAAATATACGAATACAGAATGATTATCCAGTGAATATACATAAATACACATTTGAAAGGAATAGTTTATTTAATTGAAACATACTTGATAAATATTTGTACCATATACTCCTTGGTTATTAAAATTCAACAAGATTATAGAATTATGGACAGGATAAGAAAGAACAGATATTAATGTACCTTCTAATAAGAGAGTTTGTGAAAAAATTGATAATGTCAGTTTATAATGGAGATCAGGGTCAGTTGCAGTATATTTATGCCATCATTTGAAGAAGTGGGGGTATATTGCTTTGCACATGTCAGTCTGTCCTTAACCAGAGCCTGTTCATAAAGAAAAATTTGGTCCATGGTATTCATATTTGGTAGAGAGGTATGTTGATTTTGAGGTCAGTACTGGTAGGTCAAAGGTAAAGGTCACAGATATGGTACAGAATTTATACTTAAACCACTTTCAGCAAACTGCTTCAGAGGGGAGGGCTATTGATGTTAAGAGCATAATGGACACTTGGACACTCCAAATGGGCTACCCTGTTGTCAAGGTGGATGTCCAGACAAGGAATGTCACCCAGATGCACTTCTTACAGGACCCCTCTGCTACACCTGATCCCAAATATGACTCAAGCTTTAAGTAAGTTCATTGCAGGCATTCATAGTTTGATATTACACTATATATAGGTATTTTCGTGTTTATTGATTTTATGCAATGGCCAACAAATTCAGTGCCTTCTTGGAAACTAGAATGTTTTCAAAGTGTCTTTAAAATGTACAGTTGCCCATACTTGATTAGTTTATTTATTCAGTTAATCACATTAAAAAAACACATCTGATCTTGAAAGATGTATTGCATGATTATGATAAAGAAAGTACATACATAACAGCCTTTTGACTCTAGTTTGAATTAAACTGACAATATATTTTCCACTAGTTACAAGTGGTATGTTCCTCTGACACTGACTTCTTCACAACACGTAGATTGGAATAGCCAAAACATTATTTGGATGAACTTGACTGATGGTAAGTACAATGGACAAGTAAATTGCTTGATATCTTTACAAACATAACCTGTCATATGTATTTTAAACAAATGGACACAATGGATGCAATGTGTAACTTACATTATTAGTAATAAATAATGCATATTCATGCATTACTAGTTGTGCAACTGTAGGTCATTTTTCAAAGCACTCGCAGTCATATGTAGATTTCCAAAATTCTCAAAGAACATACAAACTGGGGTTAAAAATATCAGTTTATTAAAGAGACCACCTCATTAATAAAAGCTGTTGAGGTGTGATTTGTTCTGTTGCTATAGTTACCCTGACATCAGCTGATATGGGCAGTCCTGATCCTACCAATGGTGACTGGGTTATTGCCAATCTTCAGCAATTTGGATACTATAGGGTGAACTATGACCTTCAAAACTGGCAGAATATTCTAACGCAGTTGTCTGTTAACCACGCAGTAAGTATTGGGGAAAATTAACATCAGTAAATTCTTGAGAATTTTATAAGAAAGCCTGCAGAATTACAGTATTAGTTTGGGTTACCTTTTTGATATTTAGTGTAGAATTTCTTTTTTAGACACTATTTATCGATGCTGCAATTGTATATAGAAAATAATAAATCAATTTCTTTTTGTAATAATAAATATAAAAAAGCATACAAATATCAACAATAATTTACTTTTGATGTATCATAATACTTTGGTTTAAATTTGATTGATTTAAGATAGTTCTCTCTGAGACAGTGTTAAACTTCTTTTTTCAGGTGATCAATGTCAAAAATAGAGCTCAGCTCATAGATGATGCATTCAGTGTGGCTGGGTGAGTAGAAAAAAAAGTAGTATGATTTTAATGAAAAATGACAAATTATATTTAACTGAGATCTGCAAAGTAACTGTTCATATTCTGCTTCAAGAATAGTACATAGGTTGATTACTAGTATATGACCATTTTTTGATGATTATAAGGAAATAAGAAATTGACAAAAGCGAATAAATTTGATGTTGTAAGCATCACATGATTGTACCCTAGGGGTTGATGATGTCGGCATAAGCTTACTATGCAAGAAAATATGTTTCAGCTCCGGAATTGACCCTGATATAGATGTGAAGTTTGCAATGAAAACAACACTCTACCTAGTAAATGAGACAGAATACCTTCCTTGGAATTCAGCCATCACCAATTTAGATAGGGTGGACCTGTTGTTGAGCAGCACTGGTTACTATGGTTTCTATCAGGTAAGATTTGCTGGAAAGACTGGTTGATATGGTGATTATTGGCTATCACGGTCAAGTTGGCAAATTGACATATTTAAACAATTATAGAAATCTTATGTTACTTCTGAGTATCAAGACAAGGGAGCTTAAAGAAATTTAGTTTTTAGTTATATTTTTAACTATGTTTGAAAACATAATGAAATAAAATGATTATCGTCGTTAAAATGCCAAAATAGGAACTTGGTTAAATCAATAGTTGATTAAAATAAGCAAATGGCGGTTTGAATTGAATGTGGAATTTATAAACATGAAATATAGCAATATATTATTAATTTGTTTTCAAATTTTTCATTACAGAAATACATGCTGAAGCAGATTCTTCCCCTGTATGAGATGGTAGGCTGGGAAGACAATGGTGATCAATTAATGCAGTAAGTACAGTCTGATGGAAGTTGTCAAAAATTATTATGATAATTTAAAAAAACAACATATTTGCCTGTTTATGATTATTTAGTTTGGACATACAGAAGTAGTAGTTGGTAATATTTCCAAAACAAGAAGAAAACTGAACTATTCTTCTCCTTGTGCTTTTTCCTTGCAAATTTTGCTGGGCAATAAATGCATTTTGGGTTGAGCATTGCAATATTCAAACAGTGCATTGTTATAAATTGTGATGCATATATATGGAAAACCGGTTACTTGGGGTTTAAATTATTCTGGTTGTAGATCATAGGTGAAGAAGATGGCATGTGTATTTGAATTCAATTGTCACTTGTCAAAAAGAATGGCATAGATTTGTAAACATGCTCATGATGATGTGCATACATATGATGGTGTTGTAAGAGTCTTGTCTTGTCATCCTAGGTACAATCGTATTAATGCTCTGAATAAAGCTTGTTCGTATGGACATCAGCCTTGTCTGGACAATGCTACAACTCTCTTCAATACTTGGAAATTAGAAGTAAATCCTGATGAAATTAATCCGTAAGTAGCTGCTATTTCAGTGAATGTTGATGTTGGTTTTTTTATGAACAGAGAATGGCACTGATAAGTTTATAAAAGTGTCTTTCAAAATAAAAATGGGAAATGAATTTAGAGTAATCTGCTATTGATATTAAATCACCTAGAAGATAAATAAATTACTTGGATATAGATAACTGATACAAAGCTTCCTGAATATGTTAGAATAATGCAAATTAGATGCTATTTTCTTTCATCTGTCTTGTGCATGAAAATCTTTACAATGAATATGTGCAGGATTTCAGTAAAAAGTTATCAAAAAAATTATGTTTAGAATTTCAGTATTTTTCCAGCCTCCTTTCATGGACATTTTTGTAAAATATTTCAATATCATATTTGAAATTGTTTCAGAATCACACCCAATCTTAAATCCACTGTGTACTGCAATGCCATTGAGAATGGAGGTCAGGAGGAATGGGACTGGATGTATGAAAGATACAAGAAGGCCAATGTGGCCACTGAACGAAGCAAGCTGTTAGTAGGACTGTCGTGTAGTAGAGAACCTTTTATTTTAAGCAGGTATGGAGATAATCTTGTATACAAATTATTATGTACAGTGCTAGTTAATTGGCATGGATTATGTGGTATGTTTTTCATCTCCTGGACCCAGTTTCACCGAAGTACTTAAGACCAACATTTTGGTCATCTTTGAACCAACATAAATCAGTGGAGGCCACTTAATGAAATTTTGCAACTGTTTCATAACAAGAAAAGAAACACCAGTATTTAATACATAGATTCATTATTGTAGTGGATAGCTGAATATTCTGTCTTAAGTTGCAGTTAACCAAAATTTAGATTTGAAATTCTTTTGTGACTGCTCCATTAGGTGAGATTTAGGCTATTTCTTAAGTGGGTGGATAAAAATGAAGAGTTTGAATTATTGAATACCAAAATTAACGATCATTATTGATATTATACAGAATGTGTAGTATTTTTTCACCATTTTATTGCACAATTAAAAAAAGAAAAGAAAAGAAAATAGAAGGAAAATAAATATGAAAAGAAATAATCTTTATCTTTCTAAAATATGTACCTGTCTTGTTTCAGATATTTGAGTTATTCCTTGAACAGTGCTGAGATCCGTAGGCAGGATGGCCCTTCAGTGATAGGGTACATAGCAAGGAATCCTATAGGTCGTCTGATGGCCTGGGACTTCATGCAGTCCCAGTGGGACAAAATTATGGAAATGTAAGGGATTTTTTGTGTAGTTCTTATCTGAGACAGTGTGGCAAGAATCATCATTAGGCTTTTATCTTAAATGTGCTGTCAATTCTATGTCGGTAGTTTGAAAGAGTTAAAGGAAACATTATCAACTAACCATTGTATGAGACTTTCCAAGAAAGAATTCAGATTTTTCTTTTAAAAACATGGACATTTGGTCAAAATCTTTGAGGTTACAATGGAGCTTTCTTATTTTCAAAGGAGACATATTGTACCTTCCCTGGGTATAAAAAAGGCACATTATTAAGACAGATGGGTATAATGCAAGACAATGAAATGAGCTAAAGTCAAACTTCCTTAGTGAATTTCAAAATGAATGCTAAGGCTCCATTGTTTGGAGCCTTTGAAAGCCTACTATGCCTTGCTGGACCCTACTATGTTGTTTCTCACACCAGCAATACTGTTATTTACTTGGACTTTTGCTTGCAATTTTGCGTGAGAAATATTGAACAATCAACAATAAGGGTCTCACAGTAAATTTGTGAAAGTTGTAAGGTCTCCATGTCAAGTGGACCTGGTGTGCTTTATAATAAAATCTAAAATGGTTGAAAATCATGCCATCTTCTTGATAATCGGATCTGTATCTTGATTGTGAATTTTAGATATTACAAGGTATATTTGGAATTATGTTTTATGAAAAATTTAATACAAATTAAGTACAATATTTTGTTTTATTTAATGAAAAAACTTAGAACTTGTGTTATCTGATTGCAGATATGGCAAGTCAACCTTCTCCTTTCCTCGCATTATAAAGGGTGTCACAAGTACTCTTACTACACCCATAGAACTTCAACAGGTAATTGTACTCATTAATTTAGTTATCTTCGTAAAGTTAATGTTTACTGGCCCAGTAGTTAAGTAGTTCTCATGTCGATTTACAAAATTAACTAAAATAATTAATTGCAACTACAAGTAAAGTGTGCATCATGCAGTTATAATTAGCATTTATGAATATGCATGTTGCTTTTAAGCAGGTACACGCTCGCACACCCACACACACCCACACACACACACACACACTTTCTTGACACAATGGGCAGCATGAAGTATTGAGATAGTGCTTTTTTGATGATTTACCTTGAACATGCAGGTGGTTGAGCTTTTGTTGTCGGTGTTATGTGATGTTCCCTTATGCCATACTTTATTTTCCAGCTGACCATATATAATCTGACCATACATATAAGATCTTATTTTGATGCATTTCAGGTTGAAGCATTTGTAAAACGACAGAGCAACCTGGGCACAGGAGAGAGAGCATTCCAGCAAGGCATAGAGGAGATCAAAGCCAATGTAGCATGGATAGAGAAAAATGCTGAAAATGTTGGAAACTGGCTTAAAGAAAACACCTCAACTTAATATTGAATGATTTACACACACATCTTTGTAATCTATGTAAAATATATAGCATGAAAAACATAGGAAATCCTGTGGTGACTTGATAAAAGGTGAAAAAAAAATTAATGGGTTTGATTTAGTTGTACATAAATTTATTTTTAAAGATGACTTTTATACATGAATATCATCATGAAAAAACAATGCAATATGGGTATATTAACTTGAACATAAGTGATTAATGGTTTTTACTGATATTACATATTTTATATTTACACTATTCCAATGAAAAATACATAAATAGGACATTTAAACCTACACAGACAGTTGATTTTTGAAAAGAGTTATGTTCTATTTCTTAATGAAAGATATTCATATATCAAAGAATTTTTGATGTAAAAATAGTTGTAATTTAATCTTTTAGCAATAAAAAAATGTATACTTATGAATCAGAAATAACGATTTGTCTAAAATTAGATTTATCTGAAATTGTGTGCTGTGAGAGTATAGTAAACTGAAAAGGAAAAAAGCCTAAATTGGTGCTGTTTTATTATGTTTGTGCCATAAAATCACTGTTAATTAACAAATTACATGTATATGAATAAGAATAGATCTTTTAATTCCTCCCTGATTTCGCTATTTATGTTACTTTTTATGTGACTTAATACAGAGATTATGTAAGTAAATAGACACAAATTACTGTGGCCTCTGTGAATAAGCAGTGTGGACATGTATCTAAATCCAAGAAGCAATAAAAAATTTGCAGTGACACTGTGTTTAGAGTTCACTATTAGCCAATTAGTTAACCATTGTTCCATGTACCGGTAACTCTTTTCTCCTTTAGCTGCATGATATCACATCTTGATACATGAAATACATCAGCTGAGGTTATGCACGTTTAACCTGACCTTCATTCATATAAACCTCCAATATCTAATAGAAACATAATATATAGATATAATTCTCACAAGACAATTTTCACAAGACATTAAAATTCCTTTACCAAATATAAGCTCGCTCTTGGGACAGGCTTCCTTTCATCTTCAGTGCCCAACTCTCAAATGAGAGTTATACCAGTACAGCTCGCATTGCGATGAGCGACTTATTGTTATATAAATATTATTATGATTACCAGGCCCGTAGCCAGGGGGGTTTGGGGGGTTCGAAAGAACCACCCCTTTTGGTGGGAACAGGTCCACTCTGGGTGAAATTTGATCGAGGTTCATGAAGTTTTTATGGAAAAAGGTCTACTTTTTCAGAAAAAGAACCCCCCTTTTGAAATTGCTGGCTACGGGCCTGATTACTATATATATCGGGTCCAAGGTAAATACAAGATATGTCTCATTTTAGTGTGAAGTTTTCACATGTTACTGTCTTAAATATTAAAAAACAAAAATTTTATTGGATGTGTGTGGTGATGGTGGTGGCGGTGGGGACCCCTTTACTTGTATTCACTGTTCTTCTCCTCGTTTGCCTCACCTATGATAATTGTGCAGTGCACAGCTAATATTAATTTCATGTAACATTTTTTAACATAAAATAAATCGATTGCTTTTTGTTGATAAGGGATACAATAGGCCTACAAGTGAAATATTCATCAACAGTTCTGACTTCATTATAAAAAAACAGCGTTTTTCCGGTTATCAGTTATACAGTATGTATACATCAATTATTTACATGCAATATCTGTGTAAATGTTTCAGGAAGATGACTCTGTAATAGATTTAAAGAAATCAATCTTCACAATAATTTACATTACTTTTTAAAATATTTACATGTACTTCATAGAGCAATCACAATATTAATATTCATGAGGTAGCAATTTTGCAACTTTGTTATTTGTAACTGCTTGACTACGTTCTGCAGGCTTTTTCCTGAGGAATTGACAATTTGCGGCTGTTCGCTGCCTAGTGCTCGTTTCTGTGCGAAAAAACTTTGGCTGGCTTATTCTTCTAACTAAATTTGTTTGTCAACTAACGTTCCGCATCAGACACTTGAGCGGCAGGCTGTACAGACATTTCAAGTAGACGAGAAACTGTATATTGTTTTGAATGGACGCCGCATATTAGGTTCACTGGGAGCTCCTTGGTAGGCTGGTGGCGATTTTACTCTCAACTCTCTTGACCGTTGCAGCCTCCAAACTCAACTAAAATAACATGAAGTGTCCTTCAAACTACACATGTCAACTATGTTCCGACTGAGAAACGAGTGAAAATCCCATTAAGACCATTCCCATGACAATTAATCACGATACATTGAATTAAGGCGAAGGATAATACGTTTCCAAAAATTCATGGATTTTTTTTTACTCAGGAAATATCATTTAAAGTTATGATTTTAAAAAAGGCTACCTACCCTAAAACTTCCATAACTTCATTGTGGTTTGCCTTTCTTGGCGATTGTCGGGGGAAGATGGCTTGTCTAGAAGTGTAATAAAGATTTTCTCCTCGGGGTTTGGAGGAAAGGCTGTCCCTGGACATGCACTTTTAATTATCTCGGATACGGTCCCGATACTGGTGGAAGATTGTAATGTCTTTATGTTCTTTTTTTCTTCCAAAAATTACAAGTGCCCTTATTTCCTCCATTTTTCTGAGGTAATAAAAGCAGACTGGCTTGTGGGCCTACGCCCAACTCACGAATCTTAAGCGTTGGCCACAGGGGATGGATTTGATTCTGCAGCCTTTAACCTTAATAAACAAAAGTACGAAAATTTTCACTAGCTCACTTAATTTTGAATATCACAGATTAGCTCTTACAGCATATGAATTATCTTACATAACATGCTACTGCTAGGCTGGCTGCTACCGAATGCTGAAAATATCAAATAAAAGCTGAAAACAAACCGACTTTTTTCTTCTAAATGATTTTCTTATATAAATATTCAAACATCTTAAATAGTACAGCGAAAAAAATTTACTTATCAGATTTTTTAGATCCATGACTTGATCTGTAGTGAAGAAGATGAAAATGGCGAGGAAAGCATTACAGAAACACCTGATAACGAGTCAATAAAAGATGTAGTCTCTTGTGTTTTAGGTACGAGAGTCAGTGTCTCACCCAGAGCTTTTAGATCGATCTATCCCCGCGGGGAGTCTCACTAGATTACTGTCAGATAATCCGGCTTAAATGTCCGTTCCGCCTACTACAAGCTGTAAGGGGGTAGTTAACTTTCGTGTCCGCTCGGCTGACAGCTATTTAGCGTGAACCCCCAGGGAGTTAGGTCGATCTAAAGTAGATCGATCTAATCTCTGGAAATGGGGTCTTAGGTGGATGTTGATGAATCCTCCGTGGTTGACCGATTAAGGCGTCTTATACGTACCATTAAAAGCAATGATATCTTCGGCGTGCATTATTTTTTTATTGCGGTGGATCCCTGTTTAGCTGAATTAGTGTTGAGCTACAGTATGTATGTGTATTGGAGGCACTTCAAAAAGGAGACACTTTAGGCAGACAGCTTAAGGGCGTTCCTAAGGAGTACTCTGGTTACTTGCATTGTTGTTAAACCCTCTGTTCAACTGTGACTAAATCAACTCTCATGGTGGTTCAAATTCCTTCCGTTGTTTCATGTGTTCCAGTGATCTCCTCCAAAGTAGATCCCATGTTAATACTAAAACCCAATCTAGCATCAGAAGGGCTGTTGGTAAATGATAGAAAAGAGACCTCGGAATGGGGGTCAAATTGCTCAAGATCTTTTGGGAGGCTCATATCACTCTCACCGCTGTTTGGCCGAGATGTAGACTCAGACCCCCAAATAGAGGTCGATATAGATGAGAGAGAAACTTCAGACTGACTTCTATGCAATTCGATTTCCCCTGTATCAGAGATTTCGCTTAACACACTGCTGGGATTGTGTGAGGGGGCTTCGAGGGGGCTAGGAGGGTATGAAATTCCAAGTGTTGGAAACAATTCCTCGGAAACACATTCAACGGAACTGCTGTGGCTTGTTTCATGGCAGGGTCCATCCACAGATGTAGGGGAAGACGACGACAGAGATTCGAATGATTCATCTGAGGTGCTTTGGTGAACGATTGATTCATTGGCCTCGAGCATTTCATCCACCACAATTGTGCCGTCCAGTCCAATGAACACAGAGGTGCTTGGGAGGGCGGCTTCTGTTTTTTCATTCATGTTATCTTCTAGAAAAAGGTAAACTTGATCTGTGAAGGTTCCCGGGCCGTCTGTGCCAAAGATGTCAAAAGACAGCAGACTGACAGAAGTGAGGGAGTCACTTTCTACTGAATCTGAGCTGACAGTACTGTCAGTACTGGTGTCAGGAGATGTTGCCATAAGGGACACCTCAGAACTGGTGGCGGAGGGACCAACTGCCTCACTTGGCTCATCCAGATTTCTGTTTTCTGCTTTGTCAGATCTCGATTCAGGCTCAGATACCTCCTCTGTCCCTGCAATGGCGTCGACTTTGGTCAGTACAATCTCAGTGTTTTGTTCCTCCTGGAGCTGAATAATGCCCACAAGCACTGTATCATAAGGATCGGAACTCGTCTGGATAATTGATATTTCCTCAACTGGTGTCTCATAAGTATCATTGACTCCGCTCGTGACATTTCCACTTGAAGTGCCGCTTGTTTCTGTGGGAGTCGCCCTTTTAGTTGTGGTTGCAGACGATTCGGGGGAAGGCAAAGGTGACTTAGTTTCACCGACTGAACCTTTTTTCAGCTGACGTTCTCTCCTAGGTTCAGGGGATGGTATTTGCCCAGGAAGAAGAACTTCTTCACGCAAAGGTTCAACTGTAGATAACCTGTAAGAGTATAAGTTATATCTTCATTGAAACAAATGACTTTTACAAATCGCTGAATTCAAGAGTTACAAATTGGAATGAATATCCAATGAAACTTAAATCTCGTATTTTATGTTGGATTTAATAACTGATAATTTTTTATATGATGATAAACGTTAATACTGATACTTTAGTTCATATGTGGATCATTTTGTTTCCATGTGAAGCTGGCAAGACTAACGCGGAGAACTAATGCTGTAATAGGCTACATATCGAGTAGCAAAATAGGGAGTTATTCATCGACACTTTAATTGCTTTTTATGCAACAAATAACATGTTTAAGGGATATTTTGCAGGGGCGGATCCAGGATTATTTGAAGGGGGGTGGGGTTCGATGCCTGCTCAAGGGCCCCGAAAAATTTTGGTGTTTTGGAGAGCAAACAGTGCCTTTTGGTACGGTTTAGATCTATGATTTAACTAGTCAAAATTCTAATTTCAAGAGGAAAATATTGGTGTGATATATTTTTCAGAAACCGAAGGACCCCCCTGACCCCCTCTAAATCCGCCACTGGATTGAAACAGTAAAACATTAGTATCACTTATACTTTGCTTAGGTTTCAGCAGTGTTGTAAATTACTCATGTAAAATATTTAACTATGTTAAGAAGATATAACATAAAATACTTATGAATTGAGATAACGCTAACCTATGTCCCACATAAGAGATATAAATACTATATAAATAGAGAGATATAAATACTATTTGATGATCAAATTATGTGCAAAGTTCATTTTTTCCTGTTTTTCAATACTTTTTTTTCACCAATGTAAGATATGAAATTGATTAATCTTTCTTATGCATGTAATTTGGTTTCATGTGAATACATATCTGTAATGTATGTAGGCCCCTAATGGTCTAATTTATTTGAGAAATCTACTCGAATACCAATTTCAGAGATTGTAGTCGTTTAGGTTAGTAATTTCTCACCAACCACAAGCGGATTATTGTGAAAACTCAAACATTGGAATTAGATA